GTTTTTCTAATTAAATGAGAAAATCAAAAAATTACCTCCTCACGCCGATTTTCTTTCAGAAAAGATGCTATACATAGAAATCCGACCAAGTCTTCTGGTTAAAAGTTGGGTATAAACAAAAAAAAAATAAACATCTTTGTAAAACTATAAACTTTTTCACTCTACTCAGAATTTAAAATATCTTGAAACGTGTCGTCAAATCCAATAAAATAAATTTTATTTTTGCTCTTTTATTGAATATAAATATTTTGATGTGCACAAGTAATGATGATACTAATATAATGGCAATTTTTTTTGAAGTCAGAAGATGTCTTGCAACAGTGGACACCCCCGTCCCCAAATACTCTTTTGGTGGGTACTCACACCAAAAAAAAACCATTGTAATTATCTACTTTGACATAGGTACTACCAGAAATGCCCGTACACAATTAGCTCACTGGGTTCAAAATATTTTTGGTGTCAATTCAATGAACTTCGCTCCCAACTCTATATATATAAAATCTATCCACAACAGTGATCAGTATAATAAAACAATACATATTAAAATATAACTAATTTTGTTAATTAGTTATACATAATAGATATCAATAAATATACATATTTATAAAATATGTGTGTATTGCCGCAATCGGCACTCAGCCAGTAAGCGAAAGTATGCCTTACTAATGAATAGGCAACCTATCTGGTCGCACACCGTCGCAGTTGTGTATTGATTTATATTAAATTTTTTTTAAAAAAATAAATAAATAATAATACACAAGCAGTATTGTTCAACATAGTGACAAAATTTTTATTTTATACCTAATTTATGGCCAGAAGTAGCATAACAATATAACTTTGCACTACTTGTGAGCCGGTGTGCTCATACACATTTGTACAATTATGTATAAAAAAAAATAAATAAACAAATATTAACAATCTATAAAATTATATAAAAGCAAGGAAAAATAAATGCACTCAATGAGCGTACAAATACATATTTTGGTATTGAAATAAGAGTTAATAACAAGTGGGTACATATATTAACTAATGACAGTTATTCCTAACAATTAATACTTAATGATAATAGGCATCAGCCATTCACGTTCCTCAACGCAATGACGGATGGTTTCACCCACGCGACGCCGGGACCCATATAATATTCATGTTACGTGCCCACACGCACCTCCTGCAAGGGACACGTGTGAGTCGTGTCCCTTTATTATTTTGGTCATTATCAAGAAAATAAATTAACAAATAAGGAATTTTTATATTTTATTATTTTGTTAATTGAATATATAAGTAATAAATATTATATTTATATATTATTGTGGTCCGAAAATATATTCTCAGATACACCACCTGCTCTCCCCTTCCAAGCGTTCCGAGTCTAGTTGTACTGCCGTACATCATTTTTTTAATATTGTTTATTTTCCTGAGATTTAGGAGGGAGGGGGAGGATTAACAATAAATCACTTTTTTTTAGTTAAACAAACAGTAGTTTTCATTTTTCTACTTTCGAAAAAATGTCCAAAATTAAGTAAGGAGTAAATTCGCTAAATAATGACCAATCGACCAATTGGATTGAAATCCCTTTTTCTGATTGGTACTAAATTTTAGAAAATCATAAGGATCCCCCTTTTCAGGCGAATGCCAGACTAGTTCCTTTGGAAGGAATTTTATAGTATCAAATTATAGGAAGAACCTGTTTGGAGCGCAAAGCCAAATTTGATGGCATTAAAACTACTATAACCTATCGGCTATCACCAAATCTCACCGATATATACTTGTTCCAAAAATCATAAGAGGGGGTATTTTTAATATGTAGTGCCCATAATAGAGCTATATATAGTAATGAAAATCCGACCAGAGTACGTTAAAAATCAAACAAGTTTCAAAAGAAATAAAAAAGGTTTGGCAGCGTAATGAATGTCGGCGATATGAACAGCAGCGAAATGAATTAGACCGAAAAATTAGTAATAATATTATAAAAAAGAGGGACAAACTTCTAATGTGGGTGGGCCACTTACAGCACTTATAAGCAGTGTTATATAAATATACATTTTTAAATATCTAGATAAAGATAAAAGATACATCATAATTTAATTATCTAGATAAAGATAAAATTATAGAATTTTTTATCTAGATAAAAAATATATAGTTGTTTAATAGGTTAGGTATCCATTACAAATCTAAGTGCTTAAAGTTTACCAGATATATAACACATCTAAATTTCAAAACAACTTTTATTTTTATGTTACTCAATAAGCCAAATAGTTTGTTATTTACTTATTTCTAAAAAAACCATTTAATGTTTTTGAACTTAAGTTCAAAAAGTAAGCACAATGCAATGTTTAAGTTACCATACAATTTTAAATATGGTGTTAAAAACCTTAAGGAAAAAAATTAATTAGTCTTAAAATTTTTTTATACATACATTATTATTACTGATACAAGCAAAGCGATAGGGAATAAAGGTAAAAAGAAAAAAAAATTGACACGGGAAACACTGGACGCTAGACTGCTAGTAATTTATTGTAAAAATAATGGTTCGTGTACATGACTATAAATGGCTTAGAATTATATTATACAAAAATGAAAAAAGCTAGACATTAAAAAGCCTACATTAACAGGACGAAGTATAAATAGTTATACATATTTAGACACCTACTGGTAAATACGAGTATATTTTATATTTTTATATACATTCAATAGTACTTAATGCAATAATTCCTTATTATTTTTAAATAAATACTTTTATTTTTATAAACTGCATCAAATTTCTTTACTCAATTATTTTGAACAGGGCCTAAAATTGTGTACAGTTGCAAATTTAAAAGTGTGCAGTACTTATTTTTGCCTTTTATACGTTTTTATTTGATTAATATCCTATATTGATTATTTAAAATATTGAAAATTACGAATTAGCATGTATTCATTCAGTGACGCCATTTGAGTTTTTTAATAGTGAATTAAATTAAATTAATAGTTAAATTTTCCAAAATTTAAGCAGGCCAATTTTTTTTCAAAATAGTAAATACAGATATTGTTTGCGTGTAATTCGCTTATATGGGATTAAATTCTTGAGGGGTATATCTTAATGAATTCAAATTATTCATTAATCATTTGTTTGTCTTTTTGTATAGATCTAAAAATATTTAGTATAGGTACCTGCACTACATTTAACTAATGCAGTTTATTCCAAATAAAAAAACTATATTTTTAATCTTCTTGTATGGTATGTTTTCCTAATTAATAATATATATGCAATATGCCAATTGTAGGTATGTATACATTGGTCTTATGTATATAATTGATGTCTATTTGTTTCATTTTTACTAGTATATTAGGTTAGCGGGTCTCAACATTTTGTTTTCAAAATTGGTGGTCACACAACTAAAAAGGTTAAGAACTGCTGTGCTAGACTATTGGATTGTGCATAGTTTGAATTTGAAGTAACATGCTCTGAATCTCAATAAAATATAAATTCTAATGATTTAAATTTGACCATTATCAGAAACTATTATAGTTGGTATACCAAATCTAGTAAACATTGATGTTAAATACTTGTAAATCTAGATGATAAATGAGTAATTTCAATAAATTTGGCATAATAATCTATAACTAATAAATATATTTCATTATTAAAGCGAAATATATCAGTTTACAATTTAAACCAAGGTAGTATTTTTATATTAGTTTATAGTAGTTTAAAATATTAAATTTCTTACTACATTTTTCACATTTCAATCCCCATTATACCTAGAAACCTTTGTAAGTCTTTAATGTTTTTTTTTCGGAGATGGTAAATTAATTATAGCTTTAACTTTTTGAAAATGGCTTAACACCATTTTTATTAAAAATGTGTTCTAAAAATTTAACCTCTTGAACTCCTATTTGATATTTTATTTTATTAAATTTAATATTAATTTGACAAAGCTCTTTCAAATACCTTTTTTAAAATGATATGCTGTTCCTTAGATTTAACATATATAATAAGCTCATCAACATATAGAAATACACCATTCATATCGGAATAATTTTTAGTCATCACCCTATGAAAAACTTTAGATGCACAATTTTACCCATAAGGAAGTCATTAACACTTTCATTAGCAAGAAGTACCATCCAAAAACCAGAGCTTGCATCTAATCTAGAAAAATAACATGAACCATTTAGTCTAGATTTAACATTTTTAAAACTAACAAATGCATAGTGTGATGGCCTTATTAAGATTTCTTGGATCTTAACTAATAAAGCTTATTATTTTTCTGTATTACAATAACTATAGAATTTACCAGTAAGTTGGTACATTTACTTTTTCTATTACTTTAATGTTAACCACGTGATTCAATTCAGTCTCTAATTTATCAAAGATTATAAATGAAACTTTTCTAGGAGGATCTATTTTAGATTGAACATTATTGTCTACATAGATATAATAAGTAATAGGCAAACATCCTAAACCTTCAGATAAATCCTTATACTCATTTACAATATTAGTTTCTTTCTCTTTGTTTATGACATTAACTCTATAAATTAAATTAGGATTATTGCAAGTTGTTGATCCTAGTATAGTATTGCATGGAAAATCAATTATGAAAAATGCAATAAAATCACATTTTTGTTTATAAAAACATTTAATAATTCTTTTACTCTTTTACTTTTAATATATATATATATTATATAATATAATGTAATTTATCATATTTAATTTAATTTATCTATTTAATAGATATTTTATCAGAATTGAAAACCATTCAATTTATATGAGATTGCTTTTTATATCATTAATAAAAATATTTATTTTATTTTTTTAAATTTGTATAGACATTATATTGGCTTGTGCACTAGATTTCTCTGACAGCAAATATTGTTATTATTAATTTTTGAGACAACTTGTCAAACATAACTTTAATCATTATTAATTACAGAGCCAATATAAGAAAATTATCATTAAGATTTTTGACAAGTATAACCTAATTAACCAAATTTGTCTTACACAATTTGGCAAAGTGGTTAAAGAAATTCAAATTATGACATTGAATATGTTTGGCAGGATATGACAATTTATGTCTTTGATCACAATGACTACAGGTCTGACTAGAATTACTACTATTATTACTATTAATAATACTATTATCGTGCATTTTCTTTGAACCTTCTTGACTTGACAGTGACAACTCACAACCTTGACTATTTTCATCCAAAGATTTTGACCAATGACTTTTACAAGCATGTGAACCTTGATGACTCTTAAAATGTTTTTTTGATTGAATAACAAATACTTCTTTGATTGCTTCTTTACTCCCATCATTGTCATCGGTTTGTTTAATTCTTTGCTGTGACAGTGTCACAGGCAAGTGATATTGAATGCCTTCTCCGGTGATTCTTTTAATAGACATAGCCTAATGTGAAGACAGTTTTTATTTAAACCACACATTAACATATCCTTTATTATACTTTCATATAGAGACTAAAATTTGCAAGCCTTCTTTTATTTATTAAATCTGCTACATGTTCATTAATTATTAATAATTAATGAATTCATCAGTTTAAGTGAAGTGTTTTATGGAGTGTAAAATATATGGCCTTTAATGGTAACATTCATGTATGGAATTAGGGTGATACAAGAATACTTGGTTTTAGCATTTAAGATTTGAATACAAATTTGAAATTTAGAGATTAGAAAATTTAAAATATCATGATGATTTTTTTTTTTGTTATTATTAATATTATTGTTATATCATATCAACATTAATTCAAAACTATCAAATCAATACTAAACTATTGAATAATATAAACTATTCAGTATTGTCCATTAATTTAAAATATTATTGAATAATTTGAATAGTACCTATTATTAGTTTTTAACACGAATATTGGACATACTATTTAAAAATTAACCAATTTATTCAAATTATTTAATAATAAATATTATTAAATGATATACTGTTCACATTTTAACAAATAATATTTAAATGTTTAGTAAATTTAAGCTTTATAAGTTGTAAAATTAAATAAAATGTATATCACAATATATGTACCATTTGATGCTTATTTTATTTTGTAAAACTAAATAATTATATTAATAATAATAATAATAATAATAATAAAACTAAATACTAAACCAACTATATTGTTTATCATAGATTATTCTATACATTTTAAATAGGATAAAAAAATAAAAATAAAAAGACCAGATTCATTATTATTAATTTAAATCATATAAAATAGGTACATGAATTACTTTTCTATGATAATACAATATACAAATATAATGTATGGCTAACAATATTTCATATCTTGAAAACAAAAAATTTGTCTACAATTTAATCCATTTTAAGACAATATATTTCAATTTCTAAAAAAAATAATTGATGTTTATTTATTTATGAATTGTTCAAGGGCACCTAATAACAAATTAACTAAATAGATATAACACAATAAATGAATAAGAGAATTTTTTTTCATTTAACATTACCATAGTTTTATGGTATATTTGTAATGTATTCAATATGAGAAAGAACTATGGTAATTTATAAACAATGAACTGTGGCCCATGGAATGTTGCATTATGATTAAAAACCTAATTAGGACTTATGGTAATTTGATGTAATATTGTGTTTTACATAGTTTCTTTTCATTTTAAATACATTATAGATAGATTAAATTGATAATACATTTTTTTTTAAGTATTATTGGTAAGTTGATAAATAAAATATATATATATATTTATATATATTAACTACAATTGAGAGTAAGTGATCCACAAAAAAAAACAGCAATAAAGTAAATAACAGCCTGAAAAAAAAAGAATGTATTAAAAATTTAAAGTAAATTTAGTAAATCATTAGTTATTATTTGTATAATTATGTAATAATTTCATTAAAAAATAATCAATTAAATTAATTAATAATATTATAACAGGTGAAATAAAAAATAAATACCAACAATTTATTATAGAGAGAAAACGAATAAGTTTTAAAATGTTTAATAATAAACATTTTCTTTGATTATAACTTTAGTTTTTAAAATGTAATGAATCAAAGTGAATCAAAAATAAAAAATAAATACTAAGCTTAACTGTTATACCCCTTACCTATATTTATTATTATTTTTTAATGAACCATATTTAATTAGAATTTAAAGTTAACTTACCAATCCTATAAGTAGAAATATGATATATATTTTGACATTTTTCCAGAACAATGAACGCTGAAGTGTACGACTTTGTACTCTGAAGTTCATAGACTGTGAACATAAGTCTTCAGTTTTATTGACCAACAGTTCAAGTTTTTCTCCACGAAGAGCTACATTGTCTATAAATTATTTTCATTATTCATTTTTGTTTTCAAATCAATTTATTAAATTACTTATTCTTTCTTACCAATATTTCGAACCATAATATCTTTTAGTTCATCTAGTTCACCGTGTACTTTAGACAATACATCAAATTCGTTGGGATTAGAAAATCTTTTCTATAAAATATAAATATTTAGTATTATTGAAAAATTTGGTTAGAAGTATGATAAAATGAATTATATGTACCATTTCAGATGCAAGTATTGGAGCAAATTCTGAATTCATGGAATATGCAATAGCGCTATAAGCGCGATGACCATATGTGGCTTGAAATCGTCGTTTTATTTCATTTAAGAAAAAAAATGCTTTGGATCTTTGGAATTCCTACAAATATTTTATAATAATTAAAATCCTATAGTCACAGTCTTCCATCTTCTTCACCATTATCCCAACTATTTGACCCCATTGTCATCCTATATACTACCTTTTATGTACTCTTTCCTTATTCTACCTTCACTCCAATTATCCAATTAAGTATTTTTATCACCTCTACACTCATTCATTCTTCTATTTTTCTGTCTATTATTCAATACTTCGAGCAAACAGTTACAAGTAATAGTTACAGTCATACATTTACAAAGAAATTTTTTTTTTAATAACCTATAAATTATAAGTAACTGGTATTAATTGAATTAATTATAGGCTACAATTAATGCAAAACTTACATCATCAGTGATACACATGTAAATTATTTGATCTTCACAAATGTAATGATATAAGTAATGGTCATGAAGTAAACTTTGTTTTTTGTTTTCCACTCCAATTTGAATTAAAACTCCTTCCAAAATTTCACCAAAATTGCCTTGGTAGTTAGCATGTTTGGCTAACACAATCATACCCCTAGCTACCACACTATAGAACAGTGGCATTGTTTATTTAACAATACAAACTATCTAAAAAATTAAAAATTAAAAATTAAATCACATCAAAAATAAATCCACTATAAAAATCATTAATCTTGGGATTATTTTGCAAAATACACAATGATGGTATTCTATTATTTGTACACAGTACTCATAGTTAGACTCACAAAAATGAGCGCTGATACCCGATGTCAGAGTTTAAATATTGAAGTTCTCAGTGTTGTTGTATTGTTTTTTTACCACTGCATCAATCGCTTCATAAGTCATGCACATAATATTTTTATCTCGGAGGGGTTGAAGGTACATATGCTTGAAGCTGTTGGTTAAAATTGCCACTGGAAAATGGAAATCAGTTCTACCTTTCCCCTCCTCGAAATTTTTAAAGTAGGTAGGTATATATTTATAATATAAGAAAGGCTAACTACAAGTTTATGTTTAAAAATATTTTAACCCCCCCCCAAAATTATAAGTATAAGTACTATATAAGTACCTGTATAAGTACTTGTATAGTTAAGTTAGTAGTATTTAATTAACTTTTTATTATATAAAATAAGTTTATAATGCTGAATATTTTACATAATTATTTTATAATTTAACATAGCTTATGAGGAAAGGGGCTGTCTGACCCCCTCCCTCCTAAGTTTGCTTTTACTAAAAATAATTAATATTTAATTTTTAAATATAATATTATTATTAGTAAATTACCTAAATAAATAGAATTAAATTGATATAATAAATTATAAGTTTTGGAAAATTTGTTGTCTAAGGGTATAATTTAGTTTTTAAGAATTATTATTATCATATTATTTACATTCTATAGTTAATTGTACATTTTTAGGATTAACTAATAAAATAGGTATTAATGATTAATATGTGTATGCTATTTAATATTAATACCTAGTACTTATATATTTCAAATAACAATATTTTATAAAATTTAACAAATAATTAATTATTGGCAGTGATATAAAATTATGCACTAAAAAATGTGACTAATTATTTAACAAATTCATAAAAATGGTTAATTTATATAAACTACAACAGTTTATGATAGTAAATTTACAAAAAAATAAATGTAGAATTTTAAAAACACAGCTATTTTAATTTCAACCCAAGTATAATATTAAATCAATCTAAAAATGAATACAAGGTAAAAGTTCTCAAAATTATACAGCTATTTGTACTTAAAATCATATTACTTTTATAAAAAAATCATTTATATATTTTAATAAATAACTCTAAATGGCAATTTCTGAATTTATAATGAATAATTTAATTACCTGCCTGATAAAACTGTGTCTTCTTAAGTTTTTTCATATGTTTAAAATGTTTGTATAATAAATAATACATTTTAATTATTAATAGGTACTAATAAGCAATTTACTAGGTATTCAATGTAGGTAATAAATAAACTACTTGTTCAAATTTAATTTAATTATTTAAAAAACTTAAAATAAAGTACACTTAATTATATGATAAAATATTAGATATAATTAAATACATTATATAATGTTAAACACAGATTTAATACCTATTCTAGTTTCTTTAATATATATATATATATATATATATATATGTTTCTAGTAGTTTAGTTTAAGTCAACTACCTTAATTTTTATATTTTTAGGATATAAAAGTGATAATTCCATAATAGTTAATAGAAATCAAAATATAGAATGCATGATAATTGTTTAAAGAAAGACTCACATTTTCTCATTACATTGTTCATACTATATAGTATGATTTAAGAACTCGTATAAGTACTTATAAATCTCTGTTAAGAGGACACTATACCTGCATGTGTTATCTCACTCCAACTAACAGGCAATATAGCAAAATCTACCTTAAGCAGTCAGCATAGAACTCGCTTAATTTTGGTTTTAGAGTAAAAGCACCTAGTATAAAATTAAAAAAGGACAATATTTCTAATATTTGTTTCATTATTTAACGATGTATTGACTGTTATAACCAGAATAATAATTGGAATAACAGGAAAAACGCATAATCTTGCCTTCTGAAATAGTATCCTCTTTTAATTTTATAATAAGAACTATTATATGTAATAGGTCACAATTTATTTTATATATTATATTTATTTTTAAGCCAATAAAGGAGTAAAAGAGTATTCAGAATACTATAAGAAGCTTTTTTCCCAACTAATTAGTGATTTATGTCAGTTTTAGTATTAGTTTGATGGTTCAATATTATACTATGTAGGTATATAAACTTACTTATCAAATAAATAATAAATATTTTTTTATCACCAATAATCTAATATGGGTTTTGATTTGTATTAATATAATAGAAAAATAGGTATATCTACCATATATTAATTGTATTAATAAATTAAAAACACATATTATAAAATTGTATTTCTTTTAGTAAATAGTTCATTAAATAATTAATAATATGACAAACATGATACCTAATACGTAATCTAAATGTTTAAAATTAATTAAACCCTCGATTAAATCACACATGGCCAATTCATTTGTTTTTATAAACAAAATTAGTTTAATTGAGTGCAGACTCAGGAGTCTTAATCTAAATGTATGAAATTATAATTTACGCACAAAGAACTATATACATTAAGAATTTAATACTTATACCATAAATATTTATTTTATTTAAATTGAGCTTTAAATACTTTTCTATTTATTTATTAGTATACTAAAAATAATAACTAATGCTAATGTAATAATGTACTAATATATTTTTAATTAAAATTAAAGCTAAAATATCATATTTAAAATTTCGTTGGATTAGTACCTGCTCAAACTATGTATCTACTGTCAAATTAATGTTTTTTTGTTATTAATGAATAAAGTACATTATGTAACAAGTCATATTTTAAAATAACTTTTTTTATGATAAACTGATACAGCTGTAAAATGATAGATTTTTATCCTAAGTTGGCTAGTTTGCCCAGTAAGTACCTTCATAACGTTCTCGACTATTTTAACCTACTGCCATATGTACTATTAATAATCACGTCACACTTAAATGGACAAAGGTGAAAAAATAATACTAACTGACAACCATAAACCAGGTATACTTCTTAGTAAAATAATATATATACTATTCTACATATAAACGCAATAAACCATTTTGTGAGAATAGGGGAAGTTACGAAATGTATATCATCTTTGACTTTTGAATTGCTTTAAATTAATTTATCATATTTATAAACGTAAGAGTTAGAATCCCCTAAAAATGCTCCTACGCTCGCTACTGACGACTATAACAATACAACACTTACTGGTTACTAGTAATAAACGAGTCTCAGACGACAAGAGCGTTTATTTCTTGTTCTCAAAAACTAGGTATGATTGAGTATTACGAATAAATTATAACAACTGAGTATGAAATACGAACGTACTTTAATTGATATTGCTTGTGTTTTTGGGGTTTCTTCGTTACGCAAGTAGTTGGAAACTTGAAGCCGAATGACACCAAATACCGAAAAACCCGATAAGACTGCAGGAAAACAATACAATTATAGAACTGTGGACTGTAGTTCTGTTATTGTGACGCAATCGGCGATATGCGCATAATCTACTATAATAGTGTTTTGTTATTGTTTGGTTCGAAACAACAGCACATTATTTATAATATACACACAGACGACAACAGAGACGACGTTGTCGTTACCATTATGATTTTTTTTTACAAATCAATAATCGTACAATTCGTAAAATGGGGAAGTACTTAGGTAGGTACTCGTATTGCACAATACGTCAATAATTAAATTTAGGCCAGTGTCCCAGTTATCAGTTCCTCTGGCATAGATAAAATCTGCAGAAAAATTATAGATAATACAATCAGAGAATAATTGGATCTATTTTATTTAAATATATATATTTGGTAAATGTTTTAAAAACATGACATTGGAAATATCGCACTATTCTTTCTAATGGAATTCCCGATAATTTTAATACATCAAACAAATAATAAACGACACACATTCCGCTAGCAACAAATGATAAGAACCCAGTGCTTCCCAAAGTTTAAAAATGGCCTTAAAGGCGTTAGATAGGCATTAATGAATCACAAATGTACGATAAGAAGTGAACTAAAAGACTGTAGTAGCTTAAAGTAGGTAAAAGCGTCTTACTTTGGAAGTAATTTAAAAATAATAACAAAAAAAAATCTAACCTAAAAGAAAATATTGGGGAAAAAAAATAGATTCTAAATCTGTTTTTCAAAAGAAAACGTTATTTATATATGTCTATGGAAATTACAAATTTTGATTAAAACGTGATAAATTAGGATAAATGATAAGTTCGTTTCACGTTGGTTTTTTAGAATAAGACATATTTTTACATGATTTGTAATATTTTCACTTTTCTTTACATAATAATAATAATATTTATCAGAAACCAATTACAAAATATATATTACAGACATAAAAAGAATAATAAGACTTTGGTTTTCTTTCCAAAAGCAAGCTTGTTCTGAATAGAGAGAGTTTGTGATAGAAGTAGTCATGATAATAGAAGAACATTGATAGTATATAACAAATAATGTGCTGTAATGGATAGTTGCATTTTAAAAAACTAAAGCATATAAAAGGCTAAATTTAACCTAATCTGTGCTTTAGACTTTCACCTTAAGTTGGTACATATAATAAAATTTAAATTGTACATAATAATAGAGTTATTTGCACTTAGATATTAATAAAGAAAGAAACGTAACGTAACAGTTTATTGAAACAAAACATTAGTTATATATTTTTTATGCATTATAAAACTATTAAAATTATAATTAATACAAAATTGAATAAACTTATATTTAGGACTTTTTTGCTCAAATACACTATTCATTTTAGGGACGATAATATTAGTATTGACCTTAAATCGAGTGTTGTAGATATGGCATGGAAAATCAATGGATATTTTCATTTTATAAAATAACAAACAAATATTCCTTGTGTATAATGATTTTAAATTTAATATATCTAACGCTCTAAATAATTTAATCGTAGGAAATAATGTGGGCTTATTGAAAAATAAATTTGAGAAGTGAGTTTTTCCCCCCAAAAAGAAATACTTTAGGAAAGAATAGATTGTATTAGTGCAATGTACGTTAATTTTTTTAATTTGAAATTAAGTATAGATTTAAAAGATTTATATACATTGAAAAATTTTCTCAGTAAATTATTAATATAATTTGTGTACATCCCATTGTATTGCTTGTTATCTAGATTTTCATATATTTATATTATATATTTCATTTATATATTGAGTGGTTTCATATAATGCGTTATTAGTCGAGAGGTTACTTCGAAAACCAAATTGGTTATTGTGAAAAAATGTATGTTTATCCAAGAACTCTAATAATTTAAATTTTCAAGTATTTTTGATAAAGTTATAGTGAGTGAAATAGGAATAACGACTGACTCTTTAAATGACTTCGGTAATTCTTCTTTTTAAATAAAGATATTAAATATTATAGATAAAGGTACAGCTATAGAATTAGCCATTATTTTATGAATATAATTAGATAATAGATTGAGCTTTTAGAATAAGAACTAAAATGTTTATAGTATTCAATAGGTTAATGACTTCAGGTGATTTAATTGGTTTTAAAAATATAGTGTCAGAAATATAACAGTTCTTAAGTGTATCAAAACTTATAGGTTATAGGTTGGAAGTTATTACTGTTAATATTTTTAGAAATTAAGCTACCTATTTGAGAGAAAAAAATATAAATTCGTTAACTATATTTTGTTTATCAGTTATTTTTTCACCACAGTTATTTATTATATTGCTAATAGTTATTGTGTTTGTTCGTATATTACTATAAGATACATCTTTAATTAAATTCCATATTTTGTTTGAGTCAGAGAACCTGCAAGTTTTATTTACTTTATTTATTTTAAGTACATATTTCGTAAATTTTATTCATAATATTAAAAAGTAATATAATTTGTCAATTTATATCATTAAAATTGGTGGCTTGAACGTATTATACATATTTTATACTTCAATAATAGCACTAGTAAAAGTTGTAAGTTATAATTCGTAAGTGTTTATAGGTATAGCATTGATCAATAGCGCACGTAGGATTTTTTTTTCGGGACGGCTTTAGTTTATAATAATTTACTAGAGAGGGGATAGCAAATATTAAAAGTACAGTACTACACTATTATTACTGAATAAATGATATTCGATGAAATTAAATTTTATTTTAACATATGATATAAGAATAAGATATTACGTTGTCGACTGTAAAACTTGATTTAAAAAATGTAGTTAGGGAAGACATTTCAAGAAAGGTTTTAACCCCCTAACCATCTCTCTATGAGCGGCACTGGCATTGATTGTTATTAGGGCTGGGATTTATATCACTATAAAAGTTATTAATACTGAAAGTGTCAGTTAAATAACTTGACATAGGTGATTAGTTTATCTTACCTGTTTCTGTTCGATAACCATAAGATAATAGTAAATAAATACGTCCAACAATTATTTGACAAAATATATTTACGAATTTACAACATTATCAGTACTGGCGTTAGCATGGTTGTGAAAATATCTTTATCTTATAAATAAAAAACTAAATGATAAATAACGCTTAAAATAGCACAATCTATTTCAACTAAAATTTCAAATGTTATGCTTGATTTTTCGAACAAAACGGTAAAATAATTAATTAGGCATTTTATATTTTCTTTATTAGAATATTAGTTTAATATTTTACCGATTTTTCCGTTTTTCCTAGTTTTCCCGGTTTTTCACATTTGCTGGGAAAACTCTTCGGAAAATCGAAAAATGTCCTTCTTAAAGTACTATGTAGATAAAATTTACTTTCATAAATTAAGTTACAGCTTACACTAGATACATAGGAGCATTATTTCTGGTAGAAAAGTTTTGCTAAAAAATCGAATGGTATTTTAAAATTAAAATAGTCCGAGCGAGCGATGCTTTGATTCTCTATGTACATTTAAATGCATTTGTTTTTTCCTTGTTTAGGTAAAATGGAAAATAAAATGCAAATAATTTTTTTTCGAAACAGGGGTTTGAACTCGCGATCACTAGGATAAAAATAGATATGTAATACCATTAGATTACGATAAACACATAAGTTTGACAATAAATAGTTATTTAACCTACCATATAACATCCGTATCATATCAGAACTTTAAAAAGCTATAATTTTGAAACTGTATCAATCCACTCATTCTTACTTTACCATCGTTCTTAAATCGACAAAATACATATGTTCAAAACAAAAAATAGAAAAATTATATTTATTTCACATAATGTTTTACTCAAAAGGTTTTCGTCAAAATTTGATATTAAAATTCCTTTATAAAAAAAAAAATACTGCATTACACTCATTATTTTTTTTTTACCACAAAAATGTTAAATGTTTACGCATTTCTGTTTAGTTTAACAATTTTACCACATAGTACCTACCGAGTAAAAATTTCGTATAAAATTCGCAAAATTAAAATAAATGTTTATAAATAGCTCAAAAATGGCTTTAATTTTTTGAAAAATTATTGTATCTAGAAAAGGCAAACATAAGTTTACATAAGTTTCAAAATTTCAAGTCTCCACGAATATTTTTAACTGAATTACAACAAATAATAAGAACATTATTTTCCGTTTTTTCCCACTTATTTCTTTTATGGAAAAAATGTGAGGAAAATCAAAAAATGACCAGCTTAAAGTATCATCCCAAAAAAAATTTCTTTTAGAAAAGGATCTACATCATCATAAACATTGAAATAAGTTTTCTGGTAGAATTTTTTTACACAGTATAAAAAATAAAAAAAGAGCTGATACTGGGGATAGGAGTGACCACTGTTGTAGGTGAGAAGTTGGGAAGGTACGATATATAAGGTTATTTTATTTATATCTGTAAGCAACGATAAACCATTGCTTGACGAAAGACGATTCCAAAGGCATCGGTTCGCTAATACATATATATATTAGTATATATGTATGTAATTACATAATTTGAATAATTTTTGCGATTTTCGTTTTAATTTGATTTTAAAACGCTTATTTAAAAAATAAATATTTGATGATTTTTGAAATTTAACCACGTTTAGGTAGGTCCAATATAAGTATTTTAAGCAAGTTTCAAGTCTCTATCTGTATTTAAAATCGAATTACAGTAAAAAAAACTTCCAAAAATTTAAATTCCTTAAAAGCTCAGAAGTGGCTTAAAACTTTTAGTGATGATACCGTTAGAAAGTAAATCAAAAAGGCAATAAAAAAGGTATCTTGTGATTTTTCAATTAAATCATGTTTTCTGGTAAAAACGTCTTCCTTTTTTTATAATAAAATCGTGAAATTGTAGGTTTTCCTATGTTCTTTCCCACTTAAGTGCTTTTATTTAAAAAGTGACCTCGAAAATCAAAAAATTATCTCTTCAAAGTACAATCTAAACAACTTGACCTTTTAGAATAGCTTCTATAACGTAAACATCGAAGCAAGTTTACTAGGAAAAAACGTGTCCATAGACTAGAATAAAGAACAAAGAAGATAAAATAAACAGCATTGTAAAATCAATAGCTCCCTCGCTATGCTTAAAATATAGAATAAATAATAAAATAATAAAGTAAAAACAAAATTATTAAAAAGTCAATACTCGTAAATAAATATATAAAAATAAAATAAATAAATGAACGAGTGCGTCGCTTGGAGTATTATGATAAGTGTTTTATACGATCGGTTTTTAATTAAAAATTCATCATCAGGTATATCACAGTCAAAATGTAAAACGCGACTGAATATAAAAATTAAATGAAGGATTACATAGAAAAAAAAATTATGCAAATTGGTTGTTTTACATAGAATATAGAAATAATTTTTTTTAATAGGAAAGATTATTTAAAATTAGTTATTATTCGACATAGATATGTTAAGAAATGTAAATTATTTGGTTATTATCTAACATAATATTTTTTAAATCAGTATAAAACATTAAAAATATTATTAAAATTATTTTTCAAGATTTTGAACCCTCCCTCCCCTCCGGTTTACAGTACCCATTATAAACAATTGGATGGTCTCGATTGGAATGTACTAAACTTTATTAATAGATTAATAACATGAAATTATGTTGAACATTATATTATATTATATTATTATATTGAATTTTATTAAATATGTAAACAATGCTGACGAGTTATTTGTCTTCAATATATTGTTCAAGACTTGTTCAAGATTTTTCCAAAATTATTTATTCAAGATTTTGCCGAACTGAGAAAAAGAATATGTTTTTGTATGATTAAAAAAAAGACTTAGTTATCAGGGATAAAAATTTATTTATCCACAATTTGGAACATATTATCGATCATTATTTAAATTCCAAAATTTGAATGAAAAGTTTTTGTTTCTAATTCCAAGACTGAATAAATTTATAAATATTGATTACAATTGTTTCATACATTAAACAAATTTTGTATTGCATACCCTTGTGTCATTACATGTAATATCTGGCATGGGTGTATTTATTAATATTAATTTTGGCCAATATTTTTTGAAGTATTTGCATTTATTATTTTTAACTTCTCATTTAATTGTTGGACATTTTTTAGAGTATGAATATTGAGGAATTTCAATGATTCAGTTTTGTGACAACCTTATAATATGTAGGTATAACATAGTTGTCTAAACTATTACTTTTAATAATTGCTAAATTTCAATAAGTATCTAATCTCAAATACTACGACTGAAGATTCAAAAGGCTATATTTTTTCACAACTAATCAATTGCAGGTTAATATTTAATGAACAAAATGATCACTATTTATAATTATTTTGCTTTATTAATAATTTAATGAAAAGGTAATCATCAAACAATTCAATACCTAAATAAATCATTAACATACACACATTCAGTTAAAACGATTAGATTGTTTAATCAGAAAAAATCATAGTATTTATCCCACTAAAAATATAGTATATAGATGAAACAAATATAGTGTTTTCAGAATCATCACAATCAGTATCATTCTGATGGTTTAAGTCATTTAACTAAAAATTATATTTAGACTGGTTTGTTATATAATTGCTGTAGCAATTTAAACAAAATTTTAATAATTAAAAGCAAATAATGTGTACTCAACATTCACACTATCTTTATTAATTCTCTCTGCAGACAACCAGTTTACTAAATAATCAAATGTATTTGGACGGTTTTTGTTTTTTATATATTAGTTATTTGGAGGTTTACCTACTTTAGGTATCAGCATTAGGTATGCATACTTTTGAATAAAATGTTCTTAGAATATTATTATACAATGTGTTTTTTCTTTGTAGGAAGGTAACTACTTTAGAATTTTGATTTGATTATTAATTATACTAGTTAATAAATCAGCTTTTCTGATTTTTAAGAATAATAATTATTATAGTTGTTTTGAAGTTTTTAATCTCTCTCCAACTTTAAATAGGTACATTATAAAATATAATATAACAAATTACAAGTCTAACTAAGATAGTAAACTTATAGTAAAATAATAAAACTTGTTCTAATAATTCTAATAACAAAAATTAATATTTTTATATAAGTAATTTATAATTGTATTATTTATTTTAAGTTCAACTTAAATTAGGTATAGATGTTGCCTACAAGTTTCTGATAAAAATTTACTATAAAACCATATTAATGTTTTATGCTTTGTGTTTGCACAGTGTTATACATCTTAGAAAATGTCTGTATAAATCAAAATATTAGTGTACTTTATAACTTATGAATATTGTAGCTTGAAAAAAAAACCCAAAAAATAATCATTATTCTGCTTTCAAAAATTAAACTGTCAGCATAGTTGACAACCACTTTATATTTTGTATAGCAATAAACATAATTATCTCAAATATTTATACAATGAGGCTGTAGTATGTATATTTCAATTTAATTTAAAAATAATATAAATGTAGTATACAGAATTTAATATAAGAACCTGAAAAAAAGAAACTATGTTAAATACCTATAATATTTACTGTTCTATTCAATATTTATTTAACTTATCTTTTTCAAAATATTAAATGTAAGTAATAATTAATAATATTTTTAATTGTTAACATATTTTAAAATGAAGAATAATATTCTTTATTGTTCAGTGGAAAACATAGACAATACAAATATAAAGTTATGTTAATAAAAGTATTTACTTACCTATAATCAAAGTTAAAAATACAATAAATAAAATCCTAAAATAATTATACTAAATAAATCATTATATTATGCATGTTATCAAAAAATAGCACCAAAACTCGATAAAAGTATGTGGTATTAGTTACGCTTTAAAAATCAATTTAAACTACATCCAAGAAGATCGAGTGGATGTTGCTAACTCCCATCTCAAAAAACTAGTTTTGATAATTTGTCATTTTTTTCATTTTTTTTCTCTTATGGTTTGTGGAAGGATTCGCCCTATCCCGCTTGCAGTATAATATGTCATGTGACTTGGATATGATGCATGATAAGGTTTTTGTAATAGACTAAAGGTCATTAGGCAACCAAACTACTTTTAATTGTGTTTCATACTCCTGCAAATATTTTAGAAACTATTGATATTTTTCGGGAATATTACGTTCCGGAAAATTGCAGTCCGGATTTTTCTGTTCCGGATAATTGCATTCCGGGACTTTAAGTATGGATTATTGCGTGCCAGAACATTATATTCCGAAATATTACGGTCCGGATTTTAATATTCATTTATATTTAGTTGTTCGGTAGGCTACTAATTAAATCATTCGAAGTACAATTCAGGAGTTATATAGGTAACATTGTATATAAAATTGGGAACCACTGGTTTTTTTTTATCAAATAATAAGGTATATAGAATTTAATATTTAAAGGTATGTTACGACCATAACCTATGGTTACAGCTTGCATTTTGGACGTGATTGAAAATTACTATTTCGCTGATTACACAGTGTATTACTGATATTATGATAATAGCGGTCCGCCACAAACCCAGATCATATACAATATACATGATATATGATCTAAGGCTACAAAGTAAACAGAACAGGGTTATTGCTCAGAGTACGTTTTCGGTTATAATATTAAAAATTAATTCTTAAACACATACTTGTCAACTTATTATTGTTGTGATATTCGGTTTAAACGCGTTCAATTTTATTTTATGATGTGTCGACATTCCAGCGACGTTGTATATTTGGGCTGTGGTTAATATTAGTCGTCTCGCACAATAACTATCAACAATTTACAACTATGTTCTCTTGGGTACGAAATCGAAGACAATTGACTAGACTAGGTTAGTATTTTTTTTTTTTATTTATTAATTAGCAGATAGTTATTAACCTAACCTTATTCTTTAAAAAATATACGGCAGTTGCACAGTTGACACAGTGTTAGTTGAGGTTTTTATAATATACCTACATAAGATAATTCTTAAATTTAGTTATTTTGTAATACATTTTAAAATTTTCATAGTGTATTGGTATTCTTTATATTTTTATATTTAGATCACTAAAGTACTAAATTTTTGTATATTAATTAGATCGTTTTCACTTTTTCATGATTTATAAAGATGATGTTTGTAGTGGATTATTGATATTTTGATTTATTTTATTTACTTTTTTGTTTAAAACTTATATATGTTTGGTTACAAATCAATAGATTGTTCAACTATTGTAACTTTTATGAAGTTAAGGAATGTATTTCTTTTTAGAAATCAAATTGAAATTATAAATTCATATTATTTGTTATTCTCCATAATTTCTATACTTATTATACAATTATTATTTATCAAGTCCATTTATTTAGTAAATTTGTATTAAGTTTAACATAAATAGTAAAATCTATAATATTGCCATAAAATTCATCACATATTGAGTTTTAAATAATATATCTTTATTTTAAACTAAGTAGGTACCTACGTAAATAAATCAGGGCCTAAAATAGTGTACCGTATGTAATCACACTTGTGTAGTATGAAAATCAAAAAGTGTATTGATTATTTTAGAGTTATGTTTACGTCTGTGTATTTCATCTGTTAATAATCCAAAAAAAGTATCATCAATTTTTAATGTATTTCGGTAATGAGCAACATGTAGCAAATTCACAGGAACATTGCGCTTTCGTGCCAATAGTCCCGAAAAAAGACAGCAAGCTCTTATTAATAAATTTAATTATTTTTTTGTACTTCTATAGAATCTATAGTATCTTTTTATAGGATCGTATTCCATTTGCTAAACCATATTTGGCAGATGTTGAAAGATTAATTGTAGTACAACATAATAAAAACTGCCACAATGTCTTCTTTGTCTCTTATAGTAATACAGATTCTCTATGTGTGAAAATAAATATGTAGAGTCTACATTGTAGAAATTAGATGAGTTTAGTTCTTAACCAGCTGCCCTTAATTGATTGAACAAAAAAAAAAAAAAAAAGGGATTTATAAATGCACACACAGCAAAAAATAATTGTGGTATCAAGGGGTTTTTGTTGAAGCCCAAGAAAAATATGTTTTATTCAGTACAATTATAATTGAACTTAGAAAAATACATTTTTGTTATAATTTATCTAGTCATTTTTCAAATAAAAATGTTTTGTTTTATTTTTTTAAAGTTATATTTTATTTCTAAACAGAGGGGAATAGTAAATTTGGGGATAGTAAATAAATTGTTTTATGGTTATTATGAATATCCAAGCGGATACCTAAGTACAGTAAACAAACTGGTGATGATAAGTTTTTTTTTGCTTATACAGATTTTGAAAGGGGTATACATTTATAAAAATAGTACAATACAAAGTTTCATTAATTTATGATAAATAATAACATTTTTTAATTTTCTTAGTATATAATAGATCACCTTCAAACAGTTAAACTGAAATACAGTAACTAAATAAAAATAATTTATAATTTCATTTCCTTATAATTTATTCAAGCAATAAAATGTATATTTCAAAAAATACTAAATATTTGATTTTGTATAGGTAGATCTGTCACATCTATAAGGTACTTATACAAAATATAGTATATCCTATAATATATCCTTTATATCATAAAGGATAATAAACAATTAGAGATCAGTTGTATTTTTAAGTCGATTAGCCTAATAGTATTTTTTTAGATAGTAAATATTTTATTAAATTGAACTGTATTATTATAATACTTTAGTTTTAAAAAATATTACTTACCAATTAATATGTAAGTACTGACCTAAATCATTTTTTTTCTAAAAAATGCTGTACAGAGTATCTTATTACATTAATATACCATACAAACATTATCTACCAAGGTGATTTATTATTTAAAATATTTACTTTTCAATTTGTTTTCCCTATGATAATATATTTGCGAGTATAGTTGTATAATATATACTTCCATTTGCTCTACTTCTTTAATTATTAATATTGTTTCAGCTATGTGTTGACAAAATAATTATATATTTTAGATTTTGAGGAGTTGGTTTTACAATGACGTTTATTTTTATTCTGTGAACAACTTTTCTACTAGTAATTTTGTTCCAATTTACAATAATAGCACTTTTTTTAAAAAAGGAAACCATACTAGGAAGGTACTTTTAGAGGGTCATTTTTTGATTTTCCCAATAAATGGAAAACATTTTAGAAAAATGTAGGAAAAACCGGAAAATAGGTACAATATTAAATAAACATTATAGAAAATGTTTAATGCATAATATAATTATTTTACCATAATATGACATATTATGTATATATATATTGTTGATAAAGCACCACTATGAGGTGAACTCAGCTCAGAATCAATTTTTCTTTAGCAATGGTTAATCGTTGCTTACAGATATACATTAAATTTCCGTCCATATCCTACCTTCCCAACTTCCCATCCATAACAGTGGCTACACCCAGTCCCATTATTCTAAGATAGCTTTTGTTTAAATAAATATTTGAATAATTGGAATATTTAAAACACATTGAAACACAAGTATGAGATATTTGCAGTATATTTAAGTCGTAAAATATTGAGTTTTAAACATTTTACAATATAGTGGGTAGATTAGTGGGCTAACCTAACCTTTTATTGATCATGATGCTGTATTTTAGTTTTTATTTTTATTTTTATTATTATCAACTATTTTACTTTGGAATGTGTGCAAACTATAATTATATTTTATTTATTAGTTTAGTTAGGTATAATTAGTTTATAATTAAATAAATACATAATTATAATAGTTGTTGTTTTAGATATAGTTACCATGGTTACAAAGGGCTAAGAAAAACAAAGTTTTTATAAAATTACTATAATAAAAAAAGTTATCTTGGTTAATTTAAGTCTCTAAAATAATGTGCTTAGGATAATGCCTTTATGGTCCTTAGAATTTGGAATTGTTTAGATAAAAGTGTACTTAATAATTGTTTGAGAGTTGTTTAATTTAATAATTTTTTCTCTCTTTCAATTTGTGATTTTACTGTAACTGTTATAGAAAATGATTTTATATTGTTTTTAAATATTAATTCATTCAATTTTAAATTCTGAGTGATCGAAGAAGCTTATAATTTTACAAATCTGAAAATAAGATTTAGTATACCATAAAAACATAAAAAAATGGCAAAAATTATTTTTTTTTTTTAAATAAATAAATACAACTGATAAGAAGTCAAAGTTGTAGATTGTTCAATGGGTCAATATACTGGACTACTTAAAAATAGATTATAATATTAATTTAAAATGTAGGTATTTTTCTTATGGATTTAAATAAATGACAGATTTTTCTACTATTTACAAAAACTATAAAACAAATCATTATATAATGCATATGAGCAAAAAATAGCACTAAAAATCTAAAATACTTCAATTATACAAAAAATAGCAATATAAAATTATTAATAAAATAATAAAGTAAAAATGAAATTATTAAAATGGTTAATACTTGTAAATAAATATATAAATGTATTTATTTTTTTTGTGGACACCTTTTTTATCAGAAATTTTGCTCAGATTTATAATGATAACACTTTTTCTAAAAGGAAATCTGACTGGGGAAGAATTTTAGGAAGGTTATTTTTTGATTTTCTGAGGAGTTTTTCCAAGAAATTGGAAAACCAAAAAAAAAAAACAGGAAAATAGGTACAATATTAAAAAAAAAACTATTTATAAATAATGCATAAGTAATTATTTTACCATAACATAACATATATATTGTTGACAAAGCAACATTATCAACTGAACTACGCCTAGAATCGTTTTTGTGTAACGAATGGTTTATCATTGCTTATAGATATATATTAATTTTCTCTCTATATCCTATTTTCCCAACTTCTCATCAACAAAAGTGGGGCTGCACCTGTCCCCATTATCCCAGGACAGCGTTTTTCAATATAATTATGAAGGTAAATAAATTTCTTTATGTTAGAAAATATGTGTTGAATATGCATTTATACTATTTATCTTTTAGCTTTTATATTGTTTTTGTCAAAAAAATATCAATCAGAACTATTTAATACAAGTAGATGATTATAATTGTAAATGTACCTTATTAAACATGAAACACATTTACAATAAAATTAACTTACTGGTGAAATATTTAGTCACTTACTTTTCTTTTTTACTTAATCAATTTAAGTTGACATTACACTTTATGTTATTGTGTGACTGAATAAAAATTAATTTTTTAAGAAACTAAAATAATCATTGATAAAGTAACTATGTAAACAAAATATACATTTTATAGTAATACTTATAATTTATAATAAATACTAAAATAATAAACAGTGAATACAAATGTCACCCTTCAATGATTTATTTATTTATTTAAAACATTAAGGGCAAGCCTAATTACATATTACATATAAGTTTAATTTTTAATTAACAGACAAATAATGATAAAGCAATTCAAAGTGGTTATGGTAAAAAGGTTAATTGTTCATTAGCCATGCCCATAATGTGCATGCACAGAGAAGAAAGGAGTATGGAAGCAGTAGGGAACACTGTGGCACTATGAAGTTAATACTGGAAAGGAGATTGGGGGCATCTATTAAACTGTATAAGAGTTTATATAGAAATTATAAAATGTGAGTTTGAGTATGCTGAGGACAGGGAAATAGTCATGTGGGGCATGACTAATCTTTAGAACATAGGAATAATAATTAAACAAAAAAAAAAATTGTGTCCTTGTGAATTATAATAATTTTGATCTTACATTTTCAGTTTTTTGAAATTTTTTTATTGGATTTTCGAAAATTGTATTTACTCTTTATCATATTATAACCATATTCTTCTAATTTTATGACATACATTGTGATTTGTGACACTTAAATGATATACAGTATTTTTTTTATTAAATAAAACAAAAAGCAAATCACAACAATTGTATACTATATTGTTTATCTGTTTACTATATTAGTATTATTAATGAATAATATACCTAATTTACAAAATATTGAAAAATGATTCATAAAAATCAAAATGCCCATTACCCATATAAGTAATGTAAGTACTACAAATAAATTAAAATAATTATTATAAAAATGAAATAGTATAACCTATTTTATTTTTTAAAACCTGTTGATTGATAAATAATTGATTAAATAATGATTATGATAACTAATGTCTAATGTACCTATACATTGAACTACATTGTTAAAAATGTTTGCTTTGATAAAATAATTCAGATATTTAAACTTACAAAAAAAAACTGAGGTTATTACCGTGCCAGAGCTTGGTTTTTATAGCAAAATGTATAATAACACATCACCATAGTTCTGACTTATGTATTTGTTATATTATTAAATACTGACACTATATAAATAATATGTATCGCAAAATACAAATGTTCACTGTTCAAGCTACGATCCCACAGTCATAATTTCAAATATTAAACATTTAAAAGTTCTTAACAGCCCACAATTCCTATTATCACATTAAGGATACTGTAAACATTATCTACCCGACAAATGGCGGAAAAACTTATTGATAAGAATTATTATAGTATGGTCAGTGAAACTAGGCGGTTTCACGCGTTTGGTGTAGACCCAGATTGAATAGGCGAGCTACTGGGAAGATCTCGGTGGACCGCATACAATTATATATGTTTTCAATTAAATTTATGTGCATTGGATTTATTTTGTTTGATTTTGGGCCAGTGAAAATACTAAACTTCAGTTGGTCTATACATTCCCTATCTGGCATTGGCCCGTTGGAAAATTTCAGGTAGGGCTTCCACTCATGGGTGCCCGTTGGGTGTGGGGGGAGAGAGACATCTCTCTAGAGAATAATAAAGTATCCCAAAAAAAAAAAATTATGTGTGCTTTGAATCCATAAAAGTAAATGTAAAATAGATATTTCATATTATGATTCTTATACAGTGATATTTGTTAATTGCTATTTGTATAGTGTTAGTATTTAAAAATAAATAATCTAATTATTTACTCAAATTTATAGTGTAAACTAAAATAAACAGTAGAATATTATAATGTCTTGATTTCAGCACTTCACAGTTTTTTTAAAGCTAATGTTTACATAATTACCATTTCTTCCTCATTCTTTTTCAAGAAATACCAACCTGCTATCTATATGCTGTAAATAGTTTTGGGAATCTAGTTTTATTCTGTGTTCTCCATCTGAAAATTACCCTATAGGCACTCTTGTTGAGAACTAATCAATGCTGGGCCCGACAACCATCTAGTAGTTTTATATATCTATGCCTAATATTTATATAAATCAGTTTTAAAATATTTACACAGGTATTTGATTTTCAATCGATATCTAATTTTGACAAAAAAATTCATTATTATATGAATAGATAGTAGAACCTCTTGGGGCTTATAGTATTGTTTCTGTTAGATGGAGGAATTCACTTTATAGTTAACAATACAACCCACTGAAAATTCTCTCTGTGATAAAAGATCGGAATATTTTCACGGTACCTCTATCTGTCATAATAAGTGACAATTTATGAAGTTAGGTCAGGTTGGCAGCTGGTGTAAAATAGTATGAACTATCCCTATAGGATGTGCGCGATGACAATAGTTGAGAGGAGGTACCATGGTACATGATGTTTGCAAATGACATAATTTTCGTTGAAGGCAATCTAAAATAAATGAATAAAAGGCTTATAGAACGGACAGTAGCACACAAAAAAAAGAGACAATAAGCGGTTATATGCGAGTTATATTGTTTTAAGTATCTGGGATACTTTGTATAAAAGAAAGGCGACTTTTATTAGGATTTTTCCTACGTTTTTCCCGTTTTCTTCCATTTTTTCCGGATTTCTCCAATTTATTGGGAAAATTTAAAAATGATCTCTCTAAAGTACTTTCTCAATCAGATTTTCTTTTATAAAAAGTTGTATCATTGTAAATATGAGAAAAATTTCCGTAAGAAAAGTTTTTCACAAGAAAAAAAAGCTGTAATATTTTTTTCTACTAATACCTACATTTCATAAATTGTCTCATTTTTTCACAGTTTTTCACATTTGTTGAAAAAACTCTTAAACAAATCAAAAAATTACCTCCCCACATTGATTTCCTTTCAGAAAAAGTGCTACACTTAAAAATCAGAACAAGATTTCTGATAGAAAAGTTTTCCATAGAAAAAAAACCAGCATTGTAAAACCGTAGGCTTCTTCCCTCCATTCAAAATCTAATATAACAAAAATTATCTAAACTCTTAAGCTACGTTTGTGGTGGTGTAAAGAGTTTAATATACATAATACATAATATGTATTATGATTAAATTAAATTACACAACATAATAAATAATATTAAATAATGAATATGAATAATTTTAGAAAATAGACTGTTAGTAATATCAAATTATAAATATAAATTTATATCATTAAACATAACATTGTTGATAAAATTCTTGATGTTGTTACTTTCATCAAAAATATTTTTTTTAATATTAATTGACAAATAGTTAAAATTAAAAATGAAGTCTTAGGATAATGGGGACGGGTTCAGCCACTGTTATGGATAATTTAATATATAACTGTAAGCAACGATTAAATATGGCTTACGAAAAAACGAGTCTGAGCCGCAGAGTTTAGTTGATAGTGATGCTTTGTCAATAATATATATGTCATATTATAGTAAAATAATTGAATAGACTTTATAAATTTTCTTTAATAATATTTGTTTAATGTTGAACAGTTTTTCCATGTTTTATCACGGTTATTCACATTTACTTAGAAAACAGCTAAAAAAATCAAATTATCTCCTTAAAGTACCATCCCATAGTGATTTATTTTCAGAAAACGTGCTACGTTTAAAAATCGTAGCAAGCTTTCTGGTAGAAAAGTTGCGAACAGAAAAAAAATGGCTATCTTTGTAAAACCATAAACTTCTTCGTTCTACTCAGAATATAAAATTAACAGGACCCAGTTAATTTATGAACTTATGACCAAAACTTGCTTTAGAGCAATTCAAACGAAAGCACCTTAAAATTCTTAATAGTTTGAATAGGTAGACCCAGTCAGATTGTCCTTCTTTAAATATCCTCGTATATGAATTATATTATTTTATTGTACCCTTTATAGATTAAGAATATTTTTAGAAGCACTACCCTATAGAAATATTACATAGTTTAACTACCAAACTATTTATATGAATATTATCCCACTTGAGGTTACAGTTCAATATTAGTCCTAAATATTTAATCCGTTTAACTATATTAATTTTTGGGCAGTTACAGTTAAAAGTGTTTGTACATTTATATAAAACAATGTCTTCAAATGGTGTAAAAATATTATTTATTGAAAAAACCATGAACATTGTTTTGTTAAATTTCAAAAATGGTTTTATATTCTAAATGGAGCGAAAAACGTATTGGTTTTACAATAATGTTTAATGATGAATATTATGGTCTCCTATTCTTTGGATAAATTTTCTACCAACAATTTTGCTCCGATTTACAATGACAGCACTTTTTATAAAAGGAAATCTTACTGGAGAGGTACTTTAGGGAGGTCATTTTTCTATTTTTCCAGGAGTTTTCCAAACAAATTAGAAAAAAGGAGGAAAACGGGAAAATTTAATTTTTGAAGTGTAGTTATAGCTGATATTTTCAAATACTTGAATGAGCACGCTTAGTGAATTACTCTGTATACATAATAAACAAAATAGGACCGAGGATACATCCTGGTACACTAGGCGTTGGTACATCATATCGAACTTCATTTTTCGGCCCAAAACACCATTAACATTATACTACTATAGTAATATGCTTTCTCCTATTAATATAACTTTTAAACCAGCTTAAAAAAATCCAACTAGTATCGTAACTGCTGAAAACTTTAAATTACAAACTATGATCCACAGTATCGAAAGCTTTGCTAAATCTAAAAGTCTACCTAATGCGTTATCATCTTTATCGAGTGCTTCTGATAAACATTTTGTGACAGAATGTAAAGCATCTTCTGTATTTCTCTTAGTTTTAAAATCATATTGGTTTTTTGATATGACACTATTGTTTTCTAAATAATCATATCGAGCTTTAGTAATTTTTTCAAAAATGTTTGAGATATTATTCAATATAGAGTTTGGTCGGTAATAGTTCATATTTTCTTTATCATCGCCTTTATGCAGATAGTTAATAATCACTATATTGAATTTAACTAGAAATATAACCATGTTGCAAATTAAATTTTTTTTTTATTTGAGTATTGTACAATCTGAGATTACTCAGAGTTACTCTGTGGTAAAATTGTTAAACTTAAACAGAAACGCTTGAAAATTTAACTGGAGGTTCATTAAGTCTTACTTCGTGGTTAAAAAAAATTTAATTTAATGTGGTATTTTTTTTTATATAGGAATTTTAATATCAAATTTTGACGAAAATCGTTTGAGAAGAAAATTATGTAGAACAAATCTAATTTTAGATTCTGAGTGGAGCGAAGAAGATTATGGTTTTACAAAGATATTATTATTATTTTTTTTTAACAACTTTTATACCAGAAAATTTAATCATATTTTTAAGTGTAGTATATTTTCTGAAAATATCTCGGTGTGGGGAGGTACTTTAGGAAGGTCATATTTGGATATTATGAAGAGTAGTTTTCTGAAATTAAAATTCCGCGTGCAGTTTCGTTACACTGACAGTCTTAAGTATTATATCGCAAGTTTTAAGTAATAACCAGTTTAAAAATTTCCAAGGTATAAGGTGATAACTGATAATCTCTCTACACACAAACGATGACGTCATCTGATTAGGGGTGACTTTCGATTATGTAAAACCTCGATTCAAGATACTATTTTAAGATTAGTAGATTGTGATGATAACACATTATCTACTGATGCCGAAACCATATTTTAACAAACCTTCAAGACTGTGGTTGCATATGGTTATAACTACGAACCATTTTTTTTAGCTTTTACCTAAACAAGAAAAAAACAAATTCATTTTAAATGTACCTAGAGACCCAAGACATTGCTCACTCGAACTATTTTAATCGCAAAATACCTCTCGGTTTATTAAACAAACTCTTCTACCAGAAATCTTGTTCCGATGTGCGATGTGTAGAGTGTAGCTTAATTTCTGCTTATAGCTTGTGGCTTTTTTAATTTTTTTAAATGTATGTATAATTAGATTCTCAGCATAGCAGGGAATCTATTAGTTTTACCATGATGTATGTTTTTTTTTAAGTCTGAGCAACATTTGTAGTAGAAATGTTGCTCCCGTATTAAAAAAAAATGCTAAAACATTTTTTTTGTTTTTTAGATTTAGTTGATGAGTAAGTAATTTTTTTTTTTTAATTTTCCAATTAGATTTCATAATTACTAGAGAAATTGGAAAAAATACGTAAAGTACAAATTGATGAATTTCCGAAAGATTATGTTAGATTAGGTTAAAAAACTCTTTCAGGAATTTTCTTTAATTTGTACGAATTATTTTTTTTACCAACAATTTTACTTTAATTAAAAAATGCAGTGATTGAAATATCCAGTTTTGCATTCATATTGTGATTACGAATGTTGAATTTTGATTTTTCGTGTAGTTTAACTGAAACAAAACGTAGATAGAACGGGAAAATTTAAGAAAATAATGGTTTTATTATTTTTAATTTTGTTTAATTGTTATAATTTACTTAAAAATATTCGTATTGACTTGAAATGTAAACTAAAATCAATACAATTTTAAAAATATTATGAAAATATTTTGAATTTATTTATAGGCATTTCATATTTTATATTTTTTCTTTGGTAAAAAGAAAAAAAAATTTAAATTATTGTTGCAGTTTTTTTTAATGATTTATATCAAATTTTCATAAAAATCTTAAATATTTCAGTATGCATTTCAAATCATGTATAACTAAACTACGCTGAGAATCGTATTTCATCAACTCAATAGTTTATCTTTAAATATAGTAAAAAATGTATAAATAAATGAATGAGTGCGTCGCCTGGAGTATTATGATAAGTGTTTTATACGATCGGTTTTGAATTCAAAATTCATCATCAGGTATATCACAGTCAAAATGTAAAACGCGACTGAATATAAGATAATTAAATGAAGGAATACATAGAAAAAAAATTTACAAATTGGTCGTTTTACATAGAATATAGAAATAGTTTATCTTTGTTTACAGATGTAAATTAAATAATTCTATGTGTCCTAAATTCTCATATTCCTATTTACAACAGTGGCGTATCCATTAACAGTATTAGCTCTTTTTGTTTTAATTTCATTAAATTATATTTGTTGATAGAACTGATACGTTTCTGAAGATCATCAGTAACATTGATTTAAATGAGTAATTAATTAAAGTAATTAAAGACTAACTAATTATCTATTTTGAAATTGTGTGAATTATCAAGAAGAAAATGTATTTGTAGTTTTAAACAACCTATACTTATAGCCAGTGTTAGGCCAAAGATCGTAATCTGATTAATGATTAAAGATTACGATTAAAATGTGTAGTTGTCAATCATAATATAAATTAATATAATCAATAATCACAATAAAAAATTATTTTAAATGATTAAAGTAATAATGTAATCATAGTATTGATTACGATTACAAAATACTTTAATTTGTAATCATGATTAATTTTTAATGATTAATGATTAATAATATTAATGAATAACAGTTATATTTTGAGATAAACATTATTTCGCTATTTAAGTCCGCTATTCGGAGGTTTTCCAATTGAATAAAATTGAAAATGTTCCCGTCCCAAAAAACACGTTCGCTATTGGGAGATGTCCGTTAGAGGAGGTTTCACTGTAATAACTATGGATATATCATTCCATTATCATTGATAATTATCATTATCCATTATACAGTTGTACTTATTCATCTAAATACTTACTATAGTTATTTATATGTATAATATATTAATGCATATGTATACGGGGCCGTTATAAGAAACCTCCCTCTTAGCACCAAAGGAGAAACTGCCCTATGGCATTGAGAGGCGCCATAAATTTATGGGACATCAAATTTTGGATAGATATCAAGTTTAGACACTAAACATATGGTGATTACTCTAGAGCAGCGGTTCTAGGGGCAACATAGTAGTACATAGAAGGTTAGGTTAGGCAACAGCATGGTTCTGTAACAGTACAGAAAATAAATTAATTAATATTTGTACAAGTGTTTTTTTAATGGATCTAATATTATGATTTATATTATTATTATTATATTGAAGTAAATTACTGTCTTATACTATTATCGTTTTGAAATAAATGCAAAAACATTGTGAATAGTTCAATTTTTATGGTTAGGTTAGGTGGTACGTGTTCCGTGACAGATCCATAATAGATATAAGTGGTACGGGAAATTAAAAGTTTGAGAAGCCCTAGAGTGCTAATGTTGGTTAACACTGTATGTACAATGTACATTGTACATTATATATTATACATTGTACAATTTTGTAATGTACAATATTATTGTATAATATAGTTGTAGTTATGCGATCAATTTGGCAATAATGATGAACGATTACAAATATTTAATCATGATTATTGATTAGCTTGAAAAATGATTCACGACTTATAACTTATGTGATTTAATAAATTAATCGTAACCGATTACGTAATTTAATCGTAAATTGATCGATTACGCCCAACACTACAGCCTACAGGAATAGGTTGAATTGTCTTTTTAATGAAAATGGATGTATGAATCACTGCATGAATGATTTTTATAAATGATATAAGGTGCATTTTAATTATTTGTTTATTTTGAATTTTTTATCTATTATATGTAGTTTTTTAAAGCTTTAATACAACATAATTATTTCATACAATCGTTTTGTATAAATATATCCAAAGCAATTTGTAAATCTAAGTAAGTAGGTAGGTAGGTAGGTACTTAAAATAATTATTTTATTTTATTTATATTTTGCAAGAATTTTGATTTTTTTTTTTGTTGTATTATATTGCTAGTTAATCATTTTAATTATTATATGGTTTCATTTCTATAGAATTATGAGACGAGCTTGATTAGTATCTGAATCCTTGTAAACCAGCCACACCCACGTTAACAGATAGGTATTTGAAATATTGTACACTCCACCCAAAGTAATCGATAATTTAAACTTCCTATAGGAAAATCTAACATTCTCTGTTTGTATAGCATGCTAACTTTTATTTATACAAAAACTCTAAAGCTTCCTGTAGTATCTATAAAAAGCTCTCTTCCTTTTGCAATATGTATACACTAAAACAAATAATAACTTATATATATATATATATATATATATATATAAGTACTTAGTCATAAAAAATAAATATTAATTTGATTTATTCATTTATTATTCGTGTTTATAATATATTTATACTTCAATTATTTGCTTTGCAAATGTGCGTCAAATGGATTGTATTTTTCTGGATGGCGAGAAAACATTGTATATTATTGGAAGTTCTAACAAAAGGTTAAAGTACCCCCCGTGCCGTGATAAATTAACATGCAATTTTGATTTCGTGATCATTTGTCATTTAATAAGTCCGCTATGACAAGAAAGAACGAAAACATAATACAGTGATATATTAGTATTTGAAACTTGTACATGTAGTAAATGAAGTGAATTGTGAAGTAGGCATACCTACACTTCAAATAGATCCAAGTAAATATTCAATTAGAAAATAATATTTTTTCTTTTGTTGTTAAAGATAATGCGTTTGTGAAATATATTAAGATGTTAGAATTTATTACTATTATTTTATTAACATTTGTATAAAGGTAATACATTGATTGAATGATTTTAATTTTTCAAGTTCTAGTGAAACTATTCAGTTTGAAATTCGAGTTTTTTTTTGTTCGAAAAACACTGTCAAATTGATGGTTTTTATGTTGACGTAAATAAGTATAGTTTTATTTATACATTATAATGTTATATTCGATTGGTACTGTAGTTTAAAAATGTTAATAATTGTTGTAATTTATAGGAACATAGTTGAGTTTATTCCATAATATAGGTCGGTATATAATATAATAACAGATCCATTAATTATTTCTTATTATTTATGATTAGACAGAGTATAGAAAAAAATGTAATTTTAATTAAAATTAAATTAAATGTATGTATTTTTTAGTTAATTAGGTAGGTAGGTATTTAATCACAATTTCTAAAGGTTTTATTTATAAAGGTAAATAAAACATATATTAATAATGTATATAATTTTAAGTGTATTGGTTTATCTCTATATTTTAACCAAGATTAAAACATTTCACTGCATGACCTTGATTATATCACTATACAGACAATAATAGTTACAGGATTTTTAAATGCTATATTTTCTGTTTCAGTAATATTACCGTTCTTCTCTGATTAAATAGTATATTATATAGTAAAGTAAACTCGATTAATGTCCTGTGATTTACCAACACACATTTATCTGTTGGTACATATTTTTTTATTATTTTATTTATATTGCTATACAAGATTATACAATTATTTTAAAAAATAGGTATCGATACTGAAACCTGTACAAGTTATAATCTGTTGAAATATGAAACTTATTTATTGTAAAATAATAATTTTTAACCTATGAAATACATATATGTACATTGTACATAATAATCAGTACCTATTTATAGTTGTAAAAATTACATTTGTATTGATTTTTTTTAGTTTTCAATCCTCAGATTAGGTAACAATAAAATTACTTCTTTATTTTTATGTTATTTATGAGTCTACTAGATTGATTTATATGATCAAATTTGTTTATTAATATTTTATTTAAAAATAATGAAAATAAATTATTTATTTAAAGCTTTTATAGACATTTTGTAAAAGATATTATTTTAATTTTGAAATAACTTGAATAAAAGCATATTATGTTTTTCTAGGTTTTTCAAATTTGATGTGAACAATTTTGAGTTAATTGAAAAATTAACTTTCTAAAGTACCTTCCCAGTGGAATTCCTTTAAAAAAATTTGCTATAATTTTAAATCGGATATAAATTACTGGTAGAAAAATTGTACACAGAAAAAAAAAGACCATAATATTTTTTTACTAATACCTACATTTCGTAAATTTTTCGTTTTTCCGATATTTTATCCCAAATTTTCCTAGATATAATGAATACCGCTAGAAAAATCAAAAAATTACCTTCCTAAATTACCACGGAGATAAAATTTCCTTTCAGAAAATAAGCTACATTTAATACATCGGAGCAAGATTTCTGAAAGAAAAGTTTGTACAACAAATCGAGGGGTATTTTTCAATTAAAATAGTCTGATCAAGCGATAGCTGGGTCACTAGTACACGTAAAATGCATTTGTAATTCCCCGTTTTAGTAAAAGGGAAAAAAATATGCAAACAATTTATTTCGAAACTCGGGTTTGAACTCGCGACCCCTAGAATGACAATAGATATGTAGAACTATTCGGCGATGGTATTCTTTAAAAAAGACAATCTAGAATTATTTAACATAATATATAATATCCGCATAATGTCAGATCTTCAAAAAGCTATAATTTCGAAACTTAGTCCATTCAATTCTGACTTCACCATTGTTCTTAAATTAGCAATATATTATATATGTTCGCAAACAAAAAAATTTAAAAAATTAGATTTGTTCCACATAATTTTTTACTGAAATGATTTTCATCAAAAGTTGATATTAAAATTCTTTTATAAAAAAAAAAACTACATTAAACTCAATTTTTTTTTTTTAAGCATGAAGTAAGACTTAATGAACCTCCTGTTAAATTTTCTTGCATTTCTGTCTTGAACGATTTATGTTTTCTTCTATAAATATTGCTCCTTGTTGAATTTACAATCTAGTTAGGTGTCCAAGAAAGAAGATTTTTGATTTTCTTTGTAGTTTTTTTAATAATTAAACAAAACCGAAAAAAAAATGTCCTAGGATAATGGGGATGGGTTTAGTCACTGTAGTAGATAACTTAATGTATACCTGAAAACAACGATAAACCATTGCTTACGAAAAAACGATTCTGAGCGTAGTTCAGTTGATGTGATCTTTTATCAACAATATATATGTGATTCTAAAGTTAAAAAAATTATTAAATAGGCTTTTTATATTTTCTTTAATAATATTTGTTTAAGGTTGTACCGATCTCTCCAATTTTCCTATATTTTTCCCGGTTTTTCACATTTGCTGGGTAAAATCTCAATAAAATGAAAAAATGACGTGTCTAAACAACCTCCCTAAGTGAATTTTCCTTTTAGGAATATTACTATTAAATGTTGGAGCAAAATTGCAGGTAGAAAAGTTGTGAACGGGGAAAAAAATAGTAATATATCAGTTATATATTTCGTATATTTTCCCGTTTTTTTGGAGGTTTTTCAAATTTTATGAGAGAACTCTTGGGGAAATCGAAAAACTACCTTGCAGTACTTCTCCACGTCGATTTTCTTTCAGAAAAGGTGCTATACTTAAAAATACGAGCAAGTCTTTTGATAGAAAAGTTTTAAAAAGATGAAAAAAAAAATAAACCATAATCTTCTTCGCTCCATTCAGAATCTAAAACGGGAAATCTACGAAAAAAATATTTTACTATTTTAAAATTAGTTGCTCTGTTCAGGTTAAAATATTCGTGGAGAATTGAAATTATTTTGAAAATGTATACATAATTTATCTAGACGTGCTAAAATTTTCAAAACATTTGAGTTATTTTTGAAGCATTTATATAGACATTTTAATTGGGCGAGTGTTTTAGGTAATTTTTATTTGGTAGGTACTACCAGGGAGAAGGGAGTGGGGAGGGGTTTTAAAGAGGTAATTTTTCAATTTTCTGATCAAATTGGAAAAACGGGAAAATGTACGAAATATATTAGTTTATTATTACAATTTTTTTTTGTAGACAACATTTCTACCAGCAATTTTGCTTCAATTTTTAATGTTAGCAAATTTTTTTAAAGGAATTCCACTGGGAAGGTACTTTAAAGAGATCGCTTTTAGATTTTTTCCAGAGTTTTCTCAGCAAATATAAAAAGCCGGTAAAAACAGGAAAATGTTGTTACTGTGGGAAAAACGGTACAATGTTAAACAAATATTAGTAAATATATAATACCTATTTAATTAAATAATTTGACATATATATTGTTGACAACGCATCATTATCGACTAAACTGCGCTCAGAATCTTTATTTCGTTAGCAATGGTTTATCGTTGCTTACAGATATACATTAAATTCCCTTCTGTATCCTACCTTTTTAACATTCTAGCTACAACAGTGGCTGCATCTGTCCTTATAATCCTAGGAAAAATTAATTTTTTATAATAGTTTAAAACAAATTTTGACTAAAACCGTAAATATTATGGCCTTTCAGAACATGTGTAACTGAACTTTCCTGGAATTTCCGAATCATTTTTCGTTATTAATGGTTTATCGTTGGTTACAGGTATAAATTAAATAACTTTATGTATACCATCTTTCTCACTTTTCACCTTTCCCAGTATCAGTTTTATTTTTATTTTTATATTGTTTTAGTAATATTATATATTTATTAATAGTTCTCAACGCATGTGATATAGTGTCGAATATTCCATAATTTAATAATTCATAGGTATCCACAAAGTATTTATAATGATTGTCTTCAAATTGGAGATTTTATTGTTATCAAAAAAAGCAGATAGTTATGCATCTGCGATCGAGTTTTATTATCTTCATCAGGATAAATATGTAATTAAAAATAAGTTCGATTAAATTTCGATTTTGATGGCGATATAATTATTAAAATATGATGATTTTAAATTTTTAGCACTTAATACAGCTATGGCGCTATTTGTTTTCCAATTATTCTTTTATGTATAGGAAAAGAATTTAGGATTATTCAGACCCTCACTAAATAGTTGTATTAAAAATGTTCATATTATGTATGTGATAGTATTAGAATTAAATTATGAGAGGAATGTTTTTTCAAACATTAAAGATTTTGAATATTTACAAAAAAATAAATATAATTGCCATAAAGTCTGTTTAAAATAATTCTTTTCAAATACAATAATTTATTGTTAACTGAAAATTAAAATAATAAAATAGTTACCTGTGGCACTAAAATGATTCGAACGGAGTGGTGTTGAACTTCAAAATTTGGTACCCTGTATGAAAATGTATTTTTAATTTTTCCAATTGAACTCATGTAAATGTAAACAAGAAACGCAGCTAAAATTATATTGTGTACAACCGATTTTCTTAGGTGTTAAAGTCTATATTATAGACATTATCGATCATTTAATATAGGTTATAGACTTTATAACCTATATTAGATAATCTGAAACCATTAACCTTTTGAAAATAACATCACGACCAAAGAAAGTTCAGTTAAATATTTTATGATGTCATTTTAAATTTGATAATAATAATATTATATGTAATAGTTATGATTATGTTTATTTTATTTTGATATTCCTTGTATAGTTTTCTTAATAAATGAACAAATTATTACAAAAACAGAAAATGTACGCAAACACGGTTTTAGTTATTTTCGATTTTTTTTTTTTTTAATTTTAATTCTGTGTGTTAATGTAATAATTGTAGTGTAGAAAATCGTATAAACCTATTATAGTTCTTTCTAAACGTGGTCAGAATTTCAAACTATTTTGGCAATTTTTGTGTTATTCATTTTTATAGCTATTTGAAATATTTAAGATTTTTTTAGTTATTTTTTGATTTTAAGTTGATAAGATTTATTTTGTTTGGTTTCTCAAAATTTAATAGAATTTTTATCATAGGTTGTTTTATGGCACTGCAAAAATATTCATATTCTTGATTTTTTCTTATAAGTGACATTTCAAAATCAAATTTTAATTAAAATCGCAAAAAGTCCAGAATTTCATGTACTATTTTCCGATTTTCCGACGCAGATATAATTTTTTTTCTCTATAAGACGAAAAACACCTTTTTGAATTCTATTTTTAGTTATAAATTAATACAATTTTCAATTTAAACTTATCAAAAAATGTTTGACTGTTACGAACATTTTAACATAAACAATGAAAATATTATTGTTATGTACAAATATAAATTAAATGGGTTATTTAGAAAAGCCTATGTATCCTACCTTTCCAACTGATCACAGCGGAATACCAGTGGTGTAAAGTATTTCTATCTTTTCTAGATTTCATTGTTAGAATATCATTTTTCCTTTATCGATTAAACCATTAGTCAATTCATTTTTAGATATTACAAACAATTTATCTTTATCACGAGTTATAAAAGGGGAGGGAGGATTGGGAGAAATCATCAACTACACCCTATCGTATGAATGACATTTGATCGTGTTCACCCGCTGGCACGGCACAAGCTTAACCTTCAGTGTTTCACTTAGATTTGCGACTGGCGGACGTTCGAAAGTTGATTGCTGTTATACCGTAAACGTGTTTAGATTTTTTTTTCTTTTTAGTTTTTAATAAATTATTTTAACTGACTTCAAATTTTTCACAATACATATTTACAATTTACAAAACATAAAAAAAAAATTGCTTGAATGAAAATTCTTATTTGATCTCAAATTTTAGAAAAGGAAAATATTTATTGGACTAATATTATCGGCTGTAGTAATTTGGTAAATTATAAACAATATTTGGAAAATTTTTTAATATTTGGTTAGTATAATAAATTATCTCATTGGATTTGAAAAATACAAACATATCTACTTTGTTATTTGTCTTAAAATTAGATTAATAATATACTTCCTAATAGTATTACTAGTTTTATTGTTTTTTATGTTAATAATAAAAATGTTCAATTTGAATAATTCTAGGAAACTTAGATATTAAAATATTTTAATAATTCTTGTTCGTAGTTAGTAATTATTACATTATAATGTTACAATGATTATTCATCTGGTTTATTCGTTATCAAAACGATATCGTCTCGTTGATAAACAAGTCAGGCAATTCTTCATTTATAATGTGTTTGGACTAGATAGTATGAATTTTGAACGAACTGAATGAGCAAACTATCTGAATATTTTCACAGTCTGTCTAGTTTTACGTTAACTATAGCTAGCACATTCAGTGGTTCTGCATACTATTTCTTATTGAATATTTTATAAGTAGGTATTATACTATAGTTACGGTATATCTAATCTGTATGAACTTAAAATTATTTAATATTAAATATATAGTATATCTACTACAACTATACTACCTATATTAAATGTAATTGTTTTCGAAGTGTAACATTTAAATTTTTTCCGGTAATTCGTATGCTCAGTGAGTACAATATACTATTTTCAATATGTGTATACAATTTTTCAAATTTCAAAAAAATTGATTCCAAAATTAAAGTACCTCGATATTTTATTACAATTTAAATTTTTTCTTCAAATTATGTTATCAAGATATATTATATACATTATTAGATATTATTATCTTATATATAAGATTTATACATCTTAGACGTATAAAACCAATTTAAAATGTATACAAATATATAAAGTATAAATCAAGTCCAGGAATAATTTGTATTATTTTATTTTTATGAATTTGAATAGGTATACCTATATTAATTTTAAATTTGGATTTAATTATAATATAGTTAATTACACGTTGCTATCTAAGATTATTTTTTTATATATTAAAAATAACAAAATATTTTAATTGAATTATCTATGTAGGTATAACCGAGGTATTTTTTAAATATTTTTTTGTATCTATTCATATTAATTTAGCTTTTAATTTAATTGATTTACCTTAATTTTGTATTTAACATTGTTAAATTTATTACACATTTAAAATTGTGTAAAATATACTTGTCCTTATACTTCTAATAATAAGGTATCGTATTTGGTCGGTTATTTTATTTTTCTTATACATATTTTCAACAAATTTTACTTATTTTATTTTGTGATTCACCTTGTTAAATAATCAATAGTAAAGTGCCTAATACAAATAGTTTATTATTACCAATAATTAAATTATGTAAAATATATTCTGTTTTTTCCGGGGATGTACTTAATATCATTAAAATCATAAAATATACTAATGAAATCATTGATTTGAAATTACAGAGTTATGAGGTCTTATTATGATGATGATTACGATTATTTCGTTGTAGTTTTTTTCTTAAAAAATGCTTTTTCTTTAGATAACTTAGACAAATTTAAATTATATTTTTATATTGTTTTCTACCAGGCATTTTGCTCTAATTTTTAAGTATAGATATTTTTCTCAAAGAAAATTTAACCGAGGATGTAATTTAAGGTGATCATTTTTTGATTTTCTCAGGAGTTTTCATAATAAGTTAAAAAAACGTAGGAAAAACGGGAATATGTACGAAATGTAATTTTTCCAAATCGTAATTATTACAGCCTTTCAAAACATATATAACCGAACTTTTCTCAGAATCATTTTTAGTTAGAAAGAATTAATCTTTGCGTATAGATATACATTAGTTTTCCTCTCTACCTTCTCAACTTTTCACCTACAACATTAGCCCACCCATCCTGCGAAGTATATTCGTTTATTTTTATTTAATGTATGTATAATCGCGTTTGATATTAAATTCTGATAAACTCTACAAACAAAGAAGTTTTTATTACTCCACTGTATAGAATTTGTGACTCACCGAATTAGAGATAGGCGAATGCTTTAGTATAAATAATTTTAATAACCTTATATACAGAGCGGTTGGTCGAGAGTGGTGTGTGCACATTGTGTTTCTCAATATCTGTATAGTTCCTGAAAAATTATTTTACACAATTAATTAATAACTATCATATGATACCTATACTAATTTTATAACTTTTAAGTTGTTATTCTTGTACACATCTATCGGCATTTAAATAAGTATTTAAAATAAATATATATTTTAATTTTTGAATTAACGTACCTAGCTAATAGAGATTGACAGTTTAATTTAAATTTGTCTTTTATATGCTGTACATAAAATATTTTAACGACTGAACATGAACTATATAATGAATGTAATGGAAGGAATATTAAAACATATATATTTATATAAATATATATTTTTTTTGATGTGTAACTTTTGTTGTGTGAATGATGTCATAATATTCTACATTAAGTATTAGCTAGGTACATTAACAGGTGGTATTTGCGTTAAATTTTACCTTCGAATTTATTTTGAAATATTATGCATATTTTATATTCCTACTTTCTATTTTCCTCGTTTTAAGAATGTACCTGTATACAATGTATTTTGTACCTAATTTACTTACTACAGTGTAGTTATTATAATATGTAGGTGTAGAATTTATTATAAAAAAATTGTTTGTTTTTTATTTTCTTTTAAATTTATTCATTATTTTTATGAGTTTGAATAATATGTTTTAAAAAAAATTATGTATGTTTTGAATAGACGTCTTAGTTTTTATCGTTGCAACAATATATGGTCAGACAATAGGTTGAAATTAGTTATAAATGTTTATTGTTTATATATAATTATTATCATTGGTGCAAGTAGGAGAACTTGAGAGAACTTCATCCCCCAAATTCATGCTAAATCTTCCCAGTTCAAAAATTAGTAATATAATGTAATTATAATTATTGAAAAAAAAAATGTACACGGCTTAAACAATTCTAACAAAATTCAAAAGCACTTTAAAACTACATCATATAAAAACCAATTATATGCATACGAAGGAAATATATTAAGATAAAAATGATTGAGTCGTGCTAGCTATTCCCAATACTCCTAAACGTAGAACCCCTGAAAGTAAAACATCGGCAAAAAGGCGGTGCTTGGCATGCCGATTGTTCCCACTTTTTTGAGCGTAGGTACTATAGTCTGTGGAAATTCATATTAATTATAATACAATTTATTTTGAATGACTTTGTTAAACTGATAACGGTTTAGGCTTTCTGCGCTGAATGTACGTACTAATTTTTATTATTTGGAGAACGTTAATTGTTCGATTATTATTGGAATTTGAAATATCGATTTTAGTTATTTGTAGGTACATTCAATTAAAAAAAAAAAATTGTACTAATATTTTGTGCTTTTATGTCGATATTAGAGTCATAGAGTATGGATGTTTTTTAATTTATATTATGGTAAGAGTTCCCCACCTAAAAAATGTGGATTATTTGCGCCTATGTGATTATTCTTTATTAATTTTCAACATTAGTTTTCTAACCAAAATTGGATATAATTAAGCAGTCTTAATTATATTGACTTATATTATTTCATCGTCTTTTTAGATTAGGTATATCGTGTATAAAATACATGTTTTTCACAAAATTAAATTAGCCTCTTAGTATATTTTATTAATCATACTAGGCTTAAGGCATTCTTTTATTAATTTAACCAATTATTTTAGAGTTAGTCTAAGTTTTTTTTATTTACGATTTGAATACTTATATTTCGTAACCCGTTCGCTTTATGTGAATATAATAGGTACTATATAAAGTACATATTGTTCAGTCATTGATTAATAGTCTAAAAGCTCGTCTAAAAATGTAACAGGTCTTAAATTATTCATTACTATTTTATCAAGAATCGCAATACGACCTTGTTAGCTTTCAAATAACGATTTACCATGGTTGCAGGAACATCGTAATTTTATATTAGACGTTGACAAAATTTAATTACTTATACAAAATGTATAAAGCGGTAAATATACTGTAAACATTATTAAAAAGGATAGGGCATTTTTAATAATGTTTAGGTTCGTGTTCAGTCGTTAAAGAGGATTTTCACGGTTTATTACAGTTGAGAAAATTGCCCATAAAACTTTGGTTCACCATTATAATTAATTTTTTCAATAGTGATTAACCACCAAATACCTACGGGCTTCTCAGTATTAGGTTTTATTATTATTATTACTTTTTACATATTATCAAAATATTGTATCTACCTCTATAGAGTATCTACCTATTATTATGTCGATTATGAAAAATATATATATATATACGTCATGTTGTGCATCTAGGTAATAAGGTGCCTATATTAACCATGTAAGATGTTGATCGCTTCGTCTTCCTAATTTGTCTTCCTATATATTGTTGTTCTTACCTCAGTGTGCAAAATATTATAATCCATGTCAAAAAAAAGGAACCCACAAGCTCCACAATCCTGCAGTAATCAAAATATAGGTAAGAGTATAATATAATAAGATGTATATTAGTTTTTGTATATTCAGTATTACTTATAATATATTGTAAACATACATATATTTACTTTTGTACAAAAAAATGTATTATTTAAATATATTTGCCTTATATGTATTATAATATTACGTTAATTAATTTGCACTATATAATCATACACTCATACCTAATAATTTAAGTAATACAGTTAATTTAATTACAACAATAGTATTATTAGTATCATAATAGTAAGTACCTGCCAATAATTTAATAACATTAAAGTAACCTGCAACACTTGTTTAAACATGTTGGCTGAAAGTGCAAACAAATTTCATGTTGGGAGATTTATTCGTAATAATACACCCAAAATGTAAAATACGATTATACAACTATCAAATACTAATCGAATTATAAATAAATATAATAGAAGTATTCTATAATATGCAAATATATTTTTTTGAAAAAATCCTCTTGAATCAGTGGTGTAGTTATGAAGGGGAAGGGTAAGGTTGGTTGAGATAAATCCTCCAGTGTTTTTTTTTTTTTAATATTATGCACATTAGTATACCTATTTGTAACTAAAACTCGTTCTGAGTAGGGTGGTATAAGTCGTATTTTCCCCCTTATAATCAATAAGGTGTAATCGAGAAATCAACAATTAAGACTTTTGTCAGTTTTTAAATTGTATAGAAAAAATGTATGGAATCTAAGCATTTCTTTTTAATAAAGTGTTTATTCTCGGGCGAAAAATATGCATCTTTTAATATATAATGTGAAAAATATTACTTTTACATTATTTTTAGTATTCGAAAAAGTATTTTCCGATAACAAAACTCCAAATGTTTAAAATTTAAAAAACGTGTTTCAAGTAAAGTACCACCGGTCATAAATTCCATATCGTTTTAGGTACTGCGTAAACAAATTGGATTAGAATAAAAGGAATACGCCAAAAAAGTGTTTTATAATAAAACAAAAGTGTAATTTTTTGGAAAAAGTATTTGGAATTTTAAAAAAAGCATTTATTTAAAATACAATCAGGTGAATAATCTACATCTTTTAAAGCATACAGTATATAAATTATAAAGCAATTTTACTGACTAAAAAATGTTTTCCAAAAAAAACATATCTTAGTAAAACTAATAGCTTCTTCTGTAGTTCACTTTATTTAAAATCTAAAACATAGATCTGTATGGAGAGTATGAAGACTGAAGACGTCACATGAAGTTTACCTAACAAATTAATCCACCCCCCCTCTCAGAACAAAATCATAACTACGCCACTGTCTCGAACTTGTACAGGGTATTTCACGAGGATATACTCATTCTAATATCTTTAGAAATAATAAAGATAAATAAATCAATTTTTTTTTTTTTTTTTTTATATATATTGCTCGCAAGGAACACTTCGTACAAAGTAGCATCTAATATCTTATTAAACAGATTGAAAATTATTAAAGAAATTATTGGAGAATACCAGGTAGGATTAATGGTAGGTAAATAAACTATATATCAGATTCATACAATAAAACAATTAGCAAGAAAAAGCCACGAACTCAATAAAGACGTATATATGCTATTTGTGGATCTTAAAACAGCGTACAACTCAGTAAATAAAAAGAAACTGTGAAACATTATGACCCGGATGGTGATACCAAAATACCTTATTAGAATAATCAAAGTGTGCATACAAGGCTCTAAATGCAAAGTGCGCCATAGCATTAAATGCGTGTGAGACATGGGTAACCACTAAAACAGATGAGAACAAATTTGATTATTTTTAATCTTTGAATCTTTTTTAACCTAAAGAACCCGGTTTCCTTAATTAATGATAATTTAAAAAAAATGACGTCTCTAAAGTACTACCCTAAAACATTTCCTTTCAGAAATAGTGATATACTTGATAATCGGAATATGTTTTCTGATAAAAAAAAAAAAAAACATCATTATAAAACCAATACTCTGTCCACTCAGAATCCAAAAAGTATATAATCAATTAGCTATAATCATTAATCATACTAAACAATTAGCAGATGTGATTACAGCCTGCTGTATAATTATAGGTACTTTTCTCTGAACTTTAAAAAATTACTAATTTAATGAAAATAAAAAGTTGAAACATCAATATTTTTAGTAAAATAAACTATATGGCTATCTTCACATTTTTCGAAAATAATAAATTAAAAAGTTATTTTTTTAGTACATAAAAGTTTAGTTAAAAATCAAATATTTACATTCTGTATCTTTGCAAGTAATAATAATAATAACAGAATTTGTTTATCTTTATTATTTACGGAGATATTAGAATGGGTATATCTTCGTGAGACACCCTGTATAGCTAATATAGTTATATATTACTTACACATTGTGATTTTGAAGATATACGAAGTGGTGTCAATTGAGGATAGGGGATATTGGCCCTAGTCTAACTTTAAGACTTACCTTAAGTTGATATTTTGGTTGATTTCTAACTTTCTGGCAAAAAAAAAATGAAATTTCGCAAAGTGGTTCTTATAGATTTTTTTTTTTAATATTCCTTCATAACTATACGTTTTAAAGTGATTTAAATTTCCATTTTTCTATTTTTAAAAACACTACAAATATATTATTAATTTATATCTACCCAAGTATATGAACATCTGAAATACCTATATTAACTATAGGATCATATTGGAGTGAAGTGAGACAAATTATTATGGTTAAAAATTATTTTACTCGTCATTTGGTAATTTTACTCAACCAGTCTAACAAATATTAAAATGACACCACTGTTTTTAATTTACATTTTGCAATTTTGTGGATGTTTTTATAATATATTGTATATGTTCGAATAATTATTTGGTGTAAAATATAAAATGTTCTGTTGTTTTGGGTCACTAAAAAAATAAATAAATAATATACTAATTCATTTTTGTATAAAACACGCTCACATACTTATGATTATACGCATGTTACCGATAACACAGTATTGTAATTTATTTTCAACAAATTAAAAATTTAAACGGGAATTTGTTCAAAAATGTTCGAACAAAGTTATTCATTTTTCTATATTAATTAATAATATTAGTGCAAGTGCATATTGCAATTGAAAACGTGTATAATATGTAGACTATAGAGGTTTTTTTTGTCTGTACTATTACAATATTAATAATACACTACTAATATACTAAACAGCTGTTTACATTGTATATAATAATAAATTATGTACAATACGAGTTCAATCACTTGAATAACTTTTTTTATTCACATATATTATGTTGTTAGAAAAAAAAAACAAATAATATAGCTTGTTAAAAAAAATAAAACCCTGCTGACTAACATTATAAATAGTATGCTTCTTTTTTTTAAAATACTCTCACGTATCATTCTAATGTATCGCAATGTCCCACATGTATATTTTAATGTTCAAATATAACATCATATAAACCAGGTCTAAATAATTTATATTCATTTTTTTTTCCAATCGTATTTTGTGTTTGGTGGTCACAGAAAATCTTTCAAATTTCATGTTGCAGTCCACAAAATACTTATTTTTTCAAGAAATAATTTAAAACTTTTTGGGAACATATTATAAAATATTATTATACAGTATATTTTGTTGTATTTTTCTCTTGGTTGAGAATATATGGCATATACTCTTTCGGTTAGCACATGCAAGTCATAAAAATAACTTTTTAAATAACAACACCTATAATTGACGATTACTCAAGGTACTTAAGTAATTATAACTTTTATAGATTAAGTATGACTTAAAGATTTTTCAATTAATTTGGGAGAAATTTGCCCACTGTTTTATTTTACCCACATAACAGAAGTTTTAATTTTTTTTGAAAAATCATTAAAAAATATCATATTATTTAACCAACTTTTGATAGGATTATTCAAATTGTGTCAAAAATAGATATTGCTACTCATATTTAAAAAAAGGAATTGTAGTTTTAATTCAAATCCAAAGTCATCCTTGCATGTCAAAATCGCACTAAATAATAAATAGTGCGATCAAAATATTCTGGGATTGTATTTTTTTTTTCCGTAGACAACTTTTACATTAGCAATTTTGTTCAGATTTTTATGTGTAGCACATAACCTAAAAGGAAATTTAACTGGGGTGGTAATTTAATAAAGAGGTCATTTTTCCTAGCTGTTTTCATAATAAATTGGAAAAACGTAAGAAAAATGGGGAAATTTACGAAATGTATTATTTTTTTAAAATAATTTGGGCCTTTTAAAAAAATTTACAACTGAATTCCGTTCAGAATGGTTTTCGCAAAGATTAATCATTGTGTACAGATAAACATTAAACTCCCCTCTATATCCTACTTTCCTAACTTCTCACCTACAATAGTGGCCCATCTATCGTGCGAATTATATAAGTATAAGTAGATCACCTATATTCACGTGGATAAAACGCCGCAAAAACTTTTCTGGATCCCTAGATTTCCTATCCTCCGTCACCAGACCTAATATATGGGACGTGTACAAAGATTTTTAAAAAAAATCGGACGTGTATAAGTACTTTAAATTGTGAATACTATAGGTAACTATAATAGTAGATGGGACGTTTTAAATGTATAGGATATTTATAAAGGACGATTTAGTTACTATTTATTTACAACTATTGTTGCCAGAAAAATCCAACGAAAAGTTTGTCAAGTTTCTCCGCTTTTGAATTCATTTTTTTTTTTTTTTTTTAATTCTTGATACAGCATCAACAACTAAGGTTATTAGCTTACAGCAATAATAATATTGGCTACATATAAATTAATACATTTAATTATCTAGATAGAGTTATACATGTTAATATATTAAGAAATAAAATTATTTTTTTATTGATATCTTCGGTTGGGCTCAGACCTTTGAAAAGTTTGTCTGGAATTCCTAGGATGATTTTGGTTTCTATGTGATTTCGACAGTGTACGAGGAGGTATTTTATTGTGAGGGGTTCTCCACGGGTTTAACACAGTGAAGGTTAATCTCTTCACATAAGATGTCCATGAGACATCTTAGAGACACCTATACGTAGTCTATTAATGATTACTTCATTAAATTCATTATAAAGCCGCCAACAAACAAAAAACATATTTTATTTTAAAACATTTTCGGTTACATCAAAATGAAAAAAATTATTGAGAATCTATAAAAATAGATATGCTCTAGAAAAGTTACAGATGTCAATAGTATAAATCCTATTGCTCTTCAACGCCCCATTGGCGCGCAATTTAAACAGTCCCAGAACTTTTTGATCATACCTCGCATATTAATTATATGGAATGTGGTTACGTAACGAATTGTACAATATTTACTATACATAGTATAGTGTATTTTAAACAATTTAAACTTGACTGCACCTACTTAACTGTCAACTATTTTTTCGGCATAGTTAACAAACACTTTTTCTTCATATACTGAACTTGGACCCTTATTTGACATTTATGTTTTTGGTAGATAATGTATACATATAATCTGTTATATATTATATACTCATGGACGTTATTTGTGTTACGTAAATACATTATTGGAATAGCTGACCCTAATCCGTGAGTTTTCATTCGTTGTTTCAGATCAGTACGGTTACGAAGACGATGGACCACCGGATGCCGTCGACTGCCTGGGCCCCGGTGACATTAGGACGATACGCATCAATTGCGAACAACAGTACAAGAGCTGTTCGAATTGCATATCAACCGCCAAGTACAATTTGCTATCGTTCATACCCATATTCCTGTTCGAACAGTTTCGACGGTATTCCAACTGTTTTTTCCTACTCATAGCACTCCTGCAGGTCAGTCCGAGTATAAATTTAATTTAGAAATAATTATATGTAATAAACAATAAAATGAATATATTAGATTCGGTGCGGAGAGAGGGTTTTATTGGTTTGTTTTGCGTATGTGTAAACAACCCAACTAGAACAGAAAACTTGTTCCAATCAAAAAATTACAAGATAAATTTTTTGTTGTATTTTAAATCTAGTAAATGCATTGGGGAGGTTATTTTTTTAAATTTTCAAAGGGTTTTTCATAATAATTGAGAATAACCTGAAAACAAATTATCGGAAAAGTGGGCAAATATTTATAGCGCCCTCGGTATCACCATTATTTTTAATTTGTATGCTTAATGTTTTCTATTATAAATACTGCTCCAATAAAAAAAACGAAAAGAGACATTTTTTGTTGAATTTTTAATCTAGTTGGTGTTTTGATTTTCCATAAAGTTTTTTTTAATAATTTAATAAAACCGAAAACATTCGTAGAAAGAACGAATAACGGTTTCATTATTTTCAATTTTATTTTTTTGTTATAGTTCAGTTAAAAATATCTGTAGACTTTAAATTTCGACATTTTGGCTTCTACAAGACGTGGTAAAATTTATAAATATTCTAAAAGTATATTAAATTTTTAGATTTGTACGTAGTTTTTATTTGGTGATAATACGTGGATATCACTATTTGACCAAACAGACATGTTAGAAAAATTAACGGGATGTTCATGACAAGTTGTATTTGGCGTAGTCAATAAAAAAAAACTAGAGTGTAATATGCGTAGTTATTTATTTTTAATAATGGTTTTAAAACAACAATTTTGATGAAAATCGCTCGTTTCAAATCAATCTTTCTTCGTTTGTTTATCGTTGCTTACAGATATAAATTAAATAACTTTATATATCGACCTTCTACAACTATCCACTTTCAAAAATGGCACACCCATCAGCTACAGTATCAAATTTTTTTTTTAAAGGTTTTTTATTTAACTTCAAATCTTGTTTGTTTATCTGTCTGTATGTTTGTCCGCACAATTTCTCGAGAACGGCTGAACGTACAGAAATAAACAAGATATATTCTGAATCATAATGAGCTTTTCTAAAATTTGATTGTTTCGAACGATAATCGTAGTCGCCGACACAGCGCATTACGCGTGACGAGGATGATAGGGATTATTGTATTTTTAATACATTTTTCAATTTTATTGTCGACTAATATCTAAAGTTGATAACAGAACGTCTAAGATAATAATAACGGAATATTATAATTTATTGTATTTGAGATATTACTGTTGTTAAACGAAGCGAATGTAAATTTCTCGTTGAATCATTATTTATAATATTATTTTTAACATCATAAATTAATTTTTAATAGGTAGGTATGTAAATATTTCCTTTTAATTTTTTTTTCTTCTTACAATAAACTGAAATAATTCGGTTTTAATTTTAGTTTGTATAAGTAATAACTTATTTTCATAGATTAAAATATAATTATATTTAATATAATATTATACACCTAATCACAAGGTTTCGCTTTTGGGATTTATCACTCTTTTAATTTATTGTGTTTTCGATTTTTCTTGGTCATTATAATTATGATTAAAAAGACGGAAGTACTTCGCAAGTTGGGTGGGTCATTGTTGTAGGTGAGAAGCTGAGAAGGTAGGATATAGAGGAATAATAGGGAATTTAATTTATATCTGTACATAACGATTACTCTTTGAAAACAAAAAACAATTCTGAACGAAGTTCAATTATATATGTTTTGAATAGTGGTGAGCCGATGTAACTTTTTCCGATTTCCGAAATTCCGATAGTTGCTACTGATATAAAACCGATAACCGAACCGGTATTTTTTTGATACCATGAGTCAATATTAAAATTATAAAAATACCGATATTCAATTTTTACTGATATAATTTAAATGTATACACAAGATTTCTGGTAAAAAAAAGTTTGGTACTGATAAACATGTTTGTAAAACTATAAGCTTCTTTCAGAATTTAAAATTACTATATACATTTTTATTTATTTTTTTATACTATAAAGTGAGACATATTATGATCCTCCTGGTAAATTTTCAAGCATTTCTATTATTGGTCTTACAATTTAATCCATAGAGTACCTACAAATAAAAATGTCGTAAAAAATTAACAAAATTTAAATGTCTATAGGTAAATAGCTCAATAATGATACAAATATTTGAAAAATTTACCACGACTAGAAAAAACAAATATAAGATTTTTGTCCAAATTTCAAGTTTATGAATATTTTTAACTAAATCATAACAAAATAACTGTCCGGAGATATTCAAGGGGTATATCTTCGTGGGACGGCCTGTAGACGGGAATTTTATGAATATTAAGTCGTAAAAATTGTGTACGAAACTATTAATCATTGCTAACTAAAAAACGATTCTAAGTGGAATTGGATTGATAGTGTTGCTTTGTTAACAATATATGTCATATTATGCTAAAATAATTAACTTTATTGGGCAAACTCCTGGGAAAATCAAAAAATATCCTCCTTAAAGTACCTCATCCTAAAGTACCCCCAATCAAATTTCCTTTTTTCAATCTGTGAAAAGTTGTTCACAGATTGAAAAAAATTAAATAAATAAACATCATTGTAAAACAAATGCATTTTTCTCTACGCTCAGAATATAAAATTCGAATTTATTTTACTTTTCGTATGAACACATGAGTCATATTTAGTAATATTTTTATTTTATTTAACATTGTATTTTATAACTATAGGTAAGTCGAAAGTGCATTTAGTTTGTTTCCTGTGGTGTTATATTTGGTAGACTGAGACAAACCTATCAAATTCTCCTACTCATAGAGAAAAAAGAATAAAACAGTTTTTTTTAAAATAAACTCTCTTTATTTTATTGATAATCTCAGATTTGTATACTTATAAAGAAAAAGGTGCATATTTTCGTGAAATTTAAATTTTATATTTTATTTAAAGAAGTTAAAACCCAATATTGAAAGTCGGAAATTCAAAAATTTGACTAAAGATCTTATATTATCGGACATAAAAGCTATAAATCGACCAAATGCTGAGCTAAAATTATGATTTTGTAATAACTAATTACTAATCAAACTTTGAATGACCCTTCCTCAAATGACACCACTGTTTATTTCGTTAGTTTTCAAATCGAAGGTTCTATTAATAGATTCTAGGGCCTGGTACTTTATGCATTTAAAATCCATAAAGAGCTTAAAAAAAAAAATGTAAAAAGAAAAAATAACAGAGGGTTCAGAGGGGTTTAAAATGTCCAACCCCAACCACCTAACCATTAAATGCAATTATCGAACACATATAATTTTCATTTTTTATAATACTTACAATTTTATTTAAAACGTTTGTTAATAATTTTTGTAGTGTTCGAAAATTGTATTTGATAAATTAGAGGGGAGGAGGCTTTTAAAAACGTACTTCCATTTTTTTTTTTTTTTGTGCTTTTTCAAGCCTTTTTTGACGATTTTGTGTGGATTTGAAATACATAAAGTCCCGAGCCATAATCATAATATACATATTACAATGGTTAATTCAATGTGATAACGAAAGGCATTTATAAAGAAGTCGAATAAAACTTAAAGATACAATGTTTGCCTGTTCTACTGGTGGAAAATTCGCGAGTAATCTATCTTTGCCCCTTGGTAATAATATCGAGTGTTTTCGGTTGTGCATAGTGATAATAATAATCGATCACATTTACGGAAATCGGCCATCAGTGAAATTATTAAACGTGACCGTCCAGTCAATGGCGGCGGTCATAATATAATTTTAAATCATTATATAGGAATTTTGATTCAGAGTGTGTACGTGTGTGTGTGTGTGTGTTTTGCGTGTGCGTGCACACGTATTTTATTTACGGTGGGCGTTGCTGTTAGAATTTATATGTCACCGTCGCACTGCCGCCACTGCGAACGGTATATTATATAATTATATTCTATCTATACTATAGACTCTATAGAGTATATAGAGTATAGGTAGTAGGTACCTATGTAAAGGAACAAAAAACGTTCCCAAGTGTATTTGACGTGCAATTTGCTAAAAGTATATTATATGCACTCTTTAATATTAACTGACCTTATGCTGTGTCGAGGCCGCGTTTTATAAATGTTAATAGTCCTGTGACCTTTGTATCGGGGTTATGATTTATTGTTATTATTTTCGAGAACCGTAAATAATTGTAATATATCCAGAATATTATTATACGTATTATCACAACAAAAACTCTTTGCCTGCTGAAGCTACGTGTAAAATGTGGCTTCGTAAAAAAAAAAAATAATAATAATATACTTATCAGTTATCCCGTATCTCGTAATTGTTCAGCATCATAAAGTAGAGACATCATTTTTGGTACTAAGTAAAATTTCCGAGAGGCGAGTGCTTATAAATATTCCTACAGTTTACTTAGTATTGTGTTATTTTAATGATGTTAATTTTATTTAAATTAATTAATCATTATACTTGAAATACTTTAAATTTTCTTATATCCTGTGATATTAACTGTTTAAGTATATATTTTGTTTTGTTATAGCCTATGGGTATATATTATAAGAAAGGTTCTTAGCGTGACGGCAAAATATTTTTCCACCCCCTCCCCTTCATCTAAATTTTTACAAAATAAAACAAATTGTTGAATCATATTTCAAATTCCTAAGTGACAATTCTTTAAACCTTCTATATCGAGATAAAGCTTTCCATTTCAAATACATTGGATTCTTTTTATTATGAATTTTGTTTCTATAAGGCATACAAAATGAACAATTTTTTTAGGGGAAGGGGGACTTAAAATAAAAAAATTTAAATTTTACTTCAATTTCTTTAAAATAGCCATTTTGGGAAATGGATTTTTAGACAATTTTTGGTGGTTGAAACTTTTGTTAAATTATAGTCTTTTATTTTCTACGATTTTTTTAAAATGTAAATAATTTTATTTTCAATCATAACAATATTGTTTATCAACATGAATGAACATTTACCTACTACCTAATACCCATAATATGATTATATTGTTACATTATATTAACTCATGGAAAAGAAAATCTTTGTTATGTGCCCTTACTAATTACATATTGTAATGGAATAATTACCTTTTAGAAAAGGTGCTACACTTTTTAGTCCGAAACAAGGTTTCTGGTAGAAAAGTGTTGCAGACAAAGAAAAGAAGTACACAGTGTAGTAAAACCAATATATCCCTTGTTAAAGAAATACTGAAAACGTCAAAATGATACGGTACTAAACTTTTTAAAATGTTAACACCAAAAAATTTGTTATAGGCAGCTGTCCACCCTGCCCGTACACTACAACCACCATGGTATTACCGTTTTTGAATTATTTAATTTTAATTTTTTTTTTTTTCATAGCTGCTAAAATTGTTTTAGCTGACCAAAAATATTGACAAATTTAACAGTAGGTTTATCTTTTAAAGTCGTATTTCTAGTAAAAAAGTGGTTTTCTTTTTATTTAAATTGTTAGACTAAACAGAAATGCTTGAAAATTTAACAATAGGTTCATTAAAAGTCGTACTTTGTGGTCAAAAAAAAAAAATGTTCAGCTCAATGTAGTATTTTTTTTTTTTTTTCATAGGAATTTTAATATCAAATTTTGATGAAAATCGTTTGAGTAAAAAATTACGTGGAACAAATTTAGTTACTAGCAGGTACATGCAAATTTTTCAATTTCTTTTGTTTTCGTTCCGCTCAGAATCTAAAATATGTAATAATGTAATAAGATAATTTTTAAAAAAATGGACATGATTCGCACAATGGGTGGGCTACTATTGTTTGTAAGAAGTTAAAAAGGTAGGATATAAAAGAGAATTTAATATATATTTGTACGCAACGATTATTCATTAGGCATTGTTATAGGGACGGATTTTATTGTGATAAACAAATCAATATATGGACCAATTTTTTTTAAAATATGAAATACAAAATCCTAAATATGTAAATATCGCAAAAATGTATTAGTATTTAAAATTACAAAAAAATATATTTTATAATTATAAATATTAAATAAAAGCATTAGTCAAAAAATATTATGCATCGATAATGTATCAAGTGTAGCTTATTTTCTGAAAGGAAATTTTATCTCCATAATAATTTAAGAATGTCATTTTTCGATTTTCCCAGGAGTTTTCTTAACTAATGTGAAAAACCGAAAAAAAAATGGAGGAAAAACGGGGAAATGTAGGTATTAGTTGAAAAATATTTCGGATTTCATTTTCTTATGAACAACTTTTTTACCCGCAATTTTGCTCTGATTTATAATGATAGCTCTTTTTCTGAAAGGAAATCTGACTAGAAAGATGCATTAGAGAGACCATTTTTCCAGCAAATCTGAAAAACTAGGTTGAAACACGAGAAAGACACAGGAGGAACGGGAAAATCGATACAATATTAAACAAATATTATTTAAGACAATATTTAATGCCTATTTAATTATTTACCTTAATATAAAATTATATTGTTGACCAAACATCACTATCAACTGAACTGCGCTTAGAATCATTTTTTCGTTAGCAATGGTTTATTGTTGCTTACAAGTTTACATTAAATTACCTATAACAGTGGCTGCATGCACCCATCTTTAATTATCCTAGAACGTCTTTTTTTAATTTGAATCTTATGATTTTGTTTAGTATTACTATGTTTATCAATCAGAAATATACTATAGTGATCAATAATATGAGATTAGCATATAATAAAAGTTAAGTTGTTTAATTTTGTATGTTTTTTATAAATATATGGTCAATACTAGTACTATAAAATCCCAATTGTGCTATTAAGTTAAAATATTCATATTTGTTAGTACCGTTGTTATTTTGTGCGATATTGATGTTGATATCACCAACTATTACTAGATATATGTTGAGGAACTGAAAATCGCTGAGTTATTGATACTGCCTTTTCACAGCACAAATAGAATAAAATTGCTTCATCGCTTTTAAATGCCTCGTTAGGAAACTTTTTTAAATAATAATTCGCTTTTGATTTCACAACTTTCGGAATTTTAAAAATTGGAAATTATACACGTGTACATGACTACGAAAAATTATTGTCAAGTACCACTTCATAATTTTATATTTATATCGTACAGCATTACCAATATCCACAATAGTACATACAGTATGATTTATCAACGTAATCGCGTTTATATTATAGATTATCTCTGAATTAGTTCTAATCTATAACAGCAAAGTAAATGTCATTTAGATAATGTAGAATATTTTAGTAGTTGTCAAAAATTACTAATCTTGTCGTTTTATACAAAGCAGGAAATGTTTGTCGTTATCGAAAATTAATGACAAAATCAAAAATTACTAAAATATTTACGAAATGTGTAGGTAATTATTTACCAAATATGTAAAAATATGTATTTATATCGGAATAATATGTAAAATTAATTTGGGCTTATTTTAATTAGAATGATATAAATCATTAGGTTTTTACACATTTTTTATTAATATTAAAAATATCTCATTCTAATTAAAATAACAAAAAACGAAAGATCGGAATATTTACGATTTTCATAAAATTTTTACACAAAAAAGTACAGTACATTAAACTCAACTTTATCTCGTTGACCACTAAGTACAACTTATAATGAATCTCCTGTTAAATTTTTGAACATTTCTATTTTCTCTGACAATTTTATTCTTAGAGTACCTATCAAATAAAAATTACATAAGAAACTAGAAAAATTAAAATATCTATCAATTGCTCAAAAATGGCTCAAATATTTTGAAAGATTTACCACAACTATAAAAGTCAAATTTAATATTTCTGTACAAATTTCTAGTCTCTACAAACATTTTGAACTGAATTACAACAAAAAAATAAAATTTAATATAATAAAAGCATTATTTTCATAAATTTTCCTGATTTTTTTCATAATTATTATGAAAACTACTTAGAAAATCAAAAATTGACCTACTTATAATACTTTCTTGATTTCAGAAAAGATGCTACACTAGATACATTTGAGCAAAATTTCTGGTAGAATTTTTGTACACAGTATAAAAAAAAAAAAACAATATCCTTCCCTTCCCTTAGAATGTAAAAATGTTACAATTTTTTCCAAAAGTAACAGGAACTATTTATGTCCATTATATTACAAAGCTAAGTAAGAACTATGTAAATATCTTCACTCTTCAGAACATATAAATTATTTTAATTTGAGTTTTGAACGTTTAAAACCCTGGTCCTAAGTAAAACTATTACAAACAATTAATGAGTTAGATATGTTTAATTTTATTAATTAATGGTTATAATTATAATTAGGATTAGTAGAATATAATCAATAGGAAGATCCAATAAAATATTTTCAAGTTTAATTAATGAAACCTGTATCATAGTTTGTTTGTAATTCCATTTAATCATAATAATTACATATTGATGATAAATTTATTTGTTTAAATTCATATTATTCTGTTAAATAACTAATCTAGTTCCTATATTACTATTTTAAATATAATGTGATGGTTTTATAATATTTTGTTTATTTTTATTTTAGCAAATACCAGAAGTATCTCCTACAGGTCGATTTACAACATTAGTACCATTATGTTTTATACTTTTAGTCTCTGCAGTCAAAGAAATAATTGAAGACTTTGTATGTTTATTTTATTACATTTTCTTTTTTTTTTTAATATCCATACTCATTATTTTTACATATTTTTATTAATTTGATTTTGTATAATATTAATTTTTAGAAAAGGCATAGAGCAGACCGAGAAGTTAACCATCGGAAGGTAGAAGTACTACATAAAGGAACTTGGACATCACAACGATGGGATCTTATAAATGTAGGGGACATTGTCAAAGTACAAAATAATACATTCTTCCCAGCTGATCTTCTAATACTTTCTTCCAGGTAAATTTTTCATTGCTCTTTTATCTTTTGTTATAATTAATATTAACATGCATTCCAATCATCATGATGTTGTTTTTGGTTCCAGTGAACCACAGAGCATGTGTTATATAGAGACAATGAATTTAGATGGTGAAACAAATCTCAAAATTCGACAAGGTCTTCCAGAAACATCACATTATATGGATGCAAATGATCTCATGCATTTAAAAGGAACAATAGAATGTGAGCTTCCAAATCGGTTAATTTATGATTACGTTGGTAGTCTGAAATTGGTTGATAAAATGTGAGTATTATTTAATAATGTTCAAAAATTTATTCAAATTACATTATGTTTGAAATTGACAATCTTATATTTTTGCTCTTAGTCCACTATCTTTGGGACCCAACCATTTACTGCTACGTGGTGCAATGTTACGAAACACTTCTTGGGTTTGTAGTGTAGTGATTTATACTGGACATGAAACCAAACTTATGATGAATCAAACTTCAGCACCGCTAAAAAGATCAACAGTGGACAAAATTGTTAACACACAGATTATTATGCTTTTCTTGTTACTTTGTTCATTATGTTTGTTGAGTTCATTTTGTAATATCATCTGGACTAAACAGAAAGGACATAAAGATTGGTATTTGCAAATTGATGGTAAGTTTTATTGTAATATTCAAAATTAACCCATAAGTAACTTAAGTTAAAATAAAAGTTATAAGTTATGTTTTTTTTCATATCTTAAAAATCACGAAATTTATTTGTGATAAACTGATTATATATCAATATATAAATTAATCCAATTAAAATATACAACTTACAAGTATAGAAGTATTTTTAAGTTAACTAAGTTCTCTTAAATTTGATAATATATGATAAATTAATTTTTGAATTATGCAAACAATACAGTTTAGTTTTAGTATTGAAATATATACTCTGAAAATCATATATCATAATGAGTTGGAGAACTATAATCAATACTACAATATATATTATATCTGGTATTTTAAAAAATAATTATTTATTTTGTTTATTCTTTCAGATATTGCAACTTACAAATTTGCATTTAATTTACTTACTTTCTTTATATTGTTTAACAATTTAATTCCTATCTCATTACAAGTAACTGTTGAAGTTGTTCGGTTTATGCAAGTGCGTTTTATTATGCTGTTTCTTTTAATTTCAAATTTTTAACTGTCTATAAATTTATATTTTATCATATAGGCAGTGTTTATAAACAATGACATTGAAATGTATCACGAAGAATCAAATACCCCAGCTATGGCACGAACTTCAAATTTAAATGAAGAACTTGGCATGGTAATTTTTTTTTTTTTGTTTTATCTAATAAAAAAATTAATAAAATATTTCATAAATCTTTAACTAATTTGTTTATTTATCTAGGTAAAATATATTTTTTCTGATAAGACTGGCACATTAACAAGAAATGTCATGGAATTTAAACACTGCTCAATAGGTGGAATTCTCTACCCAGAAGGTTCTAAAGACACATTGTTAGATGTATGTTAAATTTTTATAATTGTCATTTGTATTGTTAAATGGTTGATAATATTAAAGAATATACTTGGTTTTATGCAGAATTTAAAAAATCATCCTACCTCTAAATATATTTTGGAATTTTTAAGAATGATGTCTGTCTGTCATACAGTTATTCCAGAAAAGGTTAAAAACTCTGATGAAATGTTATACCACGCATCTTCTCCAGGTTTATGAAATGTCTATGTATTAACATGACTATAATAAATTATTATGTATTCACTATGATAATTTTTTTAGATGAACAAGCATTGTTAAAAGGATCTCAACTGTTTGGTTACGTATTCCATACCCGTACTCCCAAATTAGTTGTTGTATCAGCTCTAGGCAGCGATGAAGAGTATGAAGTGCTAAGCGTTATAGAATTTACCAGTACACGGAAAAGAATGTCTGTAATTGTACGTGCACCTGATCATAAGATATATCTTTATTGCAAAGTAAGTTTATAGTAATTTATAATTATACAGTGTAGAGTAAAACTATTTTTTTTTTCAATTGTATTTTAGGGTGCAGACACTGTTATTTTTGAAAGGTTATCTAAAGATGTAGAACAACATAAAGAAACAACACTGATGCATCTTGAAGAGTTTGCCAATAATGGTTACCGTACATTATGTTTTGCATATACTGAAATTTCAGAGAATTTTTACACAAGTTGGAACGAAGAATTTATTAAAGCTTCTAATGTGCTAACTAACCGAGAAGAATCTATTGATGAAATAGCAAGGTTAATTGAGAAAGATCTAATACTACTTGGAGCGACTGCTGTTGAAGATAAATTGCAAGATCAAGTCTGTTTGTCAATATCTCAGTGTAAAATAGTTTGTTATTTATAATTTGTGTTTGTAAAGGTTCCAGAAACTATTGCAGCTCTCATAAAAGCAGATATTAGTGTTTGGATACTAACAGGAGACAAACAAGAAACAGCCATTAATATTGGATTTTCAACTAATCTGATTACTCAAGGGACATCCTTAATTATACTCAATGAAAATACATTAGATGTCAGTGAACTAGTTGATAATTAGTTTTGATTCAATAATAATTAACATTGTTGATTTTCAGGAACTCAGAGAATCATTAAGGCAGCACATAAATGAATTAGGACCCTCTGTGGGGAAACTTGATAATTCTTTTACGTTGATCATTGATGGTCAGTCATTAAAACACGCTCTTTCCCATGACTTAAAAATGGATTTCTTAGAATTGTGTATGAGTTGTAAATCTGTTATATGTTGTCGTGTGTCACCTATGCAAAAAGCTGAAGTACTATTAAAAAATAATGATATTTTTATATGCATAATGATTGTATTTTATTTTTCATTGTTGCAGGTTGTAGAACTTGTTACGACTAACACTCATCAAGTGACTTTAGCAATTGGAGATGGAGCTAATGATGTAGCCATGATACAAAAAGCCCATGTTGGCGTTGGTATATCAGGTGTTGAAGGTTTGCAAGCAGCCTGTGCATCTGATTATTCCATAGCACAAGTAATGCATTATAGTAGTTAACTTATTATAGATCTACAGGGTGGGGCACTGAAATGGCCGATTTTAAAAATAGATTTTTTCAGTAGTAATTAAGATAATAATTCTCACTAAATATTATTAGTTCAAAGACAACATGCCATTTAATAAACATGGAACAGTGGAATGCTGAATAGTGTGCTTATGGGATAAAATTGTTTTACAAAAATAATAACAGTTGCGTAGCCACACAGCATTTATTTCGACTACATTTTAATCTTAAACACCATGATTAGGTACCTGCTAAGATTATAAATAATAGAGATTACCAACTTTGAAGAAACGGGTTCAGCATTTAAAAAGAAGCCTGTAAGAAAAAAAACTATTTGCACACCTGAAAATGTCACTGCTGTTAGAGCCGCTCTCATAAAGAATTTATGAAAAACATTCTGCACGAAAACATATGTTAAATTTGTCCAGTAGTAGTCTACATTAGATTTTACACAGCAACCTTAACTTTCACCCATATAAGGTGCAGGTGGCACAAGAATTAAAACCTACAGATTTCTATAGTAGCACAACTTTTTGTTGAGAAATACTAACCCTGATTGATAAAAACGAAAACTTTATAATAATAATAACTTTAAAATATTTGGAAGTCTAATGAAGCATATTTTCATCTTAATGGTTTTGTGAATAAGCAAAATTGTCGTTATTGGTCTGAAGAAAACCCTCATCACCTTCATCAATGATCTTTACACAGCAATTGAGTAACTGTATGGTGTGCAATTTTATATTATGGCATAATTGGCCCATATTTTCATGAGGAAGACAATGGACGGGTAACAATTGTTAACTGAAATCATTATGTCAATATGATCAATAATTTTTTGGTCAGTGAACTAACAAAGTTTCTTCAAAATGATAAATATTGATTCCAACAAAATAGTATGACATCTCATACAACCGAAGTATGAATAAATGCTATTCAACAAATTTTTGGAAATCGCATTATTTCCAAAAATGGTAATAATCATTGCCACCACGATCACCTAATTTATCAGTATGTAACTTCTTTTTGTGGGGATATTTAAAAAGTAAAGTCTATGCACAGAAATCTTGAAATATTGATGAATTAAAAACCAAAATTAAAGAAAAAATTGCTAGTACACCTTTGAAAGTGGTACACCGTGTAGCCGAAAATATACGAAGTAGGCTTGAAGAGTGCTTGAAAAAATATGGCCATCATCTTGAGGACATTATTTTTTAAAAAATAAATGGCAAGTTATGTACTTCAATATAATAAATAATAATTTATTTTTATTTTTTTATTTATTTTATAATTTATCTTTGAAAATTTACCGTTTCAGTGCCCCACCCTGTAGTAAATAAATGTATAAATAAAAATGTATATATAGAAATAAGGGTTAGGTTAAGTTAGTGTATTAATTAGTCATGGAATCCGAATATCCGGATTTTCACAAAAAACAGCTATTTAAGCCACTTAAAAATCATATAAGTATTAAATCTTTTTACAGTAAAAAGGCTTTAGTTTTGTACCTAAGTAAAATATTTTTTATGAAAATGTAAAAATAAAACACAATACCAAAAAATAAACTGCTTTTAGATTTGGGGCTTAAATAATGTTTCATGAAAAATCAAGATTTTCAAATTTATTTTTATGCTTTTATGTTCAAAAATGCCCTAAAAAACTTTAAAAATGTTTTTAAATTCTATAAAAAAAAAACAATTTTGAGCAGCTTTGTGTTTGTATAATCTATATAAATAAAACAAAGTTGGGTTAGTTACACCATTTATAAATCAAGAAAGGCTGAATTGATTTTGATGACCTGTAATTTGTTGGATTTGTTTTCGCCCCAAAAAACAGAATAACTTAAAATATCGGGAAAATTCACGTAAAAAAAATTATACGAGTTTTTAGATTTATTTGTTATGAATATCTAATTGTCTATTTATTGATTTTGTTTATTCATGGGTTTGATACAAGGGATTCAAGGGATTCACTGTTAATTATTCACAATAGAACATATTTAGTGGACTACCCACTTTCCACCTATTTGTTTTCATTCAATACTGACATTACAGCCAAAACCAAAAACGAATATGAGTAAATTAATAATAACAATACAAATTGGCACGGGCTGGGCGTAGGACATCTAGTACAATATGTAATGCTAATTATTATTAGTTAAAATAAAATACTTATATTCAACTAGTATTATTATAATTTATAACTTATAAAAACCACATCATTATAAAAAGTTTACAACACTATTTCTTTCATATCATTCTTATCACTTTCACAACACTATTCGAATTAAGCAAACACTGATGTCTGACAACTCTGAGTACCTATTAATCGAACACCAATATTAGTTTTGTATTATAACGTTATCAAGGTTATTTACAATTAGATTACCCTTTTATCAGTAATATTATTGATATTTTTGAAACTTTCAAAATTACATATAGGTACAACCAGCTGGTCCTTACAAAAAATGACTAATTTTAAAAATTTTTATATTTTTAAGCAAAATATATATATATATATATATATATATATATAAATGATTATATATATAAATATGTATATAAACAACCTATAAAAGGAAAAATGTCAAAAAAATGCTTAAAAATCAAGAAAGTTAAAAAAAATCAAAAATAATATTTTCATTTTTTAAATTCTCTGATGTGTGAATCAAATTATGTACTTGGAAAGCATTGTCCAATTCCACCCACTAAAAAATGTATGTTCATTAAAGTCTGGTCCTAGTCATTAAATATCAGATGTAGGCTTTCTTGTTTGAAGTGAAGAAGCTATGTTTAATATACATTTTTTATTAATATTTGAACAACTTCTCTACCAGCAAATTCGCTCTGATTTATAATGGTAGCACTTTTTCTAAACAAAATCTGACTGGGGAGGTACTTTAGGGAGGTCATTTTTGATATTCCTAGGAGTTTCCCCAATAAATGGGTAAAATCAAGAACAAACATGGGAAAACCAGAGACAATATTAAACATATATTATTAAAAAAAATTATATAATTCAAATATAAATTATTTTACTCTAATATGACATAATATATATTGTTGACAAATCAACACTATCAACTGAACTCTGCTCAGACTCTTTTTTCATTAGCAGTGGTTAATTGTTGCTTACAGATACACATTGAATTACTTATAACAGTGGCTGCACCAGTCCACATTATTCTAGGACATCTTTTTTCCTCTGTTGGCACGTAAAAATTTAATGATGTGATGTCCAGAATTTTTCATTTTATAAGAATCAGGCACAATCTCTTATTGATTGCTGTACATTTTTCCATGTTTGTTAATATTGAGTTCTCTACGAAAAGGCCTACAACATTTATACTTCTTTTATTTCTATTTTCCATTTTTCATTTTGTTTTCTGTTGAGATTGTCCTAATGCTTGGTTTTAGATTCATCATGTTTTTTACAAGGTAGGGTTATTAGCCCTAAGCTCAATCCAATCAAGATCACCACGGTTTTGACTGACCAGGATGGAGTAACTACTTTCTCTATGCCAGTATCTTCATATTTTTTATTGAATTATATTTCAAGAGTAAAATAATACTAACTATTAAAACTACTAACTATTTTATTTGATTAAATTGTATAAGTACTCCTAGAATTTACATTTGGATAGTGGGCAACAATTATAAATATAAATTCATTACTAGATACCAATCAGAATAAAATCAGAAAAAATTAATATCAATAATTAAAATCAGTAAAAACCAATATCGATAAGCGAAAATTTAAATTGAAATCACAAATATTTATTTTTATTTCAAGCCTTGAGTTTATATTAATAGTTATAAATGAAACATTTTAATGATTGACTAACATTCCTAGCCATTTTCCCTAGGAAATGTATTTTGAATTGATAATATTATCATCATTAACCATATCACCAATAACATAAACATACACAGGGATGTACTTACTATAGAAACTTTATGTACACATTTGCCTACAGAAGCAAATTTTAATATTGTTTATCAGCTGTCCCCCCCCCCCTCTGGGTTGACCTTTTTCTTTTACATTTTTATTTTTTTGATCTTTAACCTCAGAGTGCCTCAATTATAAATACGCCCCTGTACATTTATATTATATATTTTATTGTTTTAATCTTCTATGTTCATTAAATATTATGATAATAATTTTACAGTTTAAATTTTTGTTGAAATTATTGTTTGTTCATGGTGCATGGAACTATAACAGAATGTCAAAATTAATATTATATAGTTTCTACAAAAATATTTGTTTATATATCATTGAACTCTGGTTTGCAATTTATTCTGGATGGTCAGGTCAAATAATATTTGAAAGATGGACAATTGGACTTTATAATGTTGTAAGTGTCATATTAATATATTCAATTAATTATTTTTCTTATAGTAACATTTATCAATTTTGTTTTTTTTTTTTTTTTTAGCTATTTACTGCTGCTCCACCATTAGTTATGGGTATATTCGATATTGTGTGCACGGCCAACACTAGATTAAAGTTTCCTCAGCTTTATTCACAAACATTGCACACATTCAATGTACAGATTTTTTGGATATGGGTGGTTAATGCTTTGTTGCACTCATTTCTTTTGTTTTGGATTTGCATGTTGGCCATGAAACACGAAGTTTTATGGTCCAATGGAAAAGAAGGCGGTTATTTACTTATGGGAAATTTCATATACACAGTAAAAAAACCAAAACTTTTTTTTACACTACTTATTTTGTTGCTGAAATACAGCAATATGTAAATACATTATCATATATGTGTATTTGTACTTTAGTTTGTTGTCATAATTGTGTGCCTCAAAGCTGGACTACACATACAATCGTGGTCTTTTATTGTTCACATAGCCATATGGGGTTCAATAGCAGCCTGGTTTGTGTTTTTGATCATCTATAGGTACGTGTATTGAATTATTAAATATGTTCACATATTATAATTTATAATACTATTAAAATTATAAGAGAGTGAAAATCAATTGTATTATAGATTTATAAGTAAAGCCTGGTTTTTTATATTTTTACATATTGTGACCTGGGTTGAAAAAAACAAAAACTGTTTAAAACATTAAAAACAACGGTTTAACCATAAATTATTTTTTTTACATATTTAAACTTAACTTTTTTAAAGAGTTATTGATTTTCCAAAAATGTTTTTTTTTCTTCTAATCTGTAGACACGTTTATTCCTAGAAAACTTGCTCCTATGTTTACGTATAGCAACTTTTTTGAAAACTCAATCAGTTTAGATTGTACTTGGAGAAATCATATTTTGATTTTCCACTCCACTTTTTAAATAAAAGCACTTAAGTAGGAAAACATACAATTTTACGATTTCATTATTTTATAAAAACATTTATAAAACATCTTTTTTGTTTCCCTTTTGATTTACTTTCTTATGGTATCATCACCAAAATTTTTGAACCACTTTTGAACTTAAGGAATTTTATTTTTGAATATTTTTTTACTATAATTCGGTTATAAATAAATGTAGAAACTTGAAACTTGGTAATAATACATAAGTATTATTACCAAGTTAGATGAATTAATAATGGATGGATTGGGCAATATCATAAAAATCATAAAATATATATTCTTATCTGTCTATCAGTGATCGTAAATTCGAATCTATGAATAGTAGAAATAAGGAGACTAAACTTCTTTGGATGCCTGTTATAAAAATGGATGACAAAAAGTGCTTTATTATTCTGCCAACACATTATACATTATACTGTTTATTATAATGAGGATTATGTACAGTTTTTTTGGTTTTTAAAAAAAATTGATTTATTATTATTTTTTGTATTATATATTTTTTTATATATTATTAGTTGCAAATTATCTTCCCAAGTAGACCAAATTAACAGTTAACTTATATCTGTTAACCTAAGTAGATATTAATAGATTATAATGAATCTATATATAAATGGATATTTAAGATAAATAGACTCTAAAACTACTGGACCAATTTTTATTAGGTTTTTGCAAAATGGTTCACATTTTCTAAAGGGTTATAACTATTAAAACAATCTCAATAACATGTATTTTAATTTATTATTTTTTTCACATGTATTAAAATTTGGTTTTAAGTATTTTTGTTTATTTTAATAACATACTATGGTGGATGATAAAAATACATATATTATCATATATCATAGATTTTCCTTAAGATTGAAAAATAAACTTATTTCATCCAAACAAACTTAGTAAAATATGCTCCAGAGGGTTTTTGATTCTTTCATCAGATTGTCTTTTTTTGCTCATTTCAATTCTAGAAAAAATAACATTACAGACTTTAATTTCTGAAGAATTAAATGTAGTTACTATTTTTTCTTTAACATCAAACTTATTTACAAACATAGCATCTTTACCATTTGTTGATTAGGATTAACACAATATGAAATTAACTAAAAATATTGTACTGTTCTTTATTACAATGAGTATGCACTTTATAGTAAAGCATTCAAACTAGAATGAAATTGTTGAAAAAATAAATAACCAAGTGCAGTAAAAAATTATCAAAAATGTAATTTATTATTATTTATTAGTATACACTAACACATTATTTTAAATGTTTATTGAATAAATGTACAATTTTTGTGTAATAATTATCTATCAATATCTACTTAGGTTAACAGATATAAGGAAACTGTTAATTTAGTTAACTTGGGAAAACAATATGTAAGTAATAATAAATCATATTTAATTTGAAATACTTATTATAATACCTAAAATGCATAATCCTCATTATACTATATAGCAACATTATTAAACCCCAGGTTCAAGCAAAATAATATGAACATTTTGTTGTAATTGCATTTGATTCATCAGTGCAAAAAAATATTTAAGACAATGTCATAAGTGGAATTTTGGTGTTGTTTAAAAACTGAATATCCTCAATTATTACAAAAGATCATATTGGCACTTACACCATTTGGAACCACTTATATGTGTAAAGCGGGTTTCTCCTCTTATTTATCAACAAAACCAAAATACTACCACAGACTTGTAAACAACAGAACCTGAAGGAGAAGAAAAAAAAATAAACATCATTGTAAAACCAATGCATTCCTCACTCAGCTCAGAATCTATAGCTGTATATCTATAACTGTCTAAAGACACTCTCCTGGTGGCAGAATAACCATGCTAAGAAAACTTGGTTCTGTAGGTTAAAAAAGATTGAAAGATTAAAAATAAGGTTATCATGGAAATGCAGATTTTTAAAAAAGGTAGGTAAATAGGTTTTATCAACTGAACTCTGCTTAGAATCATTTTTGTGTAAACAATGGATAAACCATTGATAAACCATTGTTTACAGGTATACACTAAATTCTCATCTATATCCTACCTTCCCAACTTCCCACCTACAATAGTGGCTGCGCCCACATTCGAAGTATGTCCATCTTTTTTTTTTAATAATTTTGATAAAGTAGAAAAGAAAAAAATCATATTGTAAAGTATAGTTAAGTTAGGGTTATATATATATATTGATGTACATTGATTATTTTTACATGGTGTTTTAATTTTTAAAAGAATATAGGAGAATATTTGTAATTCTTTTTAGAGGATCATATTTTAAATATTTTAAAAATAAAAATCTGGTCTATACTTATAAGTTATAATTGATCCACTGTGTTTGATTAATGTCCATTTCTGTTTTAGTCACATATGGCCGTTTTTACCTGTTGGTGCTGTGTTTACTGGTATGGATATCATGGTGTTCACATCGCCCATCTTCTGGGTTTTATTGATATTCTCTGTTTGTGTTGTTATGGGACTAGATATAACAGTTTTATCGTAAGTATATTATTTAGTTACAATTAAAGCTTAGATAATGAATATTTTCAAAGTTTAATTTGTAATTTACAGATTAAAGACAACTACCAATAAAAGCTTGATTCAAACTTTGAGAGAAAACGAATTACATAGTACTGACCCAAATAACGTTGTCCATCAAAGACATAGGTTTGTGTGAATTGTTATGGTATTCTACAGTAACCTATAGCATCCTGTTTTTCTCAAAATACTTTCAATGTACAATTATTAATTACAACAATAAAATTTTTTACTGTGTAAAAGTGTTGTTATTAACTAGTCAGTAATAATCTTTATTCATGAGTAATTCATATAATAGTTACAGTTGTAACAGTTACATTATACAATTGAACTGTTTTTTATACAAGATAGTTCTAAAATTATATTATTATTGGTATGATAAAATCAATACAATTGTATGAGGTGCCATGCATCTTTTATATAACATAGCTACAACATACCTATTTATCTACTATGTAAATGTTATTTTAGTGTTGTGCACATCATTTTTCTTTATTGTTTCTAGAGTAAATGAAAAGGCACGTCTTCTTAAGAACGTAAAAAATGTTTTCAGTTTCAAATCTCGGTTACAAACAACCACGGAAGTTGAAATGAATCGTAAGTGTCCAATGAAAGAACATAATGGGTTGCAAATCTAGTTTTTGTGTTTTGACATATTCTGCAAGCAGATTTTTTTAATTGTTCCATTGGTCGTAATTAATGTTTAGTGATGTGAGTAGAGGTCAGTTAATTCTTATTGTTTTTTAGATGGTTTTGCATTTTCTCAAGAAGAAGGAGGCGCTGTCAGTCAGTCAGATATGATTCGAGTGTATAATACATGCTCACCTGCTCCGGAAGTCGTGTAATATTTGCAAACCACCCTGCCAGTAGTACATAATTAATAAACAATTATAACTATTATAAAAATATATTATGTGTGTATCAAGCACTTTTAGTTTTATCATCATTTTGATAGATCACTCATAAGTTATGTTATAATATTGCTATGATACTTGTATAATCTATTTTCATTTAATTTTTTTAAAAGAAAAATAAGTTGTTTTAAAATGAAATGAAATTAAATTAAATATCAAATATAAAATAATAAAAATAATATATATGTATAATATTTTATTAACTATTAATCTAAAACATATTTTGTTATTTATTTATCTCTGTATCTGTACATCCGACCCATAAACCTACTTGTACAAATCTTGAAGGTACAAAATCTGGAACATACAATTCATAAAAATAAAAATCTGAACTGTACACACCTGGAAAATAATGAGCAGAATTTGCTAGACAAAAATTAACATGTTTCTTAATGGAATCATTGAAACTCAAAATATTTAAATGAATTTTGAAATTGAAAATTTCTCAAGTATGAAAGTTAAGCTTAATCCCATTGGTAGACTTATCTGTACCTCCCTTAGTTGTTGCTTAAATTGTATGTGAAACATTAGATACTGATAAATGACAGAATTAACAATATGGAGAAACTTTGGGAAGAAAAGTCTGCTGAGTTAGTAATAGAGTAAGAACCATTTAACCTGTTTAACTAAAGTCTGTAATTTCGAGTTCTAAAAGAACTAGGGTTAAGTGTCCTAATCTATTACACATTACAATTACATTATTGCACTGTCTTACCCTAATCGTATAATGTGTGTTCATTCGCTGCTATTTGGTCCAATGTTTTCTCCAAAGTGAACCCTAATTTCAAAATTGTCTTTTACATAAATGTTGCATTCTTACACCGAAAATAACTTTTGCTGCACGTCCTACTTTATTCATTAGCCCTCCCATTTTCCTTGTTGACTGAATCTCTATGCCTAATGAACTAATGACATCCCCATTAACTTACTCTATTTGGTAGAAACGAGTCACAGTGCTTGACTCCATCTATTCAAGTAAATGGATTTTTTTTGAATTACCTATTGCAGAACGACTCCAATAAAGTGTATGATCACGATGTCATCATGTTCTTGATCAAGGACTGTTATTTTAACATAAATGATCAGTTTGTATTTGTTATCAACTGGATTTACATTCCTCAGTTGTTGGTACAGGAGTCCAGTTGACGGAATCGGTTTTATTGAATAACTGATCTCACATTTCCCTCCCAGTGACTTGATAATTTCCAAAAGAATTCTAAAATATCAAATAGAATTTTGATTGTAGGCATTCTCTTTTTTTTTTATTTCCGGTAATTAGTGCTATTTACATTATATTACAATGGACAAAACAAAAAATTCAAACACTGAATAACTTGAGTAGGTTAATGTGTACCTTGACCTTATGTCTACCCTTCTGGACAGTGATATTTTTCATTTGAGTTCAGTTTTAATACCTGAAAGGTATAGACTTACGAAGGTACTTACTTATACTTACTGAAGGTATAGACTGGCTCTTTAGATCTAATACAAGAACTTGAAATTTTTAACATCCATCTGTACAATAATTAATAGTTTTGTTTGTCTATTGACAGATGTTCTGAAAAGTTGAAGAGGAATATAGCATAAGGGATATATGTATTCCAGTTTGTTTGATCTTTGTTCACATAATGACTAGCTTGTAGGTAATATGGTATGATATTAAGTAAGTTCATCTTCAATAGTTTGCAAATTTCCAACATTACCGTCATTACCTTGCTAAGGAACTCTGTTCCTTGATCACTCACTAATAATTTTTTAATACTATGAACGCAAACACATGTGGTCACAAAATAGTATGCCACGGTATAAACCTCATAGTTCGCCATAGCTGCAGCAATCGAAAACTGTTAAAATATATGAATTTCAATTTAATGTCGGGGTAGTGGTCCTAAAAGCCACAATATCAATAATTAACTTTTCGAATGGCTCTGTTGATGTCGTACTAATCACCATGGGCTGCCATCATCTGACAACATTGACAAGTACTTTCAAAATTCTTCACATCCTGGGTAATATCATCCCCGTCAAATTGTGTAGTGATCTGTTTGATTGTTTGATTCAGTTCTCTGTATCCTCCTAAGGGATTATTATGATGTCCTGAAATAATTTGAAGTCTCTCTTCCTGGGTTAACTCAGATTTTGAATGTATAACCACAATTTCCGAATTTTAGAACACGAATATGATCATATTTCTAACTGCTGTCTAATCTAATTCGTCAAGCTCACTTCCTATGCATGGCATGGTCAATTTATCTATTCCCAGTTCTTTACATATTTAAACCAAGTTCTTCAAGGTTTTGAAAAGATCTTCTAAACTCGGTTTCTGTCAGAACTTTGCTTTGGTGGTAAGATATAGTATGTATCGATCCCCATGTCGTATGTAGAGAACGTCATGATGTTGAGGTCTCTGATTTTTTAAAATGTCCACATTATCAAACTTCAAGGCTTCATGACTCATTTTAAGGTCCTTGTCCTGTGATATACGATGCACCTCCCTTGAACTTGTTAACTATAGTAGTTGTCGATATGTCTACATATTCTTGATACTCATACTGATGATCCAATACAGATGATCTGGTCAATATCACATGACCTATGCGACCTACTGCACTAGCATTAATGTTAGTGATCCCAGGTTTATAGATAACATCATAATGATACTCGACTAGCTTAAGACACCATCGCATCAGGCGTGAACCTAGATATTTGGCGTGGAAAAGCCACGCGAGTAGTTAATGATCTGTAAATATTTAGAATTTTTTCCCCGAGTAGATATGGACGGGAATTTTTTATACTCCAAACTATGATTAATAATTTTTATTCCGTAGTGCTGTATACCTTCTTCACTTTGTTCAGCGTTCTAGAAGTACGTTATCGGGCGATCTTGCCCTGGTAGTTCTTGGGATATGATACTTCCGATTGAAAATCGGCTAGCATTTCTTGTCAGAATGAAAGGTCAATTGAAATCATTGTATTGTAACATTTGTGCAGTCACGAGTTTCTGTATTAGGTTTTCAAAGAACATTTTACATTCCGTCGTCCACTCGAAGGACGCATCTTTTTTTAATAATGCACTCGTGTGGTTTTACGATTTGGCTGTATTTTTCAATAAACCTCCGATAATATTCGGATAATTCTAGAAATTGCTTGATCTCTGTAACATTCTTAAGTACCGGATGATTTTTAACGCAACTAACCTTGTCTAGGTCAGATTTGACCCCCTTATCTGTAATTAAATGACTTAAACAAATAATCGCTCGATGTAATAATTGACATTTTGATAGTTGCAGGTGTAATAATCTATATTTTCGTAGTAAAATCACAGCAAATCTGATAGCTGAATAATTTTGCCTCTTTCTCATTGCTCCTTTGATAAATGATCTATCGATGTGTATAAGGCAATCTATATGGCTTGATGTTGACAGAGACTCATTCAACCGTATTTCGTGTTGGATAGCCGAATTAGTGGGTAATGGATCTCTTTTAAAACTGGATCTCTTTCAAGATGGAAAACATCAAAAAACTCCTGACATTTTCCTAAAACCATCTCGTTTTTCGAAATTCAGATGTTCTGTTTGTTTGCCTTTTTGATTTCCGCCAAGTGATTCCAATTTTCTTTATACGACTGAAAACTTTTGGACACCATCACCGATGCTTCATTGAATTCTTCATAAAATATACCTTCCAACTTGGTCGGCAGAAAGGTAATGGGATTTTCTGTGGTGTTAATTAAAGTTGCCAATAATTGTTCTTGTTTTACTGTGAATAATGCATTACCTAAACGTAAAACCTCTCACTGGTATGATTGTGAGTAAATGAGTAGGGCTGACAAATCTATAGGTCTACATGCCATGTCTTTTTATAATCTTCGTATCGTGAAGGAATTCATCCATAAAATCTGTAAGTATCTTCAGTGATGCGATTTTTACTAACCTCTCAACATTCTCAAAACCACTTGTGGTACTTGAGATTTCCAGGATATCATAAAATAATTTCTCCGTTCGATCGATATATTGCTAAATGGTTTCCCCATTAAAAAACCTTAACATTGCCAGCTTAGAGTATAACTGAGATAGGGTACGTTTCTTGTTCACCAATGATCTTAAAACTATTTTTAGCTCCTGAAAAGTTTTCACCTCTTTATACCTAGTAGCGCGATATGCTTTGCTTGTCAACTTAGTCATAATGCATTTAATGAATAAATCTCTTACTGCTGGATCAATATTCTCTAACGCGTATTCTCGCAAATGTATAATGCATGATTTGAATCGGAGTTTTCCCTGTGTATACCGGAATCAATTCAAGTGCTTGTTTTGTCGTCATGTAGGATAATTTAACCATTTAAATTTGTACGTATCCTTTTTTATTAGATTTGGAGTGAAGTAAACGTTCCGTTTCCACGAGAGTCTGTTCGATTTCCCCAATAGATTTATTTACTTCACCTAATGTTCTATTTACTTGCTCCAAATCGTTCTTCTTATTATCGTCTGAGTCGAATTCTGCAGATGGCACATAAAGCAGATGGCACCAGTAGACGTTTTACTACAAGAACCTGAAAAATCTATTAGATTTAGTTCACTATTATTGTGTAGATCTATATTCGAACTACCTATTACTATTAAGTTCCACAACATAAAACAAATAAATAATAGATTTTCGTACTTGCTATACCTCTACCGATCTATAACATATAAGCACAAAGTCAACACAAAAGCAAATTAAATAACTGTTAAAATAAATCCAGATTTAATAAATTGTTATCTTCTTTATTTTCCCATTTCCCTTGAACAATGCATTAAATAATAATTAAACTAAAAACTCACACTACTGTGAAAAATCGAAAAAAAACTTAAGAAAAACGAGAAAATGTACGAAATATATTACTAAAATATTACGATTTTTTTTTCTCTACACAATTTTTTTACTAGCGATTTTGCTCTGATTTACAATGGTATTCCTTTTTCTAAAAATAAATTTAACTGGGGAGATACTTAAAAAAGGCTATTTTTCGATTTTTAAGCAAATGTGGAAAACCAGGAAAAACGTAGGAAAAACGGGAAAATTAGTACAACTTAAACAAATATTATTAAATAAAATATATAATGCCTATTTAAATTTTATTATAATATGACATAGATATTGTTGACAAAGTATCACATCATCTGAACTCCGCTCAGAATCCTTCTTTTGATAGCAATGGTTTATCGTTGTTTACAAGTATACATTAAATTACCTATAATAGTGGCTGCACCCATTCCTATTATCCTAGGACGTCTTTTTTTCTATTAAACATATTTCAACAATATTATTGCATTTAACTATATCTGAACCTTCGACAAAAGGTCTTTTAAAATCATCAATATATTGAATAATATCAGTGATTTCTATTACAGAATTAAACATTATGTACTTTCATTACTACGAATTATAAACAAAATAAGTTTTAATAAGGACATTTTTAAAAAACTAGTGATAAATGGATTATTTTGGCTAATGCTATTATAGCGCCCATTTCTCCGTTAGCCTTATCATTAATGTCGACTAGAGTGTTATCTATAGTTACTTTTAATATGAATAGTGCTCTATATTAACCATGAATTAAGATATAATTTATTAACGTATATCTGAATTCATGTCACTAACTGAAATTACGCCGTATCATGTATGATTTGACATGCATGATTAATAACATTATTAACAGGTCATTATCATTATGGTAACCTTAGTATACATAATGTGTGGTAAGATACTTTCAAATTATCCCCAAAACTAATCTTTTTAAACTAGTTAAATTTTTAAAAAACAAAAGTCCTAAAATAAAGAAAAAAAAAAAACCAATTTTTTCAATCAGATAAAACTATAGAATTAGGGAAAAATATATTTGAAAAATGTTGACAACCCCCATTGTTATATGAGTGGTCAAAATCCATTTTTTTATTATCTATGATTATATGTATATCTAGTTTGGAAAAAAATGTTTGATGAAGTACATAAGATATTTAAAGTAGAATGTTGTCGATATAAAAATAGTTTTTTGGAATTATGTTTTGACTTCGAGCAATGCGATCGAAAATTTGTTTAAATTAAGAACATTTTCTACAGTACGAACGAATAAGAAAATTCTACGATATTTATCCGAACATTCAGCCTATTTAACCTGGCAACATTGGTGCCACTGTGTGGTCAATCATTACCATATTATCGGGACAATAGCGGTACGCGGGACATTTCCATATGTAGTATTGTAGTTTACCGTTGCTTGATCTATTGGTCTTTTAAGTGTAAACCACAAATCGGGACAATTTCATACAAACTTTTATCGTGTAGCTTTTATTATATCACTATCACATTATTACAGGTTAGTAGTGTTCATCCGTAATATTAATTGGTCGCCTGACGGGTCTTGCATTATTATACTATATATTAAGTTGTTCTCATTAATTTTACATAGGTATAAATATTTAAGTATATGTATCTTATATACTCCGCTTAATTTGATTGTTTATTTCATTATGTCATATTTTTTTTTATAATATAATAATATGTTCATAGTTATTTTTCATTAATGTTTATCTTATATTTACTTATACGATTTATATAATTTTTGTACTTACTAATTATATGCCAATTTTATTTATATTAAGTTTTTTAATGAACATTATTATTAGCACCAACTATTTGTTCATTGTTGTTACAATAAATTAAAATTAACCAAAGGAATTATAATCATATATGTCAATTATCTTAATGCAATGGCTCTGCTGTGTAAAACTGCCACCTTCATTTAAGAAGCTCCTGATGGCACGCACAGACATATTGTATCATTAAGTAATCATCAGTAATTATGTCTGGAAAATACTGAGTTATTCAGCTAATCTTATACTATAAAATTATTGCACATTTACACTACCTACTTTAATGGAGTACTAATATTTGTACTAAATTATAATTATTATCATTGTATAATTTGTATTTTGCTACTTGGGTACGCTACTATTTGAAGGAGCAGATACTAAAAATTGTAAAACTTCTACCTGAAAATATTTTAATGATTTTAAACCATAACTAATTATACTCATATACCCTCTCCGCCATGAAAATGATGAGCACAGAACATGCCACTGATATTTACCTACTTACATTTATTATTGTTTTAGATTTGATAATACATTACAAACACTATGCAATTATTAACATTTATCATTGTGGTATTCACAATGAACAGATACAGCTTTCAACTACCATTTGTAATGGATGCAACTTTGGAGAATAGACAGGAAACAAAAATTTGTGGAAAGTCAGAACTTACATTAATATTGAATGACCTATGTGATGACTTGAATAGTAAAAGTAAAGATACAATACCTCTAACCATAGAATTTATAGCATTATGATCAGTGGGCTCATGACCAATTGGATGGTGGTACTCTCATGCTAAAAAAAATTAATTGATAACTGATACTCGATAATTAATACTTTATTATTATTTAGTATTTAATAAAGGTTGACTGTTATTAATATAAAGTATATATAAATATTTATATTAAGTTAATTATATTTTACTAGTTCACTTTAACTTTCGTGTATTAAATATTCAGCACTAACAGTAACCAGCAAATATTTCAATAAACCATATTTTTTACGAAGAAGATAAAATAAATTATTTGTTAATTGTATAATTTAATTTTAAAAAAATCTAATAGAGTTTCAGATCCTGTCAATTAAATGTTGCATGTTTTATATGGTTCTGTATTTTGGTTATTATAGTTCAGTGTTCTCTTGTACTGACAGATAGTGAAATAAAAAAAGGTATAATAATGTATTATTAAAATATATGTATGTAGTGCCCAATTTTATTAATTTTTTATATTCATAAAATATAAAATTACCATGACTTGAAGCATATAGTTTTGGCATATTAAATTGGGGTAGAAGGGGGGGGTATTATGTGGGGCTTTGTCCCCACAACTCTGTCTAATAACACTTAGATAGTGGTGGTCAATCTCAAGCATTTATATTTGCCTTTTGAAATAAAATAGTTGAGCCACTGATTATGATATATTATTATTATGAAGAATGTTAATTTATCTCAAGTTTCTAAAAATTCTTAATATTATTTTACTTATTTGTTCAGATAATACAATGTTCACTGAACGCATGAATAAACTGTATCCATTATTAGATAAAGAATGCTGTTTAAGGAATAATTGTGGTGAATTATTTATGTCATTCTTCTGTCCATATTTAAGAGGGTAAGTACTATTTATATTAATCAGTCTGACTTTTCCTATAAATAAAACAAAATAGAGAATACAATATTTGTATTATCTATATAATATATATATTATAAATTACAGTAGGTACCTTTAAATTATAATAATATATTTTTCTCATATGTTTCCATTCGTGATCAAATTCTTTCTTTTTAAAAATAAATAAATGAATACATTATTTACTGTATTATAATTGAATATTGAAGACAATAAGTTTCTTAATACAACTATAAAAAGACATAAAATATATTATAAAATCTTTTAATAATCAGTCATCTCTGAATTAGTTCTAATCTATAGTGCCAAGTAAATGTCATTTAGATAACATAGAATATTTTGGTCATTGTCAAAAATTACTTATTTTGTAGTTTTATACAAAACAGATGTTTGGAGATATCCATTTGGAGTCAAATAATAATAATTAAAAAATAAATAAATCCAATCTCTAGTAATTATCTACTTATGGAAATTTTTCTGGATCATTAGAATATAAGTCTGTATCTATGTAATTAAATCAATTTTTTTTAATTGGTTATTTAACAAATGTCATATAATTACACATAATACAAATTTTTAACTTCTAGAACCTATAATATAATTACTTACAAGATTGTAAATTATTCACAAGTGTCCCTGTTAATGAAGTTGTAGATCATAAGTTGCTCTAAGTGTACAAAAACTTTCCGGGGGGTCTCTAATCTGCATAGTACAGCTGAAAAATTTGTGGAGGCTGTATTGGGTTGTCTTTCCATTAAACAATACTGAACAAAAATACCATAATGAAAATTCACAATTCACATGTTCTTTCATAAAATCCCAATTAAAAAAGTACCTGATAATTAATCACCCATTATTATAATCATACAAATCATGTATGGATATCAAAAACCAAGTGATTAAATATTATACAATTTCACAGGGATGATTCAACTACCGAAGAACCTAGATCTACCACTGAATAAAAATCTGGTTAAAGCAAGGATAATCATTACTCAAAGTGAATTTCCATAGATAAACTTCAAGACACTGTAGCAATGATCATTATTTATGTGGTCTACATATTTCGTCATCTCTCTAGTAAGTTAGGAAGTTTTTTTTTTATATTTTTTGTCTGCACATATTAAAACAATTTCCAACATATTCATTGTTATCTTTATGATTTTTATATTATGTAACTATTTATAGATTTTATAACTGTATTTTTAAGCTTCTTCACCAGTAGTTCGCAATCTTTTTTCATACATTGCTCCCAAATTAAATTATTTTGATGAGGTGACCCTCTTCCTATCAATGTTACATAAGTGTATAGTATATAATTACTTAATGTATATAATAATTTTAGTTGTCTAAATTAAATCATTAATTTTAGTCAATTTTTATATATGTGTTTAATTTAACTTATACAATTTTTGATTCCAAAACATAAAAAAAAAATTAAAATTTTTATAACTAAAAATTATAAAAGTGCATGATTTTATGAAATCCTTGTGCTTGAATTGTAGACATGATTGTATTTAAATTGGGTTTGATATTTAAGACTGCCACTCTTAAATCTGCTTTGACATTTGATCTGGAGCAATATTTGTTATAACTTATTTGTATAAGTTATCACTAGTGTTGAAAATGATGTTTCCAATAAATAAGTTGGAGCAAAAGGAAATAAAATCTATATGACTTGTTTTGATAGTTCTGGATATACAGATTGGATGAAAATCCCAAATATTACATACATTTTCTTGGAATTTGATAAGTAGATTTTAATCTGATGACAAGTCAATAAGTTCTCTGTTTATTTTATAATGTCTTAATTTTATTTCATTAATATTAAAAGAAAATTATTTCTTATTCACCATAAATTTTGGTTTAGAAAATAGTCGTATTAAAGTTTGTTTGTAACTTTATTAGATAAGCAGTTATAATTTCTTTTACAGTGAAACTAATGAATAAAGAATAAAGAAAAAAATGTACAACTTAAAAACTTTTTGGATGTCTTTTACCAAAAAATAGTAAATAACAAAAATTAATAATAAAATAAATATCATTTGATTATCAAAGTATTAATTTTTCTGATCTACAATTTATTAGTTATTTTAAAATATTAAACATTTTAAACTAGTTACATTAATATTATTTATCATTATTTATGGATAACTATATTATATGTAATGTATTATTTTAATTTGACAGTTAAGATAAATGTTTTTTCTTAATACTAGATAAATAAAAGTTATTTTAATTAAAAATGTTTACACTGTATTAATTTTAATAATATATGACAAAGATAATTTTACAAGGTTTACTATGTATGAATGAAAAAAAAGTGTATGACTAAAACTAAAATTTAAATTTAAAGTTATACTAGAAAGATAGCAAATTATATAAATTGTGTATGAATGATTTTGTAACTAGTTAATTGTTCCACGGCAACAATCTGTTCCACACATGCATGGTATTTTATTTTCTTCAAGCCAAAATTTATAATCAATAGTGATTTCTTCCTCTACATTAATTAATCGCATGCTATATATAACAATTTTCTTTTGCCCTTCAATTTGTATTATCTTGGAGTAGCAGTTTGGCTGGAATTAAAAAAAAATTGGTATTAGAAGTTAAAATAATATTAAAGTTATTACATTTGTTAAATAATCCTGTTACACCTTCCATAAAATAAAATACAAATTTTATGGGTACATTATAATATTTCATATAAACAAGAACCTTTTGAAAATAAAAACTGAATTTTGTTTAAAGTTAATTATAATGATATAAAAATGCAATAAAATAAATATTATACAATTTGTACACCAACTTCTGTTATTGGAACATAAAAATTTTTGAATAATACAACATTGTACATTTTTTTTATTTAAGTATTCTATAATCAATGAAATAATATTTACAATAAGTACAAGTGAAAGAAGTTAACAGTTTCCAAATAATGAGACAGTAGGTATGTGCAAAGAAATCAACCAGTGTTGGTACTTCAGGGCATTTTACATTTATTTTTAAGATTTGGTTTATGTGTTATAAAATATTTGAATAGCTTTGTTTGGTTCCAATATGAAATTGTTTTTTAAGTATTATAAAATTTAGTTCAACTTTAAAATTATATTTTTATAACATTACTGGTATGAGTTAAAAAAATTCAATAGGTACTTTATTAATTAAAATATTCAATGAAACATATAGAATCTATAGAATTTTATATTATATGATTTATACTTAAACCAAAATATTACAGTGAAACCTGTCATATGGACACCTGTATATAATGAACATCTCTCTTGATGGACAAAATATTTTTCATTTTTATTTTTATTCTATTTTTTAAATTTTAATTGTTAATTATTAATGACTATGACTATATTTATTATATAACTAGAGCAAAGATGTTTTATTTGGAACATTTTTTCTACCTTTTCAATTTTTTGCTAAGTAAATTTTAAATATGTTTCATGTAAGTAGGATTTCAAATCTAGAAGTTTTAAGTGCAATTGTATGCAATTTTTTTGGATTTTTCTTACAAATTTGTAGAATTTACTTATTTATACAACTATTTTAGCTATAGTGGACACTTGACAGTTATTTAGATAACATTAAACTATATCACCAGACATAAAATCTAATAATGGTATCTTATATTTATTTTGATAATTCTAAGTTGGTAGGTATTCAACGCAGTACAAAAATAATTTGTGAAATGTGATTGTTTGATTGTTATAATCTGTTTTCAGTCACTCTTTGAATTTTAAGGATTGTGTTCGGTTATTATTTTGTAAATATGCTGAAAATTAAGCCAACTACTTCTACTGTTAATAAAAAATTATTATTTTTTAGTACAATACTGCAATCAATTTTATTAGTTTTATACTACTACAATATCTATACTCTAACCATAGTATTCTAAGGTACAGTTTGGATCTATGTTGAATGGTGCTAAAAAGATTAAATTTTTAATAAAGACTAGTTTTCTGGTCAAAACTTTGAGACCTCATACCTTATCTATCTTGAGGAACTATCAAATTTTGTGGATTGACTCATAAATTTTAGCAAATTGAGATAAAAATGTTGATACCATTTCAACAGTTTCTGATAAGAGGGGTGGGCTATTTGAAGTTGACCCACCCTTAAAATGGTGGGAAAGTAATGACTAGCAAATTCCACTAATGGACTTTAAAGTTCTAGCAAATAACTCGCAAAATTTTGAATAGATTGTGTGAAGTGGGCCAACTTCATGGCTGTAGCAATTAATACATTTTAGGAAATTTTGCAGTTGTGTCATTGTTCTACAGGACAGTGATAAACTCTAACTTGTACAATCTAAGCATTACTTCAGATAGCCTATAATTTTATTTTAAATTCAATATTTAAATAAATAATTGTTAAATTTAACGAAAAGTTATTATTTTTTCATTAGAAGATTAGGATTTATGGTTTATTACTATTGAGTACTGAATTTAAAAAAAAAAAAATTGTTTATATACTTACATTACAGCTGTGATTAATAAATCTTGCCAGATTGCCACACATGGTAGAATCGATAACATTGTCTAAATCTGTTCTAAACAGATATGAGCTGTTAATTCCAGTGATTTTGTAAATTTTTTTTCGTAATTCAGCAACTACAAGACGAATACTTTGACCCACAATTTCAATAATCATTTCATCAGCAATAATATGTTCCATAGCAAACAAACCCCAACCATGTATAGCTGATTTTCCCAATTTCAGTTGCTTCTTATAAAACTTAAGCATATTAAATTTTTGCAAATCCTTATCTAATGTAGGTTCAATTGCTTTGAATAATTGGTGCTGATTACTACATGCTTCACGAGATTGATCCAATATTTTTCCAATACATTTGTTGGATAATTCAAGCTCTTTGATACAGTTTGGCTGAAAATTTGAACTGTCTGATTGATGCTAAAAAACACATTTTATAAATACAAAAAAAAATATCTATAATAATCATAGGTGTTCCACAAAGATATTGTAATATCTCTGGAGATTATAAAGAAAATCAAATTCTGGTTTTTTTTTTTTTTTATATATATACAACTCATAGGGATAAAAACTACTAATTTTATAATTCAATTAATTTTTTAAGTTTTGGTAACTTTTTTTAAGTTTTAAAAAGAAATTTAGCCAACAAATATTATTACCAAAAGTATCATAAATATATAATAAAATTCTATAGGATGATACATATCAATTAAGGCAAAATTATTAAGTTTTAGGGTTATGCTTGATAAAAAATAGACCGAAAATAAAAGAGCATATGATAGATCTATAGAAAAAAATGATTCTATGTTACTACCAGAAAATGATAACAGTTTTATCAAATAATAATGTGGGTCAACAAAAAATTAATTTTAGTGAGTTACAGAAATAAAAAATAAAAAACAAGTGAAATATTTAGTAGAATCATATACCTTCCTCATATTCTAGGATTAATAATAATGAATAGGGTTTGGGACTCATTGTACTTAAAATTCACAAAAAAACACTTTAAGCAAAGATTATTAGACTAAATGGTAGAAGGATTTAAATTCCCTCCCTGAAAGAGCTTTAACTTATAAAATACAATTTTTTAACATTATACAAATTATTAACCCAATGTTATTTATTTATATGTACAATTTTATTAACAAAATTAATTTTTGTAGTGTTAGAAAATTATATTTAATAATTTAGAGTCATTAGACAGAGGACATTTAAACCCTTCTACCATTTGATTTAATAATATTTGCTGTAAGTGCTTTTTTTCAAGGCTTTTTGGGGTGAATTTTAAGTAATAATAATAAGTTTTAAATAATAATAAAGATCTTGTACATAATATTATTATGTTATATCTAGTTTATGAACGGTACTAAAATAATTTTCTTAAGGTCTTTAATGATGCTCAAAATTTAATAAATCTTTTATTAAATTAAATTAAATAACTTGAAAAAAATTAATTTTTTTAAAATCCAAAAATTTTGATAATAGGGGGGTTGAATTAAAATGTTGATGCATTAATAGTAATATCTAATGGAATGAGAGCTGATATTAATTTAGGCAAGCTAAAATCACTTTTTCAGATCACTGTGTCATTGTTTAATGTATGTCAGTATTTTTTATAATTATAAAGAACAAAAATCTGAGATGGTGTAACAATGTTAGACAAAATTAGAACTGCTCCTTAAGGCCATAATATAAGTATATAAATTTAATAGATTGAATTAAAGTATAATAATAATAATTTTTAGATTTTATATTTAAGTAGTTAATTATAAAAAAAAAAAAATGGTTAATAAGAGAAGAAATCTATTCAGTTTACAATATACATTTGTTATAATATAGTTTAAACTCAACAAAATATGTACTGTCTGTTCGCTTTTTCCCTTATTCAAATTTATATAGTTAATAGTTTAAAAATTACCTTATATTTGGCCTTTTGTTCATTTTTCATTTTATAATAAACTTCAGTTCTAGCACATCCTGATTCATGAATTTTCCATTTCCCTTTGTCCATTTTCTGTGGAAGTTGATTTGGTATAGCTGACACAGTGTTCATAAATTAGGGAAAATCTTTACACAGTAAATTATCTAAACTCAATCAATACTTAAACTAATCTCACTACACTAAAATTGTATTTATTTAGAATTTATACATTTTATTTTTTGTTATTATTTAACTTACAATTGCATTTATTATATATAGCAGCAGTTCCTAAATTATAAGATGCTACTCCCTTGGGAGACCAATAGTATTTAACAGGGGAGGCAATAGATAAATATTGATACTTTTAGATCAACAATAATGTCATTAAAAATGACTAATTTCATTAATAATGAGTAAAGACTAGATTATTATTTTTTTAAATATCCTTACTGAGCTTATGCAGTCTTATGAGAGTAAGAAATGTTGATGATTCATTCTATTCAGAGTTTAAAGGAAAAACTTTTTTTTTGTATATTTGAGAATATTTTGTAAATTATGAGAAAAAAATATTAATTTATATTTATTAATTTAAATTATTTTAAAGGTACCCTGAAAAATAAATTTTGAACATTTACAATTTTTTTTTTTTTTTGTATCATTTTGATAAAAAAGTTTAGTGTTTAGTACCTACCTATTACAAGTTACTGATTAATAAACATGGTGGCTAATCTGCAATGCTAAAAGTTGTTTTCATAGTGATAATAACATCAACATATTTGTTGATCATTTTGTATTGCACTGTTCCATTTTAAGTTTTTAAAAATTAAATTACCTACATTATTAAATTTATATTATATTTTTACTCTTACTTAAATACATTATTGTTCTTTTTTAATACACAAGTGTAACTAGTTAAATATGGAATGTTGTAAAAAAATTGTTTATACAAAATTGCATATTAAAGCATATATTGATGTTCATTGATTATTTTTACATATTTTTCAAACTTCTAAGAGAATATAGGTCATGAGAATATTTTAAGGTTTTTAGAGACTATTAGCATTATGTTTTAAGAGAAAGCACATATAAATGTTTAACTAATATAATTTATAAAAATTACTTTTTATCATACTTTACAAACAATTTTTATACTTAACATCAGCTTAACAAAAAATATGAAATAAAAGAGATATTTTCTACAAAATATGCTTAAATAAGCTGATTTCTTCAAATTTGTAGTCAACCCTAAAATATGCATTTAAATGCACTATATACTTTTTCCTGTGTATTTGATTCTAATCTAATCATCCACATTTCTTATTCCCATTTAACAACTACATACTCTCAGTAAAAATATTAAAATACATACAAAGCCAAACTTTACTTACTAGTTATTTGCATTTTATTTTATCTGCTTGATTTTAATTTTAGACTTTGAGTGTATCAAAGAATGTATTGGTTTTACAATGGTGTTTATTTTTATTATTGTTTTTATATTGAGACAAAAATGTCTACCAGAAAACTTACTCTGATGTATCAAGTGTAATACCTTTTTTGAAAGAAAATGTTATCTATATGATTCTTTATAAAGATCATTTTAAGATTATACGAGTGGTTTTCTCGATTAATTGGGAAAACCCTAGATAAAATGTAAGAAAAATGAGAAATTTATTATTTTCAAATTTGTTATTTGTTGTAATTCAGTTTAAAATATTTGTGAAAACTTGAAATTGGACAGAAAACTTATATTTCCCTTTTATAGGTGGGTAAAATTTTCAAAACATTTGACCCATATTTGAGCAATTTATACATTTAAATTGTTTAAGTAACTTTTATTTGGTAGGTACTCTGTGGATAAAATTGTTAGACTAAATAGAAATGCTTGAAAATTGAACAGGAGGTTAATTATAAATTGTACTTTATGGTCAAAAAAAAAAATTTAATTTAATGTAGGATATTTTTTTTATAAGAATTTTAATATCAAATTTTGACGAAAATCGTTTTAGTAAAAGATTATGTGGGACAAATCTAGTTACTAGTCCATTCAAATTGTTTCAATATACAGAGTTATCAATCTATCTTTGGCACTCATTATCTCAGAAAGTATTAATATTTGGTTTATAGAAAATTTTAGAAACAAGTGCCTCTGAAATTTTACATTTATGTTATTTTTTGTCACCTTAATTTTTGGGGTGTAAGTACTATCTACTTTTGATTTTCAAATAGCAACCTGTATTAAAAATTCCATAAATAAATAGAGTAGTAATTATAATAAATTTTGGTGTTTAAATTTGTAATTTTCATCAATCCCTTGATAAGATATTCCACTTTTAAATTTGGGTTGGGGGAGAGTAGTGGAGCATCATTTGATGAAAATTAAAAATGTGAACACCAGAATTTATTTTAACTAGTATTCCAACTATTTATGGAATTTTTAATATAGTTTGACATTTGAAAATCAAAAGTGGGCTGTTGTTCACCCCCAAAAATCAGGGTGACAAAAAATAATGTAAATGTTAAATTTTAGAACAGCATGTTTCTTAAATGTTCTGTAAAACAAATTTTGAAAAAAGTTAATACTTCCTGAGTTAGTAAGTATCTTACCATAGGTTGATCACCCCATATATTTTACTATAACATATATACATATATTGTTGAAATACTATTAACCAAGCTCAAAATGGTTTTTTTGTTAGCAATGATTAAACTTTGCTTATAGATATACATTGCATTACCCTCTATATGTAAAGTATGTCCATCTTTTGTTATGACAATAGTATTACTATTAATATACTATGCAATTAAATAGAGGGAGACCTAATAATACTACTTAGTGTTTCTTTAATGTGTATTGTGGTAAGAAATAAAACTAATTTTTCATTTATTAATTATTATCTTGATCAGAAAATTTTGTAAAAAAATTATAACACATCTTCCCTTTTTTTCTCATTCATTGTTTCCATCCCTGTATAGTTAACAGTTGTTGTTCAATAATTTATTTAATGGCAACACAATTTTTGCTGTGTAATTTCTAAAATCTAAAATCTATGACGATATTTTTAAACTAGTATCAATAAAGTACTTTAATTAAAATACATTTAGTCATTTTTAAAAAGGTTAATGATATTTTACAGAGTGATTTTTTTTTAATTTTATTTAAACCAGCAATTTTCTCGGGAGATTTTAATAGAATTTGACTTCTGTTTTTTTAATCAGTATGAAGTCTTTGAAGCTATAATTTAAAACCATTTTTAATTTTTACCCTTAATATATGTACCTAAAATAAGTATATACTTTTCAAAAAGAAACCCTTCTTTTGAACACAGAATATTTTTCTAGAAATTTTGATATGTATAACACTAATATCAGATTTACCATTTATGAGTTATGGTTGTTTAAAGTTTAGACCGGTGGAGTGAAGTATAGTGCAATCATGCAACTTATTAATCTTCCTTACTCTCCCAGTATAAATGTTAATGATTATAATTCAGAAATAGTAAATCTGATATTCATGTTATGCATATTAAATATTGCTTGAACTATCAAAAGTAGAGTTCTGAAAATTAACATACAGAAGTAGATAAAAGCAACAAATAAAAGGTTGGGTCAAATGCAGACAACAGGAGAGAGGAAGTACTATGGTGTGTGATGTTTGCAGATGATATAAATTTGACAGGAGAAAATCTGCAAGATTTTAGCAATAGGCTTGAGAAACAGAAAGTAGCACTTGAAAGAAGTGAAGGAAACTGAGAATAAGTAGAAGAAAATAGAGTATATATAGTATGTGTTTGGAGAAACAGGATAAGACAGTTGATAACAATAAGCTATTAGTTATTATGTATTATGTACTTACAGATGGCATTTTAGATATGTCTTTTAGACTTCCTAGACTTGAATCACTTATACCCAATGTTTTCAAACTTAATGGTCCTGTATCTAAAATATTGTATGGGTAATGAGCTGATTTCACAGATTTAGAGTCTTCATTAGTAACACTATTTGGCTATAAATATAAATATATTGTTTAAACATAAAATAGGTATTCCAGATAATATTAGAATAGATAAATCTAATATTACTTTTAACTGACTCGCAGATCTCTCCCACCATTGATCCAAAACATTATAAGCAATATTAGGCACCACTTTGTTTAGAAAATGACTTTTAAGCTTATCACTGAAATCGTGTAATACTTCTTTCATTAACTTTCTAAAACAATAATCTATCTTATTACAAATAAAACAGAATATTTAATTAATTATTACTCTTACTTTTTAAGTATGGTTGAAGTATCATCCTCATTACATGGTTCAAAGTCATAAACAATTAAGTCATCTTCATCTTCATCTTCATCAAAATGCATATCAAGTGATGGCAGATTATTATCTTGAGGATCATTTGGTAATGGTGAACACTGGGGATTATTTTGATCAATATCTGAAATGTCTTTACCTGAAACTTCATCATTAAAACTTGCTCTATCATCACTACTAGAACTCATTTCACTATGCAAATACATAGTATTACTAGTAACTGAAAATAAAATTAAACAAGCATAAATACCAATACATATACCTAACCTAATCACCTATTGTGTGTATAAACTTACTGCTTCTTATTTTGTCGCTTAAAGAGCTTTCTAGTTCTAGCCTTTCTTGATCATCATTAATGTTTAGCTGTTCTAGTGCTTCATAACTTTTTAAACATAAATTTTCTGATAAAAAGGTATTATTAGATGGAGAATTAGAAAGAGATGGACATTCTTCATAATTATCAGGTTGTAAAAAATTTAAGTTAAAGTCATCAACAGTATAATCTTCTACATTATCAGGAATATCAGAATCATTGTTTATGATACATGAAAAATCCGGATATACATCAGGAGCGCCACTAAGGAGCATTTCAATTCTTGTATCTAAGCTTACTCTTGATTGTGTTTCGGGATGAAAATTAGGAGCAGGTGCTGGTACAGGTATTAAAGATGAAGATGAAGTAAAAAGATTATCTTCTGGCCACACATTATTGTGCATAGGAAGAATATTGGAAGGATATCTTGAAAAAAAAAAACAATAACCACAATTTTCAAAATATTTTATAGTAAATATTAATAATGAATAATAAAAAATTATAATAATAATCAGGGTATGAGACTTTATTTTATGCACTAGAAATCCATAAAAAAAAAAAAAAAAAACACTTAAGAATATCATAAAATTACTTAAAGGAGCCTTTATTTAATAGCTCTAAATTTAACTTGTTAAATAAAATTTTATTTTAAATTAGGAATATTAGAGGGTGGGGCTTTTAAAACATCCATTCCATTATTGCTATTTAAATATTTTTAAGCACTTTCTTGTGGATTTTAAGTAAATAATAAAGCCACCAGCCCTGGTAATAAATTATACCTATTATATAAATTGGGAAGTATTTGGTTATTGTATCCATGAGCACTGGTCATACTATTATATCCACAACTGGTACCTGGGAAAATAGTATCTACAAAACTAGAATTTGTATAATTGTTTAATTTGAGTGGTAATGACTTTTCTGCTGCCTGAAGTTGATCATAAGGTTGGTTTGGTTTATCAACAGTTAATCTCTCATATACCATTAAACATCGCTTAGCTAAACAATATATAATTTTAATTTTAATATAAAATCCACTATATGTATATAAAATAAAACACTGAAATGGATATTTACCAGAAGGATCTAAAAAACAATCTAGAATTTTTCCCATAAGAGATGCTCCATTTAACTTTTGTACACAAAACATGGCCGATGTTTCCTCTTTAAAAATTATTTTTGCTAAACCCAAATGTGTTTTAGTGACTGGATGATAGAATATTTGTAACAAATTAATTTGACCAAATTGTGCTACCTATAAATAATAGCATAATTAAATCATAGTATACAATAATGATTAAATAGTATTAAATTATAATTACAAATTTTTGTATAAATCAATAGAAATATAAAATATATAAAAATAAATTATCACAAAATACAAATAAACCAAACAAGAAAAATATATTTCTCTAATTACTTTGTCAAATTAGTATTTTATAAAATAGAACCAGCACTTTGTAACACTTTTTAACACTTTGTTGTGAAATACAAAATTATTTCACAAAAGAGAAAAATACCTATAATTATGCAGCAGGGGTAATCACAATCACTAACTGCTTATTATTATCATAGATAATTGACTGTTAGCTGTTTTTTTCAGATTTTTAAAAAACTATTAAAAATCACGAATTTAATGAAAATAGTGCTTATAGCCACAATTTTCAGAAGAGTATGAACTTTAAAAAATGACTACCTTCAAATTTTTCACCAAAACATGAAAAATTAATTGTAATATACACATCTGTAGTTCTTATCCTTGTGAATAATATATATATATATATATATATATAAACATAAAACAAAATTATTGTCATACAAAATATAAATATATAAATGTTACTAAACTATAAATATTCACTAAACCATTTACCATTTGCAGGTGTAACTATAAAATTAATAAATAATTTCACTCACCAAATCTGTCAGAAACACTTTATCAATAGTATTATCTAAGTTGGTAATAGTTACTTCCACTTTAAGACAACAATTTATCTTCTTGAACTGAAAAAAATTATTATCCATTAAGTACAATATATTTTACACATGAAATAAATGAAAAATTGTAAGTAGACAAAAATGTCTCTGGGTTTTAAATCATTTAAACAACTTAGGCTTAAATAAACATGAACTAAGACAATGTGTGTAGGTGTACTTATAACAAAAACTTTTTAATGAATGATGGCAACTGGCTAGTACAAAATATATTTCTTTATGGGCATAATCATAAGTCTAATATTATTACAAGTCAGAATAAGCTTTGGTTATAGTTTGTCAATTATTTTTTGTCTTTACATTTACCTTCCTTAGAGTCTTATTATTTTACTATACTTGTTTTCAATAAGCACATAACATTTCAGTATACTTTTTCAACTTAACCTAAACTACTAACACAATAAAACCTTACATATTACCAAAAATATTGGTGCTAGTGTCATACACAGAAGAAAATATAGGAAAATTATACCAATACTACGGTTTTAAAAAAGAAAGGTCACCCATAAAGCAATTCAGTTGTCACATTGCTCAAAAAATAGAGAAAAATTATAAATCCAGACAAAACACTTTTGAAATATGCTTATTGACTTTAAGAAAGCTTATGACTTATGATACTGAGAAAGCCTTAAGTTTTAGCAATTAGATACCTTTGTAATTTTCACAAATTTTTTTATCCTTTTTTTTATATAAGATAATTATTGCCTCATTCCAACTGGCATCTACTTATCCTTACAAATCTTGCATAGTTTGAACATAACACAATGCACATACACAAGTATGCGGTCACTGATGTCCAAAAATTAAAGGGAAAAAAATTGCATTAGTCAAAATAATAAAATAATTCCAAAAATTGACCTTCCCCAATGTTAAAGGTGTTGCATTTGAAAATCAAAAGTAATAGTAGTTAAGTGCACCCCCAAAAATAAGGCTGACAAAATAATAATGGTAATGTAAAATTTTAGAGGTATTTGTTTCTTAAATTAAAAAAAAAAAATTAATTTCTTTACAAAATATAACAATAATCATATCTTTGTAGTACATTCTATGCACATATTAATCCGATATTTAATACATTTTATTTAAAATTATATCTACCTAGTTAAAATAAATAAATTATTTTATTTAAAACTTGGAATTATTAATTTAATTTACAATTTTTATAAAATTTATGTTTATAGAATTTATGTACTATTTAAATAATTTTCAAGAAAATTAATAAATTAATAAATTTTATATGAGACACAATGTTATTTATAAATATAATTTGATAACTGATAATTTATAATTTTATAATTAAATAAACAATGCAATTATTATAACAAACATAATAATAACAAACAAGAACAACAGTTATAAATTATTAAAACTTTTATAGAATTTTTAATAATATATAGGTTAGCTTGATCTTAACATTGTAATACATAGGTTTAATTTTAGTATTTTTTAAATACTGTTCATTAAAAATAAAATATGTGTGCCTGATAAAGTAAAAATAATAGCATTATGTGCTTAAATTTTTGTTTTACTATTAAGTATAGCTTGATAAACTTCTTCAGAACATTGTATCAAATTGTTTAAGTATTTATACACCAAAACAATTTTATTTACATAAATGAAATAAAAACTAAAAACTTTATAATTTCAAATAGCTACAAATCAAAAACCATCTAAAATGTTTAAAAATTGGAACACATCTACAAAGAACCAGTATTAATGAAAGTTTTTAATTTTTACTGAACTATAACAAAATCAAAAATAACAGGAACCATTATTGTATAATACTCTCCTTTATCCATAATTTTTTTTTAATAAGAAAACTAAAATGATAATAAACAAATTATCTCTCCAAACACACAAACTAAACAACATTTTTCTAACAGAAACCACCAATATGTTCATACTTAATTTGATCTAATATATGGACTTTACTAATATTTATTATCTAAGTGGCTAAGTTTGAAAAATAAATAAAAATGGTTAATTAGGTATTCATTAATTCTTAGAAAAATATCCAAATATAAAATTAATTAAAATACATAAGTAGGTACCTTATTATAATCAGGTACTGGCAGTACCATAGGCCATGTTATAATTTTATTTGTGAATCTATTCATACGCGGATCTTCAACTATCACTTCATGATACAATGGATTACCAGGTAAAACACCTGGCACAACGCCATTATACCTATATACTTTAGTAGGCACTTGATTCAGATATGGATCGGCTACAAGTTTCCAACTGGGTTTCTCCGAGTTTTCCATTATTCGGTTAGCTGTAGATGGCATGAATAATGTTAACGGAATATCTGGTTTCTGAGTAGGTTCAAGGTGTATCGGTGATGTAAACTTTTCGACTTTTACTGACGGAATCCCATTGTACCCATGATAATTATCGGAATCCTTACTTGTCATAAGGTGATGGCGTTCCTGGTAAACACCATCATGGTGCGATTCATATATTTCATTTACGAACGCACAACTTTGAAGACGATATGAATCACCAATTGATAATTGACAGTTGAAATTCTGGGAGTCATTACGTTCTAAACTACGTTCGTTGTACGGTTCCATTTTAATAGTTATTGAGGAAAACAAATTAATGATTAATGAAACTGTGCTTGAATGTATTCATACCATTATAGTATAACTATTAAAAGGTGATGAAAACAAATTAGGCGGCCATTTTCTCATTTATCGTTTATAGTGATGCCAACGTTGAATAGTAAAAAAAACCATAGACTTGTAACTATATATATATAATATATTAAATTTATTATATTTTATGTCTGAAAAATACCAAGTTCTTATCACACACCGACTATCTTAGAATCAATCAAATACTACTTCACTTTGTCATTATACAAATATGTATGTTATCACAGTATATATGTTCATGATCAAGATATATATATATATATAGACCATTGAGTAATAGAGTTTCCGTTCGATTTTGAATTGAGGCGAAAGAGTTCTACTTCCAGCGTGACCAGATAACAAAGAACAACACTATTGTTTAATTTTGTCTTTTACAAAATAACATAAATATATTAAGGTACAAAGTGTTTGTTGAATATATTTTGTAAATTTATGATGATTTAAAAAATAAAAAAGCTACATCTATACCTACCTATGAAACGTAATATATGTTTTCTTTAGATTTACTATTACGAGTTACCTCACAAACACCATAGATGAGAGGTGAGGAAAGCGCAATCCATTTATTAATATGTCTATGGTTCTTCCACAAACAATACAACTCAGCATTATATTTTTAATTTATTTAATTAATAATTAATAATTACGAATGTTCCACTAATAATATTAAATTATTGAGCGTATTAAGTTGATAATTAATTTGTTTACAGTTTTACACTACTTGTAGTGTATCACTTGTTTTGTCAATCAAACGTAGGTCTTAATAACGCTATCTAGTAGAGATCTGAATCGTAAAGTGACACACAAGTACACAACTGTTACAAATGACTTAACATTTGTCTTCACAACAGTTTTATTGCCGAGATACGATACGGTAACTCTATATTACTTAATGACATAGACAGGGGTACATTCAAAAACGTTATCCACGATTTCTGGGGAATTCGCCAAAGAAAGATTAAACACCACCCATTTCAATAAACCAACGACTTATCAACCAAGTTACTTAAGTTAATCTGTTTATAGTTTTTTCAGAAATAGATTAGGTTGGTGGCCACAAGTTAATAAGTAAGGATACTATCCAATTAATATAATCATTAATTATTAGATTCAAATATGGCCGAGTACTTGGTATTCTACAAAATGTAAATAATTTAAAAAATATAAGGGATCGTTTACTATTCGAGAGGGATACAAACTTATCTACAAGTAAAATAATTTAAAATGTGTCAAATATAATAGAACTCTATGCCATCTGCTGCGGCCCTTTGAGGCCACTGCCGTCTCAGTCATACTATTGTACATTATCTTATTCTCACAATTCGTTTATTCTATATCAACATCGACGAGAATGCCATCTGTTTCGTCTTTTTAAGTCCACAAATTCCAATGGTTTTTTTTTATCGTTCGAGAAGAATCAATATCCGATCTATTACTTTCATTGAGAACATTTAAATATGAGTCAAATAAAATAAAGCAATAGATACACAACATCAATTGGCCCATTGATGATATTGCCGTGTCGTCATTATTCTCTCGCACTATGTTATATACCATTATAATTATTTCTGTACAAATTTCAAATCAACACATAACACAATTTTTTTTAATGGTTAACCTTTTTTTTGGCTTATTTAAACATATAAAATTTAACGGTTTTTTCAATTGAAAATGAAGCGTCTTCGAAAAATTACCAGACGATCACTTTGTCGATAATCCTGCACACAGCAACAACTACGCTCCGCCAACTTCTTTCGAAGATCTCTCTCAAATAGCTAGCTCCAACTTTTAGCAGCTTTAATCACTCATGTTCGATTTATTTATTAATTTATTTTATAATTCAACCTTTTATTTTCCTAATTTAAAGATTAGCATTTTATATCGTATATTGATCTCGTCACCATTATCGGATTTACGACTCCGAATCCCCTTCAAACATCGGAGGGAAAGTAGTAATATAATCAGTAGGTTGAACTTTTATTATGATTAAAGATAAATCATTCTTTGTAGTATCAAAAACTAGATCAATTATTTTATATTATATAGGTACATTTTTATACCTACTCTATATTTTATTCTTTGTAGTTACTTCTACGTAGTATCCTATTATTTTAAATATTTTTGTCTTTTATTATTATACTTAGTGTCTAAGTCATCTACTATCTAACCCCCTCCCCTAACCTTTCATTCGCCCCTTTTTAATTTTCCTAAATTTTGAATTACTACACACGTGAAGGATAGAGTCCGTAACAAAATGTACGCTTTAATTTTACATAAAACGGACGTTTATATGATAACTTAGATAACCTATGTTTATTTGCAATAGTAGTCACCATTATCAATGACAATAGTTATAAATATAATAATAGTAATAATATGTTGGGAGATTTTTATTGAATTTTCATATTAACGTTCCAATTAGTGAAAGGCGGAACCGACGAGTTTTGACTTCGATTATCAATCAATAGTTTAAAAACAACTGAGAGATTTATCGATTTAATTGATATTTTTAATCGTCGATTGCTTTAAAAATTATCGACTAATTAATTCAATAGTTTTCATTCAGTAGTAGTACCAACTAGTTTTATATTCTGAGTGGAATGAGAAATGTATTGGTTTTATAATGTTTATAATGATTCTGAGCAGAGCGAGGATATATATCATTATATTGTCAATACATTGTCAATATAATGATGTTTGTTTTTATTTTTTCTGTGGGCAACTTTTCTACCAGCAACTTTGATCAAATTTACAATAATAGTACTTTTTCTGAAAGGAAGTCAGACTGTGGAGGTACTTTAGGGAAGTCGTATTTGATTTCCCCAGAAGTTTTTTCTACAAATGGGAAAAACCAGGAATAAACGTAGGAAAAACGAGAAAATAAATACAATTTTAAACAAATATTATAAAAGAAAATATACAAGGTCTGACCAATAAGTAATGAGACTGTTTTTTTTGCCACGCTTGTGGTAACACTGCAAATCTGAAACTTCGTTCGGTTAATCTCTCATCCCTCCTCTATCGATACATGTGCTCGCGATTTTCGTACAATAATTAGTTTTCCAGTTGTGTTATGTTTTCGACAACGTGTTTGTAAGGCGTGTCACAAATATGGAACAACGTAATATAAATTTTGCGTTATACTCGGTGATTCCGTTATGAAAACGTACGATAAATTGGTGAAAGTGTTCGGTGATGAAGCCCTGAGTCGTGCTCAGGTGTTTCGATAGCATAAAAATTTTAAAAATGATCGTGAAAGCGTCGGGGATGAACCGCGAAGTGGGAGACCGGTTGAAGCTCGAACTGACAACAATGTTCAGCGTGTGCGCACTCTCGTGCATCAAGATCGGCGTTTAACCGTTCGAATGTTGGCTGATGAACTTNGTGCCTTCAGTGTGTCGCGATTTTTGACCTCTAAGAACATCGCAGTGTTGCCACAAGCGCCCTATTCGCCGAATATGTCACCCTGCGACTTCTTTTTGTTCCCTCAAACAAAATTGGCCGTGAAAGGAACGCATTTTGAGTCCATAACTGACATCCAGAACGCCGTGACGAGGGTACTTCAGGACATTCCAGTCGAAGCCTTCCAGAAATGTTATGAGAGCTGGAAAAAACGTTGGAACCAGTGTATAGGGGTGGGAGGGGAGTACGTTGAAGGGGATCACATCGATGTATCTTAATATTTAAATATACGTATTTTATTGAATTAGTCTCATTACTTATTGGTTAGACCTCGTATAATGCATATGTAATTATTTTACCATAATATGGCATATATATGGCGATATTTAATTCGAAATCGGTCGTATAATACATTTATAATACTCCAGGCAATGCATTTATTCATATATTTATTTTTTATTTTTACACATACAATTTTTATTTATATATTTATTTACCAGTATTAACCATTTAATTATTTTTTTTTACTTAATAATTTTATTACATATATATTGTTGACAAAGCATCACTATCAACTGACTCCACTCAGAATTGTTTTTCGTTAACAATGGTTAATTGTTGTTAACAGATATACATCGCATTACCTATAACAGTGGCTGCACCCGTCGTCCATTCTAGGACAGCTATTTACTATCGATAGTTTAAAAAACAACCTATTATTTTTTCGACTGCATAGATATTATCAATATAATGAACTATAATCCTGCCGGATAGCTTCAATAGTCTATAGTTTCAATAGAGTAGGCGATAATTTCAAAAGTCGATAGTTTCTAGAAATAACGGAATAAATTGATAATTAAAAACTATCGAGTAGTTCAATAGTTTTCACTTGGTAGTCAGGGATGGATTGGATCTTTAGACCGGCCCGGGAAAATTAAAATGTAGTGGCCTATATTTTGGAAGGGAGCGTGGGGGCAACCTACAAGTGTACCTTATTGACCAAATCAATTATTTTAGTCAATTACAATTTAGCATTATTTTAGGTTACATTTTAGATTCTCAATGGAGTGAGGAATGTATTCGTTTTACAATGGTGTTTATTTTTTTTTTCATGTGATCACTTTTTCTATCAAAAATCAGATTATCATGTATTCTCTGGATGGTACTTTAAAGAGGTTATTTTTTGAAATTCTCATTCATATTCGAGATAATGTGGAAAACCTGATTCTATATGTTAAAGAAGATTGAAAGATTATGTATTAAGTTTATTATTTGAATCGTTTTAATAATCATTGTTGTCACGGAAACACAAATTTTATTTTATCATAATATGACATATATATTATTGATTAAGCAACACTATCAATTGAATTCCACTCAAAATTTAAGTTTTTTCGTTATCAATGATACAGACGGGAAGTACATTAATTAAACAATAAATTAATGTACTTTCCTTCTGTATCTTACCTTCCCAACTTTCCACCTATAATAGTGGTTGCACCAATGTGCGAAATATGTCCGTCCTTTTTATTGATACCTACATTGTTTTTGTACCAACATATTCCCATGTTTTCCTCAAGTTTTTCACATTTGCTGGGAAAACTCTTGAGAAAATCAAAAAATGACATTCCTAAAGTACTCTCTCCCACCCTGATTGCCTTTCAGAAAAGATGCTTAACTTGAAAATCGGAACAAGATTTCTGGTAGAAAAGTTGTCCACAGAAAAAAAAAATAAACATCTTTGTAAAACCACTAGCTCCTTCGCTCTACTCTGAATCTAAAATATCTTATCATCCAGACACACATGCATTGTAGAAAATTATCGTCGTCACCCGCCTCTGGTCACATTCTACGACGACGATGTTGCCGCTTAGAATAACTCATGCTATTATTATTATTATATTATTAATATTTACGTATAATATTGTGGCGGATTATACACCACAATTCTGATTACATACATTCATACATCACAATTCTTGAGATTACAATTCTGGCTCTATTTTACGATCTCGGGTTTTTGGGATATTTAGCTATTAATCCCGAGATCCCAAAATTTAAAAGGATTATGTACAATTTTTTTTAATTTAATTTTTTTATTAATATAGTTTTTATTATTATTATAAATTATAATTAAATGTTCTACTTATTTTCAAGTATACAACTAGTATTCAATTTACTTTCGTTTAGCTGATGGCGGTGTCAAATTTTCTTCTAACGATTCTCTATGTCTATACCTAGTTAATGAACAATTGCCTTCAGATCATATTTTAAAATAATATTTTGATGAGAAATTCGTGTAAACTTTTTGTTGATCCTCCCAACATCTTCAATATGGCTAAACATAGTTTACATCGCACACTTTTTCTATCGTTTGCGATTAGGAAATGACTCCACGCCGACTATGTATTTGAATCTTTTTTGTGTTTAATAAAAACACTATGACCTGACATTTTATAATAAAATTATTAACACATTTAAATATTCAAAAGAGACCCGTGAGTCGTGATTCGTAGCTGTAGCGCTACGTGTTGAATGTATTCAGAGAACAGCGTTTACTAAATATTTGTTCGTACGTGTATCAATCGGTCGTAAATATAATTTATAATATAACATAATCTTATCTTACAAACACGTTGATCGGCATTAATAGCCGAGGAACTATATTATAATTCTTCGGGACAAATACGTTTAAATGGTTTAGCCTTACTAAAATATATTTATCACGATATCAACGTGGATATCAATGATGTTATGGACGAACAAGCTAAAACATCAAAATGAAAAATGAATATACATTTATAATTTTTAAAAAAGATAAATATATCAACTTTTTTATAATTAGCCTTATAAAATAGTAATAAAATGTTTAATGTATGATTATAATACACACAAAGTTCAAAACAATTTCATTTATTTTATTTCTTAAACCCCCTTCCCCCTCCAAAAAAAAACTTCTGGACACACTACTGTTAATGTTAAATAAATCTTTATTGTTTACTCTCGAATATGTTTATCGGTAGTATACCTATTGTCAACCTAGAGGTCACGAATTCAAATCCAAGTTTCGAACAAAATTGTTTGAACTTATTTTTTCCCTTTTACCTAAACAGAGAAGAACAAATGCATTTTAGGTGTATCTAGAGACCTGGAGGGAAAATGTACGAAATATATTAGTAAAATATTACGGTCTTTTTTTTCTCTGGACAACATTTCTACCAGTAATTTTGCTCCGATTTTTAATGATAGCACATTTTCTAAATGGAAATCTGACCGGGGAAGTACATTACGCCAAAATCCTATAATTTATAACTGGCGGAAACCGGTGACATCCGACGTTTTTGTCACAAAATGGTTGATGATTATAATACGAGATCTCTGTTGAAGCCCTACAAATGAATTGGATACCGATTCTTAGTTCGTGGTTTTTCTGAATAATACACGAATACAATATATATGTATATAAATGATCAGTACGTATGGAAATAGGAAAACATTTATATACAAGTACATATAAGTAAAAATACAAGGACATACAGAAAAAAACTGGTTTTCTATACAGTAACGGTTTCATTAGGTTACAGAATAGACACCCTAGCTAATCTGCGTAAAGAAAATTATTATGAAAAAAATAATATATTAATATAAGTATATAAGAATGAGCAATACATAATAGTAATAATGCTGTTAAGGTTTTATATTGAAATTCGAAAATGGTACTACTGGAGAAACAGAACCAAAAATAATATGTTATTACGTACCTAATAAATCATTTATCAGTATTGGTATTTACGTAAAATAGGCTCGGACCTTAATTATATTTATTTTGGTACAATTTTTTATGTAAAACAATAAAGTGGAAGGATCAAACCCTATAATAAACTGTAAAAATTAATGATTGTATTTAAAAAACAATTAAATACATTAAATTAGTTATAGAAATTTAATTTTGATCGTTTTAATAAATATTATTTGTTTCCAAACATTAGATAATGTTTCAATCAAGTTTATCTCATTTAGATTTTGCGTTTAAACCCATCCTTTTGATCTACTTTTGTTGATAGTCCAGGCTTATGTTTCGCAGCCAAGTCTTCATCAATTAGTTGTTCAAAATGTCCCATTGATTCTCGAGAAGGGCATTTATTCCAACGTACATCGGGAATTCCACTGGGTGGTAAAACAACACTTAACATATTATCAATCAATTTATATTTCAAAATTCGGTCATTCACTGTAGTAGACGTTAGCGAAGGAGATGCATTTACTTCAATTAGCCAAGGTTTTAAATTATCATCAATTATAATATCATATCCATAACATTCAAAACAATGTCTATCATTAGCCATTATACAACTAACTGACTTTAATGAATGAACAATCAACCAAACTATGTTATCAAAAAGAGCTTCAGTTACTGTCTTTCCTCTTGTGCTTTCTAAAAATAATCTTAAATTTTGAATGCTTAATTTACCACCATGTATACTGTTATATTCATCACCTTGTTTTTGTAAAGAGACATTAGTCAAATGAACAAATAAGTTTTCTATCTCCCCGACACTTGCATTATATTTAACTGTACAAAAGCGACAGAAACCTGATTTGAATAAGTACGCTTTTAGTGGACGAAAAGAAGTGACTAAAACATATAAACGTAGATCAAACTTTTTACCATCAATCAGTAATGGATTATCAATATACCTAGAGATAACATATGATTCTTTTATCGCAGATGCATTGAAATTATTATTTTTACCCTCTCTAGACCATTTCTTCAATTTTGATAGTTTATTAATGAGAAATATTCCAGTTCCTTGAGATTTTCCGACTGGTTTCATGATCCATGTACTTGGTCCAACCTTGCGATATTCTTCCACAAACAAATTATAATCTACTGGTAATACAAATGTAACTGGAATAAAATCTAGGTATAAATATTTGCCATCTATACGTTTAGCTAAGGGGCTTCCTTCTCGTTCGAGCTCGCGTCTATAACGTTTTATGTTTTTAACCAGCATATCTTTGCGACTGAGTTCATAATGATTAGGAAAGTGGTTGATCATTTGATTGTCATGCATTCGGTAGAATAGACTACGACATGTTTGTATACCAGCCCAGTAAAAGTTCCAATCATCATCGGGACCAACATGTATCCAACCTCGTTTTTCAAAATTACTCAGTACAACTGATCTATCGACATCCGTACAATATGTTACTTTCATTTTAGTTGAAAAATTGAAAAAACATAAATGTTAAGAAAATCTATGATTTAAAAGGAAATCAATACTAATTGGGATTGATTACATGATAATATGTGATATAGTAATTCGATTAAACAATTTTAAAATCTGTAGGTATCTATGGTAACAACCAAGTAGGTATCTGATGAAATTAAAAATAATATTTAAGCAAAATTTAGTAATCAAAATTAATTCTTATCTATTAAAATTAATTTGTTTGTTATTCAAATGTACTTAAATCTTAATAGGGATAATAAAAATACTTATGTATTTTATTTTTTATTTAGGTTTTTATATCAATGTTATATTAGATTTCTCCAATCTAAAATCATAGTTCACTTAACTGACATGTTCAAAACATTTAAATACCTATTTCAATATTGTATTATATATACGATTATACGAATACAACATGTTAATTTAGTTATAAATACACATAGACACTTGAAACTTATTAATAATACTTATATTGGACTTACCGAGATATGGTAAAATTTTTAAAATCATCAGAAGACATTTTTTCCTTTTTTACATTTTTTTACAATGGTGCTTTATTTTTTTTTAAATACTATAGACCATTTTTATCCTAGAAAACTTGCCCCAGTGTATAAGTATAACACCTATCCTAAAAGTTAATGTCATCTAATTGGTAAATACATAGGTCATTTTTTAATTTTCAAAACGGTATTTAAAATTAAAACGATTAATCGAGTAAAAAATAAGATTTGTTCACGATTTCGTTATTTTAAATAAGTACCTACAACGTTTTCTAGCATGAATATGGCGCCAATTGAAAAATGACAAAATACTTTTTTTTTTTTTAACTATTTATCTTGTTTTTAATGATGCAGTTCGTTTTTTTGACTGCGCTCGAAATCGTCTTTTATCAGCAATGGTTTATCGTTGCTTGCAGATATAAATGAAATAACCATATGCATCCTATCTTCCCAACTTTTCACCTGCAACAGTGGCCATTCCCATCTCCAGTATTAACTCTCTTTTTTTTTCCAGTGGACAACTTTTCTACCAGGGAACTTGCTAAATTTTTAAGTGTGATTACGTGTGTTTCCTTTCTAAAAGGAAATTGGTATGGGGAGGTACATTAGTAGGTCATTTTTCGATTTTAAGTTTTCATTTTCAATTTTCTTATATTATGTGAAAAACCGAAAATAAACTGATGAAAAACCGGAAAATGTACAAAATATATTAGTATATTATTACGATTTATTTTTTTTGTGGACAACTTTTCTACCAACAATTTTGATCCGACTTATATTGATAACAATTTTTCTAAAAATAAATTCATCTGAGATACTTTAGAGAGATCATTTTTCGATTTTCTCAAGAATTTTTCCAGCACATGTGAAAAATCAGTTGTTACGAACTCTGTCCTTCACGTGTAAAGTTTGTTAATTATAAATTAAGAATTCCGCGCGACAAGATATGAAATCGGTCGTCGCATTTAGTATACGCACGTTGAGGCTATTAATATGGTTATGCTAAACCGACGACGTTCCCATGCAACAACGGATGATACATGTTCATGGGCCAAAGGGAAAACGTGTCCGGATACGGACGACGTGCCACCAGTAGACAACGGCGGCAGCATCCACCATCACCTAGGCCCCGATCGAGGCGATAAACATATATAAGGAAACCGTGATCACCACCAAGGGAGTTCAGTCAGCTCAGGATACTAGAGGGTATACCTGCACCACCATCGACGCACGAGGAGGAACACCGTCACCTCGACGCCAACCCATCCAGTCAGTTCTAGAGTGTACTATACCTGATAATTACAACTAAATCTTGACCCGGATCTGGTGTCGCAGGGTTTTCAGTTATAAATACAACATTTTTTTTATTTATTAATATAATTGTGTCAATACACCAAGTATTTTTACAATGTTACAATTTTTTTTTTTTTTTTTTTTTAAAAATTATAATATTATATTATTATATAATTAATTATGTAATGTATAATAGGTTTAATAGATTTGATAAGCTATGAGTCTGGGTCTGAGGTTGAGGTGTCTTCATTGGGATCTAGTAGGATGTCCTGAGGTAGCCGAGGTTTGAGTCTTAGATTTATGGATCTCTTGCCGATATTGTAGTGACAGGCTCCGCCAACTTTGTGAAGTTTTCCGTGGAAATTTTTAAATTGTTGTGTTATCCAGGTAGATAGGTGTGGTAGGCCTGTATCGTTTGTTTCTCATAAACCAAGGGGCCTTTAGGGCTATTCTTAGGAATTTATTTTGAAGGGTTTGTAATTTTTTTAATTTTTGTTTTTGGGGCAGCTGCCCATACTGGGCATGCATAGGTTACTAATGGTCTTATTATTGCTGTGTAAAGGAGTTTAGAGCATTTAATTTGTATGGTAGAGCTATGATTTAATAGAGGGTACAGTATTCGCAGCCTAGTGTATCCTTGGTTTAATTTTTTGTTGATGTGTATTTTCCAGCTTAGTTTTTCATCAAGTTGCAGGCCCAAATATTTTACTGAGTCGTCTTTGTTATTCCAGTTGATTTCTTTATTGTTTATTTGTAGGGTCGGTTTTATGTATTTTCTAGGTGTAAATATTTTTGCTTCGCTTTTGGTTGGGTTTAGTGTTAGTTTCCATTTTGAGAACCAGAGGGATAGTTCATCTANAAGATTCAAGAGTTTGGTTTTGCGTTATTATTGCAGTGTCATCTGCGAACATTGCTAGATGGCAGTGTTGCGGTGTTAGTATATCGTGACAGTAGATATTGAATAGAGATGGTCCTAGCACAGATCCCTGTGGAACTCCAGCCTTTACATTATGTATTTGTGATATATCTGTTCCTATTCTGACATGAAATTTGCGATTTGCTATTATGTTGTTAAGGTATAAAGGTAGGTTTAGGGATTTTATTTTTAAAATAAGTTCATGGTGCCAAACCTTATCGAAGGCCTGTGATATGTCTAAAAAGGCTGTCGTAGTAAATTTTTTATTTTCGTAACCGTTTACTATGATTTCAGATATCCGTTGTAGCTGATGGGTTGTCGAATGAAATGATTTGAAACCAAATTGATGTAGTGGTATAATTTTTAGGAACGGTTTAATTCTGTGCTATAGAATTCTTTCAAGGAGTTTTGAGAAAGTTGGGAGTAGACTTATGGGTCGGTAACTTTTGGGTGAACTATTTTGTTTTCCTGGTTTATGTATAGGGATAATGATTGCAATTTTCCATGTGTCGAGAAAATAGCCTAGTCTCATGGAGGAGTTCATGAGGCTAGCTATGTATTATAGAGATTTTTGAGTATTTTATTTGTTACCTCCAGGTACTAGCAGCTCCTTTCAGCTACGGTTCGACTGTTTTTTATCCACCCTAACCTATTTATTTTCGCTTGGCTTAATATCGATTCAGTGTTGTTTATAAATCGTACCGGGTCCTCGGGCGTTGTACCATAGAATTCCGGAAGCAAGTTTCTCGCTGTGCGTAGATCTTCATACGGTATTAAAGTCGAATGTTGGTAATGCGCATAGTGGTTGTGGTGTCGATGTGAGGTTCGGAGTCAGCGCGTTTACGAAATGGACCGATCGGTTGCCGTGTCGACTGTATACAGTCGTTGATATGTCGCGCGGCGCGGCGTAGTTCGTACCGTGTTCCGTGGTGTCGTCTTGATGCTTGTTATCGTAACTATCGATTTGCGGTGTGGGTACCGACGTTGTCTGGCGCGAATAGGAGGGACTGGGGGGCTAAGACCCCTCTAGAATTGCTATAACCCCCTCCCCAAAAAAACTAATGATTTTACTACATAATACGTTTTGTGAATCATAATATTTTGTGTTTGAAACATGGCATTGATGAATTGAAGAAATTCAAAAGTATGCCTTAACTAAACTGTTATTCAATGCATCTAATATTGTAACAGTACTTTTTAAATGATCTTTTGATACAGCAACCAAAAAATAATGTGTTAAACTATTCCAACAATCTAAACTTCTCACTATGCATCGCTAGCTATCTAGTATCTGCCAGCTTCAAATTTTTTTTTTCTTTGCTCACCAAAAAACTCTTGAATCTCTTCAATAATTGGAAAAAAAAATTGTTCGTTGGGTACTACCAGAGGTATAAGTGGATACCTGAGGACATAATATGTGCTAATAATTAATTAAAAATTAAAAATGTTTAAAAAATAATGTGAATTATCATAAATAAATATTTTTGGATTTTATCAAATCTTCTAGAGATCTTGGCAATAGTGCAATTTCTTGCTGTGAGCGCCAATGAGTGGCATATGCATTGCACTAACACCAAATTAGGAAGGTCACAATTCAAATGAGAAAACAATGAATTCATTTTTCCGATCATGATATTAATCTTTGAATTCTTCACATAATTTTTCATATATTTTATCATATTATATTTTATTTTATTTCGGTGAATTGCGAATTCAAAATATTAAGATGCAATAAAATGGGTGATTAATATAATGAGAAAATTTGCCTTCATTTTACATTAATGTCTTAAAATCTCCCCGTGCCTCGTTTTAACAATTTTCATCAAAATTTCCCCGCGTGGAAGGAATTTCCCTGTGACTTCCCATCACTGATTCGGAGAGCTAAAGTCTGTGGCCGTGGCGACCGAAGGCCGGTTACCCATTCCAGACGCGTTGTAGTGGCGCTGGACATTTAACAACCAGTGCTCCAAACACATCTCAATACCAACTCCTCTCTCTCTAAGGTAGGTATTCTGAGAACTTAAATATAAGAAGAAGGGGATGCAGAAGTAATTAATTTTTCCCATTATACCATTAAAAAAAAAAAAGTTTGGCGACAACTGTTAACAATAGTAATTAATTATAATAATAAGGTAGGCATTTATAATGACTTTTTTTTTTTGATAGATTATTCTCAAATTTTAACATTAAATTTTGAAGAAAGAAAATTAAGTAAAGGTAGTAAAATCATTTTTAAAAATATGCTATTTTTTTTTTTAGGAATCACTGAATTGTAAACTTTTAAGGTGAATGATAAAAATAAAAATGATATAATTAAATTGGTATCAGTATCTAATAAAAGTAATAATATATTTACAAATTCATTATCTTCAATATGATTCATGTTTAATATTTTAAGTATTCTTTAATTTATTTTATATTTTAGAACCAAAGTCCAATATGCCCATCACAAGATAAAAATAACCAATAGCATATTCATTAACAAAAGCCCAATTGTTGTCCATAAAATAAAAATGTATTAGGTACTATTCAATGATATTTGTATAATAATTACTTTTAATTAATTTAATGTAATACTTACATGTATTGATTTTTTATTTTGATATTTATATTAGATAGATAACTATGCCATAACAGCGACATTAATACATTTTGCAATAAATAAAATTTGAATCAGTCATTTGGGAACAACAAGTCATAATTACCAAATTTGTTTAAAATGAGTTAAAACTTCAAGTGAAACACAGATAAGAAAAATATTATGCTCCCTTTAAACAATATCCTAATCATAAATTATAGTGATTTATGTCATTTCTTGTTGGAACACGTATCTATTCTTAGCAAATCTAAATCTATCATAATCTCATTTGATCAAAAATAGTGACTTATGTTGTTTCCTAAATGACTGATTAAATTTTATTTCTTACTGGTTAACTTTTATGTACCTATCATGATATTTTTATTATTGTAATTAGAAATAATAATTTTTCATACAGACATACCTAGTAAACAAATGTTGGTTTTTTTTTTTTTTTTAATTAGAAATAAATATTAAAAAATACAAAATGTTCATAGATTTGTAAATTTATCTAACCTAACTTCCAATATTTGTTTTCCATAATATTCAGTCCAAAAGTAGTATACAATATTGTATTATTTTGTTCATGTTAAGGTAAAATTATTATTATTATTATTTTCTGTAAAACGTTGATGACATTCAGTTAAGAAACTAAGATGAAATTAGAATTCATTTAACGGGTTGCATGAGCAGAGTATTTATGGAAAATCTAAAAGCACCATCTTTTGTCAACTTAATATTGATTTTTTTTTTATTGATATTAGATTTTATTTATTTTTGGTTATTAAAAAAATTCAAAACTAAACCATAAATATATTATTCATCTATTTAGTTCACCAACGTATAGTTTGAATTTCAAGAAACAAAAAATTAGTAGATATTAATATTTTAAAATTGCATTTTCTTGTTTTAGCCATCCTACACTATCTGAGTTTTTGTAATCATTGATATTCTCCAATAAATTAATTAATATAGATGAATATCAAAATTAATTATACGGTAAATCAAATTACAAAAATTAAACTATTTATGAATAAAATAAAAATTAGTGGGCATAGTAGGAATACTGGCCATAGGTGGCGACTCAACACTAGGCAAATAGATTAAGTAAATAAATATTAATGAAAAATAAGCTAATTATTTTCAGAACCACAGAATCACTTGTTGAGTTCAGGTACTTAAATTATTCTTTAGTAAACACTTCAAAAAGCTAATAATTTATCTATATTTCTCAGTTATTCTTAAATTTATACCTAGTTATGTATACAAACTTAAACATATATATTTTTTTTTAACTAACCATACATTATTTATCCATTAGTACATAAATTTGTCATTTACTAAGCTAGTAACATTTTGGATGATAGCAGATCATAGTATGTAGACAGTTATAGTCATAAAGGTAATCTTGTTTTGGTTTTAAGGTATATCATAGATTTACTTTCAATGGTGGGAGTTATTGATATAACTATTGTGTCTGCATTAATTTTTAAGATTATAAGTAATGTTCTCTAATTTAAATTCCATCATCAATTTCTTTTTTGAAATATCATATTTTTACACAAATATCTGGTTAGCTATAAAAATTAAAACACATTTATTATTAATAAACTGTATTTATTATGAATTTGTTTAGTAAAAGCATGTTTTTTAATATTTTCTATGAAAATTATATATTCTCATTAATATTATAAGGCAACAGGGTGATTTTTTTAAAAATTATGTATTCTAAAATATAACATTATCCTTAATATTGGGTGTGAAACGACCTACTTTTGATTTTCAAATGTTAATCCATATTAAAAATGCCAAAAATAGATGGAGTACTAGTTTAAAAACATTTCAGTGTTTAAATGTTTTTAAACAAATACTCAATCTATTTATGAAATTTTCTAAATAAGGTTGCCATTTGAAAATCAAAATAAAGGTAGGTTGACCCACAAAAATAAGGACAATGTACCATTTTTGAATGATATGTGATTCCAAAAAGTTTTTAAATAAGTAAAACAAATCAATTGTTTTATGAAAAATTATCCTGGTTTATGAAGAAAATCATCCTGTATTATGGTTTTAGAAGTTATGTCTTCCATGTTTTAATATAACTAAGTACTCAGTACTCACTTTACCCATACTTAGTCAATAAATATATAAAATTATTTACCAAAGTAATATTCTGATAACTATATTTTTAATAAATAATTACGACGTAGTTACTGGCTTCAACATTTCATACTTTATTATTTAAAGAACTTCGTAACGAATAATAAATTAGAATTAAAATCGTTGAAGTTGGAAAACTAGACAGACAAGCATATAATATACAATTAATACAATATAATACAATGTGACGACTGACATTATGAAATATCATAATGGGTACCTATTAGGGTGCCACTTAAATTTTTTTTTTTTTACATTTCTTACCTTACTATAAGTTTTTATTCACCATAAAAACTATTTTGACGAAGTTTTAAAATTTCGAGTTAAGTTTTTCTGGCCACTCAATGCATCTTAAAAATATATAAATAGTAATAAATACATAAATATTGAAAATTAATAATTTATTATTTTCCGTCAACTTTTTACATAAATGTGAATATTTTTAATAAATTTGCATTATGTAAGATATTATATAGTTATATAATTAATAATATAAACAAAAAAAAATTAGGTATTCAGAGATTTTGAAGTGTTTTTTTGTTTGGATCAGGATACTGTTGACGATGTTTTTCAACGACTTGCAGTAAAAACTGTTTTTGCTCCTCTTGATTGGTCAAAACTGAATTAAAAGATGAAATTAAAGACACTCTTCGCTCTGCTATGTCATTCACAACTTTTAAAGATTCCACTGTTTTCTTTCCACTTAGATATTCTTTATTAGTTTCCCATGTGCTTGGATCAGTCCGTAAAAAGTTTGTTTCAATATTCAATGCTTCAAATAAATGTATAGTTTGATTTGTCACTAAATCTGATAATTTGTTCTCAGCCAATTCTACTGCTCGTATTTTTAATTTTTTTGCTTTACCTTCATCACTCCTGTTTTCTAGGACATTTTGGTAAAATATATTTTACCTCTTCGTCACTATCACTTTATCGTACTTTTCTCACTACTGCTACTACTACTAATACATAATACTGTATGTTTTTCAATTTCTAAACGTTCANTTCTTTGTCTTCTTGTAATTTAATTTAATTCATAGCATTGGCAAGGGCAACATCAAACAAATCGTCTAAATTATTTACAAAATGATTCACTTTCATAGCCTGTGTCTCTGTTTGTCTGGTTGCATTTTTTTTAATACCAATCCATTTCAAATGTAATTTTTTGATCTGATTAATTATATTATAATTTTGTTAAGTAGGGATTCTAGCTTTATTCCAAAAATCTAATAATTAATTTGTAGTTATATGAGCACTCTTTTGTATTGAAAAGTTATCTTTTAAATGCAAATGTAAAAAGCGGCCAAGAATTTGTCTATTTGATGGCAGTTTAGATCCAGTTAAATGTTCACTTGTGGTGCCAATCAAATAAATACCAAGATTTTTCGAATTTTTATAAGACATTGTATTATTTACTGTACTAATGTATTATATTGAAATATTTATTTAAATAAATTACAGTGTAAAATGTACATACCAATAATTTAAGTCAATACGATTGAAAGATGTGCAATCTGCATGTGTGAATAAGTGAATAATTGATTGTCTTCACAAAAAAAATACCGAATTTAACTTCACTTAAAGAATAACAAACAAAATTTAATTCACTGGCATACGAATACTAGTAGAATGACAGAGTATTAACAATTTAATATCAAATGCATGGGTAAATAATAAAGTTTAATAATAAAACCTTAGATAATCAGTTTTATCTTAAAAAGTAGGTACCTAACAGATAATCACATAAGTATAAAACTTTGATACGCTTGAGCGACCTCGAAATATGTGTTTATCTAAATTATATTTTTACCACAACCCCTTAATAACATATAAATCAATATTATGAAGTAAGATATTGGAAAAACAATTTTTTTTTTTTAGCTTATATAGTTAAGTGGCACCCTCTAGTACCTCTCTATGATAGCTATAGATTTTTAAGAAATAAACATAAATATTATACCACGATTGAAATAGGTATACCAGGTTACTGCATAATAGCACTATGGCGTTATCGCATACAAAATAAAATATTAAAATAACAATGTACAGCTACAGTTAGGGTAGGTTAGATTGTGGACATTTATTAGGTGTATTAAATACATTTTGTTGGCAACTTTCCCGACGATGATAAGCAGTTCGAAAATGATAAGAATAACAAGATGACTTCGATGGGATTATAATTCTACTGTCGCATATGGATTCGCAGAATTCAATAAATACATAATATAACAAATGATTTATTGTCTTATGTTAGAAATTAAAACGGCTATTACTAAGAAACTATTGATCGGACATGAATGTATGATGCATTCAATTTTTTAGAATAATATCCTTTACCGAATGGCAACTATGAAAATTTTTAAAATCGGATAAAATAAAAAATTTTTTTTTTCAATAATTAAGGGATAAAAATACAAATTTAATTATATATGTGCCCCTCTCGCACAAAACCAGATTGAAAGAAAAATGTTTTTAAAAAAATGAACAGAGTTATGAGCATCGGGATATCACGGTAGGATACCTTGTGTAATGCCTATTTAATTATTTTACCATAATATGACATATATTGTTAACAAAGCATCGCTATCAAATGAACTCCGCTAAGAATCGTTTTTTTGTTAGCAATGGTTAATCGTTGCAAATAGATGTACATTAAATTATCTATAACAGTGGCTGCACCCGTCCCTGTTATCCTAAGCGTCTTTTTATACATGGACTATCGAACGGTTCCATAGACTGTCCTAGTTTATTGAACAAATATATTTTAACGTATCACAAGTAAATACATATAATTTTCGTTGTTTCTATATTAAACCTCAAACTAACAATTTTCTTCTAAGTAGTCCTTTTTATCGGACCTTGAACTCTTATAACGATATAAACAATTTTAATTTTTTTACCAATTGTTCCTTTAAATTAAAACAATATACCCTTAATATATTTAATAGTATTTAATTTATCTGTTTATATGTAAATATTGTGATATGTACTATTTTATTTTACTTTTGCTCCATCAGCAGGTGTAAATTATTCAAGAAATAAATTAATAAATACATTTGTCAAATATTGAGTTACGTGCTGTTACAGTATAAACGACGAATTAATCAATTAAGTATAATAAATAAATATTGAGGAATAGTTTAATATACTATTAATACAGTCTACTATACTACATATGAATAATCATGATACAACTAGCAATGCTGGTTACGACTCAATTTTCTCAATTTTAATCAGAAAGAACACTTCTTTTACCATCAATATGGGAAATTAAATTTTGTTGGCGAAATTTCCTCACATCATTGATCATCAAAATTGTCAAAGTTGTATACTGCTTTATTGTGCCACACGTCACTATTACCTACTATTGCCTTTTAGCGCCCTTTAATTGACTTCACTTTGTGCTTTATGATTATTTTTGCCTATCAAACGCCTATATAAGAATGTTTACGTTATTTGGGAACCACTGGACTTTCTTATCAAATATTGCTAGTGGAACATTCATTAATATTTTATCCAGGCATCTAGCAGTCTGATATAATTTCACAATCGTTAATGACTTTCCAATAAATCCAGTATGGATTAGTATTCATAAAAGTGTTTTGTTGTCTACTGTTAATTTTCCTTCATTGTAGAAAAAACTTTGGACAAGTGAATCGCGAAATATAATTCGCACAATATATTGTTGAATACCTCGCTCGTAATAGTCCAGTAATTTCCACTTGAATAATATGATTTTGTGCAGTCAAGTTTTCATAAGATTCTAACAATCGATTTTATGAACCATAAGAAAACTACTTCTAACCAAATTGCTGTCCATCAATCATAATGATTTCTGAAGGGACTCATTATATTAAACGGTAAAGTTTCGTGTTGTGTTTTCTACTATGGAGTATCAACCTATTTTACTGATTTTTAACGTAACATTTTACCATGAAATAGCTATATTTCTAGAGCTTTGTAATAACTCCCAATTTTTTTCAGACTTGTTAAGATCGCGAGCATCGTTTTTAGGGAAAAAGTTCAGTATTTTTTTTTTTGTTTTTTATGCGCGTAAATAATAATTTTTAAGAGGAAATCATAATATCAAAAATTATCAAAATAAAAAAATAAATATATTTACTAATATTTTTTTCAAATTAAATAATCTAAATTTTACCTTTCATTTAGACCTTTAAAAGTAAATTTTTAGATAATTTGATTAATTAACCCTTTTAAACACCCTTAAATATATTTTTTAGAGGTTGAAACTATTTGGAACTTATTCTTCATTTAGTTACCAAGAGAATGGTTATACTTGTACATTGAGTTACACTTAATATGACTAAATAAAATTATTTTTACAATTATTATAGAAAAGTATTAGAAAAATATGAAAAAAAGAAATTTTACATCAATTTGATATCATAAATTGCTTTACAATATTTATATAATTCTAAAATAATATTGGGGAATTGTTTTAAAACTACTTTGTTAGTGTTCAGTATAAATTCATAAATTCGCCGACATTGATTATATCTCGTGTTAGAGTAACAGTTTTTTGTTTTTCCATAAATTCAGTAATCAATATTAATAATAAGTATAACAGTTGTAAAAAAAAATTAACTTTTGGCTAATAGGAAATTATTATGAAAAGGTGTGGATAAAAATGCTGTCAGTTTACCATTAAGATTGATCATTTTATATAATTTGCTTTGCTTACATATGATACAAAAAATATTTTTTATACGCAACATAATTTTTCTGGTCTGCATAAAAAAGAAAAAATTCTGAATTTTTCAATATTGCATCTTTATTTTTTCTTCATACAAGTATTTATTTCATAATAAGTGTTAGTTATTATAGTTATTATTTTTTTTGTTATTTAATTATTTATTTTCATTTTGTGTTAACTGTACTATGTATATTTACTATGTATACTTAGCTATGTACCTACAATGTACATATTTTATAGTTTACTGTAAAAGAACAAGTTTTGTTAAACTATAAAATTGTAGAAATAATTTTATTTGAAGTGAGATCAAGTGTAACTTATTATACAAGTATAACCATTCCCTAGGTAACTAAGTGAAGAATAAATTTAAAATATTTTCAACCCCTAAAAAATATATTTATGGCAAAATTATCCAAAAATTGACTTTTAATGGGCTAAATAAGAGGTAAAATTTAGATTATTTAATTTAAAAAAAAATATTAATAAATTTGCTTTTTTCTTCTAATAATTTTTGATCTTATGATATCCTTAAAAATTATTATTTACACCCATAAAAAATAATATTAAAAACTTAACTTTTTTTCTTAAAATGATGCTGGTGACTTTTACGAATCTGAAAAAATTGGAGAACATCGTTAAGCTCTAAGGAACACAACATCACAAGAAGAAGAAAATTTGATAAAAAAAAAATCTGAAACACCCTAACCTATGTAATCATTTACATTTGGCTTAATTTTTTCAGCAAATTATTAATTATTACTAGTTTATTGAAAAATTTTACTTTTAATATGTATTCCTTTTACTAAGGGATTTTATTTTGTCATTAAATACATTTCTAAATTCAATAATTACTCAAGTCTGTTCTCTAGTGATAGTAAATAATACCAGTGGACTATGTTGTTAGTTTTTGATGTAATAATTTTACTACCACAGAATTTGATATAGATACTGGTCTGATAGTATCAAATTATATGATTATTTTATATAAATAACTATAGGTAGGTATGCTATTTAGAACAAATGATTTTATATGGTGATGTTTTTTTGATGAGTTTTAATGATCTGTTTAGGTTTCTTTTTAACTTGAATATCCTATTAAAATGTTCACAGTTTAATTGTATATTCATTTTTAAATACATGGAAAAAAAGAGGGACATACTTTGCATGTAAGTGTAACCACTGTTGTAGGTGGTAGTTGGGAAGGTAGAATACAGACGGGAATTTAATGTTTATCTGTAAACAACAATACAACATTGCTAACAAAAAAAAAAGATTCTGAGTTCAGTTGATAGTGTCTTATTATGGTAAAATGATTACAACAATGTGCATTTCCAGGACAAAAATGATTGTTTAAAAGACATTAAAATAATAAAAACTATTGTCAATGATAACCATTCTAATCTTTCAATCTTTTTTAATCTAAAGATCCAGATTGTCTTCATTATCTCAAATTTTAATGAGAATTTCAAAAAATAACTTCTTCAAAGTACCACTCAGAGAACATTTCCTTTCAGAAAAGGTACTAAACTTGATAATCGGAGTAAGTTTTCTGGTAAAAAAATTTTCACATAAAAAAATAAATAAACAACATTGTAAAACCAATACATTCCTAGCTCTGTTTAGAACCTAAAAGTAATTTAAATATTATACATAAATGACTGTAGATATCTAAAGTTGGTACAATAATGTAAAATATTCTAAAATACCAATCTTATCTTATTTTTAATTTCAAAGTACCTATCTTTAGGAGTTATGTTCTACTAGGAAGTAGGAGATTAGGACCTCTAGGTTTTCAAAAATATATAAATTAATACATACCTAACAAATTATCTAAATTAAATGAATAAACTATTAATTAAAAAAAATCAGATAGACCTAATATCTCATTAATATCAATGCCTTTTTTTTCAACACAGGTATAAGCAATACCTACCTACCTAATAATATTTTAAAATTGAATACAACAAAAATGTTTTATTAAAATAAATTCAACCAATTTTGTAATAGGAAAAAAACCATCAGTTTAATTCATTAATTTTTACAGTGCTATGTTTAATTTACAGAAGAGTTAGATCTGGAGCTGTAGACGCGCATCCAACTGAAACAGCTATTGTCGTTAATTACGAATTGGATGCATTTGTACTAGGTGAAAATGGCGAACCTGTAATAGGCGATCATAAGGTAATGTAACTCCATATTATTAAAATTAAAATTAATATCCCATAGATATTGTAGGTAATCCAGTAATATATATATATATATATATATATATATTACATACTAGCAGGTGTCACCTGGCTTTCTCTGAATGGTCTTTTTATTTAATATCATTGTTTTTTTTTTTTATTTTTATGTATAGGGGGATATTATAATAAATTTTTTGTTTGCAATTGCTTGCTTGTGTATGATCTTTATTTTTTTTTTCTTCAGCTACTCATAAAAAAATAAATCATCTGGTCTTTTTGTTGTTATGATATTTATTAAAATTATTTCCACTTAATATGCTATTTATTAAATTATGATTTTAAAGAACCTTGAAAAGTCATTTTGATCATTTGAATCTGATCCAGCTATTATGAAAGATTTTAACTAATATTGTAAAAATAAATAATTATCAATATGATGAATTTTAAAAATATAACATTTGATACTTTCCAAGGATGTATTAAAAAACAAATTTAATATAAAATAAAAATATTTTTAATGTTCCGAAAAAGAATTTAAAAAAAATTATTTTGCTATGAAATAATTTCAATATTTTTGATTTATTTAATTCATCCCGTAATTTATATTTTAATAATTTTAAATTTTTTTGATAATAATTATAATCCATAATCAACAAGAGTATACTCAAAAATTAAATTTTAAAACAAATTTTAATTGTTTGGTTTATTTTAATGCTTGTTGATATGCAATGTTTTTAGTTTTTTTATTTGGTGCACATATAAAGATTTCCTGGATCACCAAGTCTTGGACATAATACATACAACTGACCATGAGAAAAGCCTATGTATCAAGAAAAACTCCTTTACTGTTTAACAATGAATGGTCCTTGAGATTTATTAATAGTAAATGTAAAGGCAAGTTTTACTGTAAATTGCAGTCTTTCAAATTCAAATGGAATATCACTAGGTCTGACAGGTATTCTTGGAATGCATACATTTTCACATTTGCAACATCCAGTTAATATTGTGGCTTCAACTATATTATTATTCAAAGATTTTATACACAATCTAGTTCCACTGCTTAATTTAGGTGGGTTAAGATTTCCCAAATCATTATAGTTGCACCAATTTTTAAAGTTTATGTATGGGCTAGTGAACCTGGTAATTCTAAAGAATTTAAAAATTCTATTGGGAGTGTTTTAGAAGATTTATGAATGCTTTCTATACTCAAGATTGCATACAATTTTAAAAGATTGATATGTTTTAGATTTTTCTGGAAGTAATCTTAATATTCATTGATATTATGAACTCTGTTATTTTTTGGTGCAAGTATAGCCCTCTCGCATAACCATTCATGATTAATATAATTTTTATATGTACCAGGAAATACTTGAGTTTTAATAAATCAGTCGAGTTCACAATATTACAGATATTTTCTGGAAATGTTAAAGTGTCATCTAAATTGTTTTGTTATCCTCTATCCCTGAAAAGTACTAATTGTTTTAAAAAATTCTCTAAAGGAAAATCACCTGTTAGAATTACTCTCATATTTATGTTTTTTTTTTATTTATCTGTAAACAACTTTTCTACCAGCAATTTGCCTCAACTTTTAATGATAGCAATGTTTCTAAAAGGAAATTTCACGGAGGTACTCTAAAGAAGTAATTTTTTGATTTTCTCAAAAGTTTTCCCAGAAAATGTGAAAAACCAGGTTAAAACACAGCATTAAACAAATATTATTAAAAAATATATAGAGCTTATTTAATAATTTTACTAAATACATTATTATTATTGTTACTATTGTTTATTTCTTCGAAAAGATAATAGACCCCACTAAACAGGTTCGTATGGGGGCCCACGAGTTCACAATTCATTTTAAGGAAAATATTACATTTAAATAATAATTTTAATTTAACTTTATTTATATTATTGGGTTAAATATGTTATTTTTAATATTGCATCTATTCCCCAAAAGTGGGGAAAATAATTATAATATGTATCATTTCAACAAGTGGACCAGATGATTTTTTTTTTTTTGGATTTTATATTTTTATTTTTATTTAATTTCATTGTTTTTTCAAAAATTATATTATAATTCACTATATTTTGTAAGTTATTATTTTTAATTAAAATATATTATGTTTACAAATTAATTCTAAAGTTATTTACATTTTTTTAGGAATGTCAGAAAGTAATACACTTGAAAAGTTTAAATAGTAATACTGATTGTAGAGCATTGGCAAAAGAAGTAATACACAAATGTAATCTTATACACGAAACCAAATTATATGACGTAGAGCATTTAATCTACTATTTGCAAACTCGGTCCACTGCAAGTAATGAATATAAATTTAAAAATAATATATTTATTTATTTTTGTATAATTCATGGTTTTATTATAGATAATAAAACTAAAGAAGATAAAAATCAATTGGGACTAGAAAACAGCCCATCTAATATATATCATATATGTGGTTTAATGCCTGATGATAAAGCTAGTTTGGCTAAAATTGATGAATATATTGAAATGTTGTATGATGATATGCCCAAAAAAGTACGTGGTTCTGGATTCATATTAAAAGTAACCAGCGATAAAGATAATCTTGAAGAACTTTCATCATCAGGTATCATAATACTAAATTATTTATTTAAAATAAACAAACTAATGTTAAATTATATAATACTTTTATATTAAATTTAACATTTACTAATTAATATTTATTAACATGTACATAATACTTATTTAATATTTTAGATTCTGAGTGGAGCGAAGAAGTTTATGGTTTTACAAAGATGTTTATTTTATTTTTTTTTCTGTGGACAACTTTTCTACTAGAGATCTTGCTTCGATTTTTAAGTGTAGCACCTTTTCTGTAAGGAAATAAGTGTAGGGAGGTATTTGAACAAAATGATTTTTCGATTTTCTCAAGAGTATAGTTTTCTTATTAAATGTGAAAAACCGAGAAAAAAAACTGGAATTATATCAAATATATTAGTTTTTACTAATATATTTGATATAATTTATTACAATTTGTTTTTCCTGTCAACAACTTTTCTACCAGAAATTTTTCTTTGATTTTTAAGTGTAGCACTTTCTGAAAGGAAATTTGACTGGGAAGGTACTTTAGGGAGGTCAATTTTTGATTTTCCCTAGATTTTTCTCAGCAAATGTGAAAAACTAAGAAAAAACATGGGAAAATAGGTACAACATTAAATAAATATTATTAAAGAAAATGTTCAATGTACGTATAATTATTTTACCTAAGTATGACATATATATTGTTGACAAAGCATCACTATCAACTGAACTCCACTTGGAATCTTTTTTTGTAAGCAATGGTTTATTGTTGATTACAGGTATACATTAAAATACCTATAACAGTGGCTGCACTGTCTCCATTATCTTAAGACATCTTTTTAAGTTTTAAATTGTAGGTTTGACAATTTTATAGTTTATGGATTTAATTGTTTAAAAAACGGAATCTTAATTGACACTATAAAAGTGTGAATTATAAAATTTTATAAACTTTTAAATTGTATTCTTATTGTGTATACCCAAATTATGAGTGTTAAAAAATGTACAATCGGAAATAAAATTGGGTATTTATTTTTTTTAAATTTTAAAATGAATATAATAATATTCTATCATTTTGTTTTAAAATTTAAATGGTTACTTAATTTAGTTTGACCTATGGTAGTATGTTTTATAACTATTAACTATTAATAGTTATTTTTTATTAATTGAAAATATCTGTTTATTTGTATAGAACCTACCATGAGTGCTTTAGCAAGAGTTCTCCGAGAAGAATATCGTAAAAGTTTTGAGCTGAGTTCAAATATAATAAATATATTTCTATGTTTTTCTGCGTATAAAATATTCCATAAGATGCTTATTGATCACAAAGTTAGTTTTTTTCGTTATTATTTTTTTATTTTATTAATATATCAATAACTTAAAAAAATAGACAATAATATTAATCATTTTTCTTCCTCTTAGATTTATTTGCTTTGTGTAGAAGTACTGGAATATGAATTGAATCGGTATGATAAGCTCAAAAGTCAGATAGTAAGTTCTCCTCGTGAACCTAAACAGTCAAAAGTACCAACACTTTCAAAGTTACCTGTTCCTAAAAGTGCCCCTATACCATCAAAAATAGTTCGTAGTCAAATACCTATTAGTGCTACTACTAATAGCGATAATAGGAGACATTCTGCTTCTCTTGAAAATGTAAAACAAAATTTCAAAGGTATTTAAGTGTATTTATATTTACTTTAAAATATTAAAAGCTATTACATGTGTACAATTTTTTTTATACTAAATAATATTTTTATATAAATAACCTAATGAAAATATGAGTGACATTATGTATATAGATAAAATTCCAAGAAGCTTGGATACAAATAACATAAAATCTGGATCAGCAACAAGAAATCCTGATGAATTAGGAGTACATCAGTTGAGAAGAAATTTATTTAAGTTAGGAAAAAATCAAGATCAAGCTTTAAAGGGTATGCCTATTAATCAATCAATTTATATTTATTTATTAATTAGTTAATTAATTCTATTAGGTGCTGTTGAACTGATATATAACTTAACAATTGATAAAATAATGGAAGAAAAAGTAGTTCGTAAAGGCATTATAAAGTTGTTATGTCTTTTATTAGATAGAACTAGTATTGATTTACTGTTAATAAGTCTCAAGTTATTAATTCAGATGTCCGTCTATAAAGAGCATGTAGATAAAATGGTGAGCATTTTTCAAAAAAAAGTACTATTTTGATCTCTAATGACAAATTGTTGTTTTTTTTTTTAATCAATAAAAAAAAACATTTACAATTCAAAATTTGATAATTACTATACTATGGTTATCTATTTCTTAAGCAGAGCTTAAATAGAGATAGAGAGTGTAAAAATATTATACTAAAAATTCTAAAAAAAAAAAAAAATAATGTACAGAATTATTATTTATTTAAATAAAATAATTATAATATAGAGAAATCAAAATTACAAGAGAAATAATAGATTTAATTTTTAAACATATTTGTTTGTTATTGTACCTAACTTTCCTAATAAATTATGCGTATGTAAATTCCATTTTAAATGTTTATTAAAAATAATAACTAGATATTTAATTCTAGAAACTTAATTTATTATTTTACATGTATGTATGTTGCAAGTTTCTTTATCAAAGCATCTATGTATTGTTATTGGATTACAATTAGTTGAAGTCTTATTAATAGAAAAAAGTATTACTATAAAAAGCCTTCTCTGTGCCAATACTAGGTCTAAATCCATACTGGTTTTTAGATAAAAGTTTATTATTTTCCAGGAAAGTAATTATCCTTACTTTAATTATTTTTTTTAAGATTTTGGAAAAATTTATTAGCAGGGATATTAGCTTATAGTTATTAATATTCTTACTATCTTCACTCTTCAGAAGAGGTTTAATAACTGCTACCTTTAGATTATCTAGAAAAACACTGCTTTATACTGAGGTTATAAATGTAAACTAGCTGATCAATTATTAATTCAATATGTTTTAATAATTTAGTCATTTAGTCTATCATAGTCAGCTGCAGTGTTATCTTTAAAACTATTCACAATTTTTAGAATTTCGACACTCAATGTTTCCTAAAAATAAATTATCAAAAGAAAATTTATTATTAACATTTAGATGTTCATTATTCAACACATTACTAAAATTCTTAGATAATTTTTTTCCTACAGTTTATGAAAAATCGTTGAAAATATTAGATACTGTTTTAGGATCCATTACTGTATTGAACACTTTATTATTATTTACTACTGGTTCAATCTTATCCTTGTTATTTGGTTTAGAGTATGTTATTTCATTTATTAGTTGCCTTGTTAATTTTGGATTATGAAAGACACTCTTAAACTTTATTTCATAAAAACTTTTTTTTACAAGTCTTAAAACACTTGTATATTTATTTTTATATTTTTTATAATAGTTGGCCACTTTTATACTATTAGGATTTTTCTTACATTTTAATTAGTGAGCTTGTTTATATCCTGATATCCACTCTTTATTATTACAACTTATCTCTTTATTTACAGTCAATATATCAATTGCTCTACTAATTATATTTTGAAATGCTTTAAAATACTCATTAATATTAGTTTTATTATATATTTCAGATTATTTTTCTGTTTGTAATGAACATTTAATTTTATTGTGATCAATCATCTATAAAAAACAGATTTCTATTAAACTGAGTTTGACTATCATTAAAATAAATCGTATCATCACTCCGATTAACATTAACAGTTATACCTGTTAATTTTGTTTTCCTTATATTTTCCATCATAGTTTGTTTAGTCTGGTTTGTTTGGAATTCTGCAATTATTTTCTGGGTTTATTTTGGATTTTCCACTAAATAGGATAAGCTTTCAAAATAGTTGTATTCACTCCTACTGATGCAATTTTTATTATTTGTTTCTGGAACACCCAAAATTTCTACAAAGTTTTCTGTTGATTTTTGTTCTAAGACATTTATATACTTCTGTAAATAAGCAATTTCATTATTCAGTTTATTATTTTGCTCTTTTAAAATTTGATTTTCCTCCTTAATATATTTTATTGACGCTAACATTTCTTGTAGTTAACTATTAAACTTATTGCTCATGAAGTTAACTGAATCAATTAAGCTGTTTAGTTTGTTATTGTGAACATATTATTAAAACAAGTAAAAATGTTGAAAATAATTTATTAACAATATTATTCTATTTTTTTTATAGTGTTATAGTAATATATATTTTTAATATTTAATTCAATTGTTTGTATTTTAGAAAAAATATTCCATAATTGAAAAATTACCAAAGATGTTCATGATGAAAAATTCTAATTTAGAATGTTATACTATCAAATTTTTATACAATTTATCATTTGATGTGACACTTTGTGATGACATTTTGAAAGTTGGATTATTACCAAAGATAACTGAATTAATTGGTATGGATTTATAATTTTGTACATTTTGATAATATTTGTTATTAATATGAGTAAATAAAAAACTATTGATTTTTTTATATCAAGTTGCATTCAAAATAAAACAAAATATGTGTAAATATTATGAATAATTTAGTTCAATCAATGGTTATTTTAAAATTGAAATTTGTTTTTATTACCTTTTCAATTTATTACAATGATAAATATGGTAAAAAAAAAAATCATTTCTAATTATGATCAGTATTTCAAATATTTATCAATGAAAATATGTGATATATATCATTAAATTTAATAGTATGTAATTTTAGGTACAGAAGAAAACAGTGAATTAGTATGTAGACTATGTTATCATTGTAGTATGGATGATCGATCCCGTGCCTTGTTCTCACATACTGATTGTTTAGCAAAGGTATTTTCAAATTGATAATAGTATTTACAAATTAAGTATAAATTTATTTACTTTTATTACAGATTGCAGATTTGTTATTAACATTTAATCAGTATAATTTAGTATTAGCTGCATTATGCACTAATCTAACTTTGAATGAACGAAATTCACAACTATTAATTGCAAATCAAGGTTTGAAACCTTTTGTACAGTCAGCTATTGATAAAGCAGATCTGATGTATTTTAAAATTCTCCATAATATGTCAAGTCATGAGTCTTTAAAACCCCAATTTGTAGTACGTACTCATTAAAATGTATTTATTTGGTATTTTATTTCATAAAAAAAAATATTAATAACTAATTGCCATACTTAAATAAAAAATGTAAAATTACACTCCAATCTAATCTTTAGAATAAAATTATGATTTATTATTATTTTTTAAGATTCTGATCACGGAATATAATTGTTTTGAGTGTGTGCCTGTTAAGTTTTGAGTGCAGTGAGGAATGCATTGATTTAACCATGATTTTTATCACCAATTTTTATTTTTATGGTTTTCTTATGTATTTTTTATTTGGACAACTTTTCTATCTGAAATATGGTCCTTTAAAAAGGACTAGAGATTTCATAGCATTTTAGATCTAGTTGGTTTATTGGGAAGATAATTTTTCATTCTTCTTCTTTTTCAGTATTTGGAAAACCAAGAAAATTTTATAAAAGATTACAGAAATAAGGTTTTTGGGTTTAATTATTTTCGATTTTAGGTTTTTTTTTTTTGTAATTCAGTTAAAAATTATTGTAGAGACCAGGAATATATGAATATACTCTATGAAATATAAAAATATTATGTTGTAAGACATAGATAAGATATTGTAAACTTTTTGAGTGATTATTTCTTTAAATTTTTTGAATCTAATGTTATAAAAATTCTTTTTTAGACAATATTACAAGGCTGTCTTCACCTATAAATATAATAGTTATTGACCAAATAAAAGTTTTTCAAGAATTATATTTCAAATGTTATCCAAATTTTCAATATTTTTGAAAGAATGTGCCTTTATTTTACTAAAGATCATCTCTTATTTAATAATTTAAAATATTCAGTTGTTTTCCTGCACCTTGGAAACACTTGTAACACATATACTTAAAAAAGGCAAAATAGAATATATAAAAAATTAATGATAATATTTTTTGAAATTATTGTTAATACCAGATTGTCCTCTTATTTTTCTCCGATATCAGAGTTAAGTTGAAATTTAGAAGGAGGATAAAATTTAAAAATTAGGGAAGGATAAGGAGAAGGAGCAGACATCAGACTAAAACCAATATATTCCTTGCCTACTCAGAATACAAATTTAAATAGATGGATATACTTAGCGTGTGGGTGGATTATTATTGTAGGTGAAAAGTTGGGAAGGTAAAGGGGAAATTTAATGTATATTTGTATACAACCATTAATCATTGTTGATGAAAAATAATTACATACATGTTATATAGTTTCATTAATAATATTTGTTTAAAAATGTATCTATTTTCTCATTTATTATGATAAAAGCTGGAAAAATCAAAAAATAACCTCTCTAAATACCACCCCATTCAGGTTTCCTTTTAGAAAATATGCTATCATTGGAACAAAATTGCTGGTAAAAGTTTGTCACAGATAAAAAAATAAATAAATATTGTAAAACCAATATATTTCTGACTGCTTGTAATCTAAAAAAAAATTTAGAAGTTATTTTAAAAAGCTACTGTAGTTTTAATTAAATTTATGTATTGCTAATTATTTTGATTTTAAATTTTTAATAGGAACTCATTGGACAATTTGCTTATTTAGTTACTATAATAAAGGATATTGAATGCATAATTGAATGTATTGGAATTATTGCAAATGTAAATGTACCAGAAGTCGATTTTAAAGAATTACTGGAATCTCATAATTTAATTTCTTGGATGGTACAATTTGTAAATAATGGTATAGTATTTTTTGTGTTAATTAAATACTTATATATGGCTTATTAATACTTAGAATTTTAACATTATTGTTATCAGACATTTTTTAACATATTTATTTGCTTATAATTGAAAATAAAATTGTTGTATATTTGTATATTATTAGATTATAAAAGACAAACATACTTCTCAAAATGGATGAACCACTGGTGTATGTGGGAAGTTGGGAAGGTAGGATATAAAGGGAAATGTAATGCATATTTTTACTTAACAATTAATCATTGTTAATGAAAAACAATTCTGAATATTTTGAATAGTTTGGTTATTACATGTTTTGAAAGGCCTTATTATTTATGATTTTTATCAAAATTTATTTTAACTCATCACTCCCATCACCAATTTTTAACTTCATCTATTTAAAAACAGAAGTAGGTATTTGTTCACCTTTCACCCCTAAAATAAGAGTGATGAAAAATAATGTAAATGTTAAATTTTAGAACAGCTTGCTTCTTAAATGTTCTTTAAAACAAATTTTGAAAAAAGTTAACACTTTCTGAGATAAGTTTCTTAAGTTTTCAAAACAAAAAAATTCTTAAAAAGTTTAATATTTTCTGAGATAATGAGTGTTTACAATTGAGTGAATCATCCTATATAGTCAACTTGAGGCTGGGAATAAAGGGATTTATTAAGGTTACATAGAAGCCTTAGATTTTTATTACTTGGTTCACATGTTCTAGTGGGACTTGGTAAATTGAGTCCCTTTTGAAATATTTAATGTAGTATATTAATAATTAATACAAAATATTAATAAATAGTATATAGTAGAAGGCATATGGATATTAAGTATACATAGAATATGGACATTAGATGAATATTAGGAATATGGATAATCAATACAATTGGGTTATTGAAACAAAATGTGTAGGGATGTATATTAAAACATTGAAAATCAATCGGTTTATTGAAACAACTAGAGCCAAGATTGAAGACAAAATCCAGTTATTTAGTGATAAACAATGTACTGAATTCCACTTGTCCAATTATAATTTATTTTATTTTCACTGTTCTTTATCATAAGTACAGTACCTACTATGCTCTTTACTGTTTGGTATTTCTAGAAATCTATTATGTATTAACATCGAGATTTAAGTTCAGAATAGAAGTGCTATTTATTTTAAAGTTACGCATATTTTACATAGGTAATATTTAAAATAATTTTTTTTTTCATAGTAGATAACTTTTTTTAAATTATAAACTTTTTTCATAATAATGAATAAAAACAATCTGTTAAATGACCCCGTTGGTCCAAAAGTGTTCTTAATAAGTGGCTTCTACTGTATATGTTACTCATGTTACTAAAATAATTAATACTGTTAAAATATGAAAAATAATTTTGCATTAAATATTATATTTAAATGATACAACCTTAATAAAGTCAATTCTACTTATATTATTATTCCTGTATTTCGTCATTTGTTTTCTTAATATAATATTTTTTGTTTTGACTTTTTATTCATTTCTTTGATTCTAATTTGAATGTATGTATTAAATTGGATTTCCTTGAGTGCGTCAATATAAATATAAGTATTCGGATGTGTCATATAAAATACACTAGTTAGCTTGGCATGAAAAGATTCACAACAATTTGTTGTACTATTTGATGTTGTCGAAAATGCAGCCCAAACATTAGACTAAATGGAGAATCTGATACAATATATGTTTTTAAAATATAATCGGTAAATAACTTTAAATTTTCATTTGCAGGAAGTTTCAATGTAAATAATTATGAACATCTTTAGGACTTAAAAATGGTAAACCAAAAAATAATTTCAAAAAATTACTTTCGATAAATCAATACATTGTATTTTTCTCCAAACACTTTGTCCAAGGTGAAAATGACAACATTTAAAATTAATTGTTGGCCAAATTTGTTGTAGATGATATGTATAGATTTTTTAAAGTAAATACAAATATATGTAGAAGAAAATTTTAAACCAAGAATTGCACACTAATCCATGATGTACTTAAAATAATAATTATAAGATTTGGCAATAAAAAAAAAAATTTTCTGGTTCTAGTTTATCATGATTGTGATATTCAGAACTTTCAATAACTGTATTGGAATTATTCATAAAGAGCAAGGTTAGGATTTAATTTTTTAATAATTTTTGAAATCAAAATTTATAACCATTAGTAATAAAAATAATTCAATTTTTTTAATTTTCATGATTTACATTTTAAAGTTTGATATATATATTTCTTATAATAACTGATGATGCAGGACTGCACATCAGGTAATCTTGGACTCTAGTTTACAGTAGGTAATAAGTATCAATACATGACATCTAAGTAAAAATCTACTAAAACGTGGTCCATTTGAAATTTTATGTGATTAACTAATAAATATGTATAATGTGCGTAAAAATGTATTAATATTGTTAAAAATAACATGTTTTGATCATAATTAATCGTTTAATACTTTAAAAAAAAATAACTGACTTCAAAATTAACCAAGTTTAAAACTTAAGATATTTTTTTTAAAGCATTTGTATTTAATAATCTGTATTATACATTAAGTCAATATGTATTAATTATTGTTACCTACATTGTATATGTTTAAGTTAGTTTCATCTAATAAGTATAAAAATTGTAAAAAAAAGTTAAATTTAAATTATTATTTGAATGTCACACGAACCTGTTCAGGTTCATTGTTCATTGTTTATATCTTTTCCAAGAAACAAACAATAATAATAATTCAAATAGAATTCAATTTACAGATTTTGATTAACGATAAATTTGTTTGGGTCTCAATTTACCTAGTGACTAGTGATAGGGTCTAGTTGAGACTATAGTTTTAGTAATAGTTTTATTTGTTCAATTTAATAGAGGTCATTCAAGTCATAAAGATATTATTGACATGATTCAAGTGTATGATATATTATTATTATTAAGAATGTGACTGAGTTGTATTATTCAAGTGAATAAATTAGTCCCAAAGAATCATAATCTAACCAACTTACACTATACTTGTTATTTCGAAAGTATTACATTTTTCTAATTTTTATTTTTTTAGTTAATTTAAGAAACTAGCAACTTTTAAATGTAACATTATCAAAAGAGGTTAATACTTTCTGAGATAATAAGTGTCTTAAATTTTGTTAATCATTCTGTATATTACTCCATATTTTAAAATCAAAACTAATTAACTCTTTTATTTAAAGTTCAACATTTATATTTTTAGCGTGTAAACCAAATCAAACAGTTACTGATGCCAGACTTTTGATAGAAATCATCAAACTTCTAGGAACTGTATCTAAAGATGAAAACTGTGGTGAATTACTTTATGAACACGGTACAATACAACAAGTCATAAATTTATTAAAAAGTAAGATTGAATGGTTTATTTGTTTATTATGTTTATAGAATAACTTTATGTATTACCAGGCTTCATGCATAGTTTTATAATGTATAATATGTATTTTATGTACATATTAATGTCATGGTTTTGAAGAAGTATACAAATTTTGTTTATGAACAAAAATACACAATTTTAGTGTTATTTAAACATTATTATTTATATTTTAGACCAAAGAGGTGATGATGAGTTATCAATACAAATTATGTACCTCCTGTATCAACTTATGTGCCATCCTATAACAGGAGATTATATTATACAAAATACAGGTAAATTAAAATCATGAAAAACAATAAGTAATCATGTATAATTTTACACATTTTAGTTTGTTAAATTATATATCTAACTAGTAATTCTGCTCTTGGCCCAAATACTATTTTGGATATAATAATTTAAACTAATTTTTATTGAAATTTTTAAATTTTAAAATAATGGTTGAACAAAGTCATAAATGTAAAATAATGAAATATAGTTGGTTAATGTATGTATTTTAAATTGTACACAATAAAAAAAATTTTAACAGTTTATTTTAAATATTATCTTTTAATAAAATTTAAATATTTTTAGTTAAATTAATATTAATACAGTATGACTGTAATAATAATAGTATTAATGTAAAATAAAAAAAAATGATCTATATACTTATAGACAACTATAGATATCTAGGATATAGAGAGGTATTTAATGTATATCTGTAACATAACAAGATTAATTATTGTTAATGAAAAACGTTTCCAAGTGGAGTTCAGTTATACATTTTTTAAAAGGTCATAATAATTTCCATCAAAATTTGATATTACAATTTATATTTAAAAAATAGTGTATCAAATACAACTTTTTCTCATGGTCCACTATGTACAACTTATAATGAACCTCCTGTTTAATTTTCAAGCATTTCTGTTTGGTTATAGGAATTCTAAAATTAAATTTGGCAAGAAGTTTAGGTGCATTAATGGAACCATTTAGAAGAACTCTAGTTTGGTTTGACTGTAAGATAAACTACTAAGTTTTAGGGGTGTAAGATAGGTAAACAATCATGTGGTTTATATTTTATTGTAAGGTAAAAGGAATTAAAAAGTAATTTACACTGAACATGGTCAAGATGGTATGAGTCAGAGGATGTATATGGATTATTGATCCCAAAGAATTGAGCCATGTCAGCTATTTGACAAGAGTGCAGTAAAGGTCTATTAAAGAATAAGAGTTTGAAGTTCATGGAAATAATGTACATATAGATAACATGCTTAATGTAAGAATGATAATCTAAATTAGAGGTAAGGATGGTACCCAGATCTTTTTTTAATAAGACACTATTGTGAGAGAGAGTAGTCAACAAGAATGGGAGACTAACACCTTGTAGAAGGCATATTTGTTTACATTTAATGATAGTCCCTGATTATCCAACTACATAGTTAAGCTGTTGAGTTCGGTTTGAAAACAGAAACAATCATCTTCAGAATTTATTTGTAAAAATAGTTTGACACCATTGGCAAAAACCATGGAGCAGTAACTCTTGAGTGCATTATTCAAACCATTAATTATAATAGGGGGAAAGATGACCCAATGTTATGCTCGTAAGGGCTGATTAATAATCTAGAACTTTTACATAGAATGTAATTATTAAATAGAATGCTGTTGTTAGGAGATTGGGCTGAAAGCCATATTTTCCATTAATAAAAATTGAATTAACAGAAGACTAAATACTACTGATAATCAAACACTCAAAAAGCTTAATTATGTTGCTTAGAATGGAAATAGGCCTATAGTTTTGCATTTTATTTTGTTCTCCTGTTTTGTAAATAAGGGCGACAGATGACGTTTTTCAATACTGAAAAATATGAGTTGTTAGGCAAGGGGTGATAAGGTAAAGTAAGATATAGCAGTACTACAAGGAGGTTTGAAAACTAAAGAAAAATAAGTAGAGAACATGTTGGAAATTTGTTCCTTCTCTGAGCAGTGCCAATCTTCTAGGACTTAGAATTTAAGTGCTTGAGGCTCGAAATTCCTGAGGTAGGAGGGCTCTTGCATATAAATTTCCAAAATCACTAAGATTACTTGATACTAAGATACTTGAGATTCGGGTATGGAGAATATACTCAATTAGATCCAATTAGAAAACAGCCAACAGCCAATGGGGGGACCCCATCTTCCATATCTACTAAGATGAGTAGATTGTGTAGTAAGGGTCCCCAAAATGGTGGAAGCTAGATATATTATCCTATTATCTTTTTTAATTCTTTAAAAAATAAATAAATACATTTTAAAGAGGTAGAATAAAATAGAAATTGATGGAAGAAAAATATATTAAGAGGAAAGGTCTTAATAGAAATTTATTAAAGAAATTTATAATTAGTTAGTAATGAACAATTTATTAATAATATTTTTTTTTCCTTATTTTAGAATGTCCAATTTATGTAATTCGTTTAATGCATGATCCAAACATCAGAGTTCGTAAAATGAGCAATTATTGCCTTGATATTATTAAGGTACAGCATTTATTGTAATTTTCTTCTCCAAATAAATCAAGACATTTGTGGGAATTAAAAAAAAAATTGTTTTTCTTTTTTAATACCATATATGTCTAACTAATAAATTTTAAAAGTGTAGAGATTAACAAGGGTTGGATTCCAAACAAGATAACAGGGAGTGGCGATTTCAAAAATTCATATTAAGGCATATATATATTATGAACTCAATGGTGAATCAAGGTATATTGAAGAGTTAATAGGGATCGCCCTCCCCTGCATCGGCCACTAGATTGACATATCTTTTCAGTTATTCACTAACTATACTAATTTCCTTATTACCTTTATCTTTATTTAAGGAATTTGATGAAACTTGGACAAAAAAAATTAGAGCTGCAAAATTCTGTTGGTTTAATGCCTATTGGTTAAACATGATGAAAGGCAATTGTGATATACCAAGTATAAAACCTATATATGAACCTAGTAATGAAATAAATTTGTATAGTTATGTACATCAAGCTATATTGATGCCTGAAGATGGTAATAGTTTAATTTGTTATCAAACATATTTTTTTGTATACAAATATAATTGTACTTTACAGATTCTATGTTTGATAAAGATGATAACATTGAGATTTTATCAACAAAACCACAAGAAAACAATAACAGTAGACCTGAAAGCAGAAATTTGGATGATCGGTGTGAACTACATCTTATTTTATAAATAAATAGAATATAATATATTATTTTATTTTATTATATCTCACGTTAAATTGATTTTTAATAGGTTTGATTATGATTTAGAAGACCCATACAATGCAGATCAGTATAATACTGATAATTATGATGAAGACATGACCAATATAGGCAGTCATATGATGCAAAAATTTACAAATAATATTATTCATTTTACAGATTAATTTACTACTTATTTATTACTAGTAAACACATAATCCACTTATTTCCACAAATTTTGTTTGATTCAAATATAAATAAACATTCTGAAATATAAAATTAATTAAATAATAATATTAATAATTATATACAAATTTAATAATTTATCATTATTAAGTGAATAGTATTTTCTTTAAATAGAATCTAATAAAGTAATGACATAGATAAACCTTAGCTACTCAACTTATATTAGTTTTTGCAGTTCAGTTAGATTCAACTATAACATGGTATAATAATTATTTATAAAAATGTCAAAAATGATTCACAGATTAATTAATTTTGTTAAATTGAGTATTTTTATTTATATAATTAAATTTACACCAATATATTTTATTTTTATTTTCAATTAAAGAAAGTAATAAAAACAAAAAAATAGTCATAACTAATTATTAATTTTAAATTATTTTTTATAAGATTCAAATCAGTATAATTTTTTATTCTAGATTTTAAGTGCACCCAGGAATATATTAATTTTACCTGTGTAATTATTATTATTTTTTTTTTGTATATGTGTGTGTGTGTGTGTGTATTACTAAATTTTCTACCAGGTATCTCTAATCAAAAAATGGTAAGAGCTTTATGAAGTACTTTAGCTCTAGTTAGTACATTAGGGAGGTTGTTTTTGATTTCTCTTGCAGTTTCCCTATTAATAAGCAAAAGCTTATAGAAAAAACAATTTCAATATTGTTCAATTCTTTTGTTGTAATTTGGTAAAACAATTATTAACCAGAGATTTTCACAAAATACCTATATTGGCTGTTTTTTAGACAGTATACAATTGTTTAACTACTTATGCTTTTTAAATTTTTTTTGTGTTTTTGGCAAAACCGATATTTCATTCTATTTTGTTAGTAATAATAATAATTTTTATAACCTGTACTACATGCACAATTTATACAAATACAAATAAAATTATGTGATGTTAAATTTTGCTTTACATTTTTAAAGCATTATTTCTGTTATTTAATGTTTTACTGGTAGTTTTTCTTTTCTTTTTTTCTTAATAAAATAAAAAACTAACAATTTTTTTTTGATATTTATTACCTTGAATTGAAATGTCAAAATAGTTGTGCTTTGAAATCATAATTAAAAAAATACATTACTAATAATTATTAAATTCTGAGCAAACTGAGGAATTATATTGATTTTACAATGATGTTTATTTTTTTTCTATACACTACCAAAATTCTTCCAGTAATCTTGCTCCAATGTATCAAATGGAGCACTTTTTCTGAAAGGTAATTTTATTTTATTTTCCAAATAGTTTTCATAGTAATTGGAAAAAATTGAGAAATTCTATGATTATTTAAAATGATGTTTTTTTGTTGTAATTCATTTAAAAATGTTTGAAAATTATTATAAATATATTTTTATTAAATTATTTAATTTATAACCAAAATTATTTTATTAATATTTAAATAATAATACAATTTTTTTTTTTGTTAGATACAAAATATGTAAACATAATATAATTTCCAATGAACTTAATTATATGTATTCAATTATAAACAACCTTTTTTATAATATATCAATAAAAAATAAAAAAATTGTTTTGCTAGGATTATATCTTGCTTATTTCTCATGTGTTATAGCAACTGCCTTGATGATATATATTTCATTATTGATTGTCATTGTAATTGTTACCAATATCTAGAGCATTATTGCAACTTTCTTTGATTTGTTTGCTATAACAGATGTCAAATATAAATTTATTAAAAAAGGTAACTTTTTAGTTAAAGAATATTATTTTTACAAGAAGGTACTAAATTTTCCTATAATATGGTAGGTAGTAATATAATTATTAGTGATCGCTAGTAATATAAAGATCACTAGCTTAGAAAATAGTGTAATACAACTAGTAAATATTTTATCAATTCAGTACTACTAAAAATAAATAAATTGTTTAATGTTTAAAGTTCATTTATCATATATAAGTAGTTTACTAAAGTCTTCATTCAAACATTTTTTGAATTTGTTAGTTAATACTATAAAGAAAAATTATAAGAATTTTTTATTTATATTTTTACATTAATTTACATTAAATTAACAATGTTAGGTTAAAAAAAAAATTATTTAGGGCTTACACACAATATTTTCTCAGTGAGGCCCAGTAATCTTTTAAACATTAATTTAAATAAAATAAATAAAAATGTTTTAAATACAATTCATCATAATACATTGGTAGCATAAATATTTAAAAAGTAGCATACTTTTTGTTTTCTTTCAGATCTATTTGCAAACCACATAACATATTTGATTTATAAAAATAGAAAGAGTATTATCTAGGGGTTTCTTAGACTTTTATTGATATTTTAATTTTAAAACAAATTTTTATATATTATATTGTTATTTCATTTAAACAGTTTTTTTTATAAAGCCTATGAGATTCCTTAGATAATATACTTATGTTTAAGCTTGATAATTGATTCAATTTGATCTGACACTACAGTTAACAACACTACATCTGTTCTGCTAAATTTTGCTACATTGGGTATGGGCCAAAGAGAGAAAACAAGTAGGACATTCTATTATAATAATATTAATATAGAATTATCTTGTTTTTATTTTATGAGATGCTTGAGCAAATCATATCATTATGATAGGCTTTATATCTTCTTTGTTAACACCAAAAATTAAAAAATATGATTAGAGGGATTAATAAACCACTGGAGCCAATTCGAGAACAAATAGCACAATTATTTTCTGATGATCATTTATTTTTTTTCCAATCACTTCCATCCAGCAGTTTTCCTAAATTATTAAATATGCATTGTAGTGGACCTTTACCTGTATATTTTAATGAATCACAATATAAAACATTGAAATTTTTTGATTTTGTAATTAAAATAAAAAAAATGTCGTTCAATGATTTTGGAAATTTTACTACGTTTAGATAAGTCCAATATAAGTATTATAACCAAGTTTCAAATCTTTACATGTATTTATAACTGAATTACAGTAAATACACTCCTAAAAATTAAAACTCCTTAATACCTCAAGAGTGGTTCAAACGTTTTGTCGATGATACTGTAAGAAAGTAAATTATAAAGGCAACAAAAAAGGTGTTTTTTGATTTTTTGATTGATAATGAAATCATGAAATTGTACGTTTTCCTACGTTTTTTCTCACTTTATATATAAAAAATGGCAACGAAAATAAAAAAATAACCTGTTTAAAGTACAGTCTAGACAACTTGAGCTTTCATAAAAGTTGCTACACTTATACATCGGAGGAAGTTTACTAGGAATAATCGTGTCCACAGACTAGAACAAAGAAAGAAAAAATATAGATAAACAGCATTTCAAAACCTATAGCTCTCTCGCTACGCTGGGAATTTAAAATTTAAGTAATAGTTAATTATGAATTAATGAATAGTTTAAGGTTAAATTATTTATCTGCCAATGTGGTTTATGTAAAACGATGATAACTGGCAAGATGTATTTATAAATACACTTTGGTTACTGATATAAGATATATAGGTGTGGCGTTTTTCGCACGCACGTTCGTATGTACTACCTTTTCTATGGCCATTGACATCTTCAACGCTGCGACCTTTCGCTGTCATCGGACGCAACCGAAGCACCTGCCATTTTCATCTCACATTCTCACCGCCGCACACTTCGTTGACCCATCGCCTCCGATTCTAACCTCAGTTAATTTACCAGTTTTCTACATCGAAATCTTTTTTCTAGCAACTATTTATTTTAACTTTTTTAATACGTATTTTTTCTTTTTGTGACTCATAAATCATAGAGCAATAAATAATATTTATCATTTTAAAAAAATTAAAATTAATTAAGCGTATTATTTTTTATCACTCGAATTCCCTGTTAGTTGCTGGTTTTGGTTAACTGACTCACGTACACACAACCACCATAGTTGTTGACCTCGACGTGATTTTTCTTTCTTTTTTCTCTCGAACTTTCGATTTTTCGACTTGCCGATACGCATCGCCGTGGCCATATCGCGATCTTCTCATGCTCGACAACGAAACGCCACTCCCGATGGATTACCGTTTCTCACTCGTTGAACGTGCCATTTTCTGACAGTCCAGTGTCAAATGAAAGTTTTTCTATAGCAAGTTACGCTCACACGCGCTTGCCACCGTTCTGGTAACACTCGCCGCGGGAATGGTTCCTCTATATCAAAGCTGTTTTCTCGAATCTACGCTTGCACTCAGACATTTCAAAAGCGAACCACGTAGTCGCTGCACTTGACGAAGAGAAAGTCAGGTCCGTGTCCGATTTCATCGACATGGAAGTGAGTTCCATCAATGATATACATTCTGTCACCACACGGAGTTCGTCGTCCGATCGACTAGAACGCAGATCGCTAGTTAAACCACGGCAAATTCCGTGAACCGATTTGGGCGTGACTACGGTCGCTTGAGGTCACGTCCTCGCAACAATGGTTTTTGTTTCTACCACGACCGTTTCGGTACGTCAGTGAGCAAATACAGACCACTGCGTACGTATAAGCTGTCAGGAAACTAGTAGGGGTGGCGGAGGACAATTTGTCCACCGTCGCCAATCAAAATCGCCGCGTTTTCGTGTCGGACACGTACTCCTGCCGGCGGTTCTTAATCGACTTTGGGGCCAACATTTCGGTTTTTCAGCCATACGCCGGAAATCTATTTTTTTCGAACCTGATCCTTATAACCGCTAATGGCACCTAAAAGCTAAATGCTTCTGCAACTTGATTTGAAATTTTCGACGCCGTTTAGCTGGACTTTCGAGATTGCTGTCGTTTCTAGAAGTATTATCGGCGCGGATTTTCTCCAATATTTCGGTCTTTTAGTCGACGTTCGTCGTAATCGCTTTGTCTATTCGAATTCCGCGATCACGTCGAAAATCATCGTCGCGAACGCCGTTCCACAATCCATCAGTATGGTCTCTCAGCCACATACGTAAACTAATTTGGTAGCCGGTTTCTCGAGAATTGCACGCGAATCGCCCGTACCCGCCGTTTTCTCGCATATTGTCGAGCACGTTTTGTCAACGACCGGCCTGCTGTTATATTAGGTTCGTCCTCGTCGCCTCGCTCCAGATCGCCTAGCCGCTGCTCGGAAGGAATTCGATTACATATGCCATGTTGGCATTTGTCGACCATCGGACAGTCCGTAGACCAGCCCTTTTGCTGATAAAATGAAGGACGGTACATTTCGCCTATGCGGCGACTATCGAAGATTGAATGCCGTTACCAGGCCGAACAGGTATCCTCTTCCGCATATATATGATTTCACGGGTAATCTCTATGGCAAAACTTTATTCTTAAAACTTGATTTGGTAGGTGCATACCACCAGATTCATATTGCACCACGTGACGTGCCGAAAACCGCTGTAACGACACTTTTCGGTTTATTTGAGTTCCCCGTGATGTGTTTCGGTCTAAAAAACTTTTTCAAGAAGACTTCACAGACTTTTCAACGTTTCGTTAATAACGTTCTCCACAGTTTCAATTTCACGTTCACTTATATCGATGATGTACTTATCGCGTCACAACCGTGCCCGAGCATGAAGCGCCCTTGTATGCTGTTCTCGGTCGGTTGAAGGATTCTGGCATAGCGATTAACCTAAGCAAATGCGTTTTCGGCCCGAACCAGCTGACCTTTCTCGGTCATACTATCAACAGCGACGGTTGCAGTTCATTGTCCGTATGGGTGGACGCTTTCTGTCGATCAAAAAGGGACTTCAGTGTTTTTTTGGAATCAATCAATTTTTACCACCGCTTTATACCAAATGATGCTCAGCTGCAAGCGCACTTTTTCAATCTCGCATTGTCTGTTACCAAAAGAGATGACCAACTCCGGTGTACATCAGAAGCCCGCGACGCTTTCGTATGTACGCTACAGCTGTCTCATTCCAAGCCCGACGCGGAACTCCGGTTATGTACGGATGCGTCCGATCAGGCTGTAGGCACAGTCCTCGAACAATTGTGATACGGGCAATGGAGGCTGTTGGGTTTTTTCTCCAGGAAGCTAACGCCTGCGCAAACCTGATATAGCACTTTCGATCGGAAACTGCTCGCTGCTTACCTGTCGACACGCCATTTTCTTTACCACATTAGCTGCTCATACACAAAAGGTTTTATCGACAGGTTTGACCTTTTGTAGTCCAGAACTATCACTTTAGAACGACAGTTAATGGATAACATAAAATAATCCCTATGCGTGGTATCAAAACCGTACACAAATTCACCCATTAACAGGCATTCTAAAACTGTTAATATTAGCACACATTACCCTAAATTCAATAACATTTTATCAATAATCTAATGGGAAAATGGACAATTTTTACTGAGGTCAACTTCATCTTTGCAGTATTTTACAATAGAAACAGTTTTTTATTTTTCCAAAATATTAAAATTAAAGATTTTTGGTATTCGAAAATAGTAAAACCAAAAATTATGTTTCAAAAACATTGAATATAATATAATAATAATAATTAATAATATAATATTATAAATTACTAGCTTTCACACCCAGCGTTGCACATGCCATTTTTTACCCATATT